TCAAGCATCAATAACTTGGGGCAGAAGGTGAACTCAAATACAGAATCTATTGAGAAACTGCTGCAGGAATCTACCTCGAATCGAAAAACAGCTGAAGAAGCCAAGGAAAAAGCATTGGCTGTAGAGGAAAAGATAAAGGAAAAGATACCACCGATATGTAGGCAGCTGGAGGATCACAAGTCATTGCTGTCTATGATCGAATTAAAAGAAAAACAGATAAATCTAAGGATCAGGGCTGTACCTGAACTTGAGAAAGACAATTTGAGCGACTTTCTTACGTAGGAATTTGCAGACTTTTGGAACTTAGACTCAGATAAGTTAGATTTCAAGATAGTAAGTGCTTTCAGGGTGAGAGACTGTTTGATTACCCTCCAATCAAGAGAGGAGAGAGACAGAATATTGAGTCTGCACTTCCAGAAGACCTTGGAAATAAAGGAATCAAGAGTGGAGATATTTAAGGACATCCCTAAACATCTTTTGGATCTTAGGTCCAACTACAGAGATTTGGTGGCCCTGCTAAGAGGAAACAGAACCATTTTTAGGTGGGAATTCCCCCAAGGCCTATCTTTTACTTTTAAAGGGAAAAAGTTTAATATAAGATCAGTGGAAGATAAAGAAAAATTTCTGAAAGATCACGAAGATTTGCAAAAAGAAACTGAAAAAGAGCCAAGAGCTTTAAAACCAGGAATAAAGGACATAGTACCACTACCTTTGGGATTGGACAAGTTAGAGAAGGTGATACCACCAACAGAACAAGAACAATTACTTGGCGCAGTTGGAGGAAAAGTAAAATAAATATACCATGTCTCTGCAACTTTTAAGTTGGAATATTCATGGATTTAATTCCCCGGAGAAAAGGAAAAAAGTCTTTCATTTATTGAAAAAGGAACAATTGGACTTGATTTGTCTGCAGGAAACACACGTGATAAGGCTCCATAGGAAAGTATTGATTAATAAAAGATTGGGTCAAGAGTTTATCTCGTCGGACAAGGTCAAAAAGAGAGGAGTTGTAATTTACGCGAAAGAGAGCCTATCACCGAAATTTATTTTTAAAGATGACCAAGGAAGATATGTGGCAATTGAAATCCAAACACAAGGAGAAAAATTTCTGATAGCAGGAGTATATGCACCAAATGAGGGGAAATCTGAATTTTTTAAGAAGTTGCATGAGACATTGTTAGACTATATGGATTACAACATTATTATGATGGGAGATATGAATGGAGTGGTATCTACAAACATGGACAAGTCGCAGAGACAGGTAGTTACTAAAGATGGCAGACTACCAAAAACCTTTTTTGAGATGACTGACAATATGGACTTGATTGACATTTGGAGAATAAAGAATCCCTTGGGCAGAGAGGGGACCTTCTTCTCTGAAGCCAAAATGACATGGACAAGAATTGACCAAATCTGGATAACTAGAGGACTGGCACCTAAGACTCGAAAAGTGGAAATTTGTCCTAAAACTTGCTCCGACCACAATGCTGTGAAAATGGAGATGAAATTAACACCTACCGGTCCCTTCAGATGGAGGATGAATGACACCTTGTTTAGAGATCAAGAAGTTACCAAGAAGGCCCAAAAAACTTTGAGAGACTATTTTGAGATAAATATGAACACTACCATCGAAAAAAGAGTAATCTGGGACGCAAGCAAAGCAGTTATGAGGGGGTTTCTAATTCAACAGAATGCAATAAAGAAGAGAACCCAAAATGAGAAAAAAGATAAAATTTTAGAAAAAATAAAAGAGGGTGAGAAGAAACTGAGAGCGAAACCAAAGTCACAAGAGATTCTGAGAGAAATAAAGTTATACCAAGTTCAATATATGAAGATGATGAATCAGGAAATAGAATGGAAAATTAAACAGATGAGACAAAGGACATTTGAATCGGCCAATATTATATTACACTAATACCGAAAAATGAGTCTGAAAAGACATAACTTAAGAACTACCGCCCCATATCCCTGCTTAATGTGGATTATAAAATTTTTGCAGATATTTTGGCTAAAAGGTTGAAAAAAGTATTAGTGGAGGAGATACATAAAGACCAAGCTGGCTTTCTCCCGGGTAGACACTTGTCTGATAACACGAGGAATATAATTAACATTTTGGAGATGTTGCAAGTGAATATTAATACTAAAGCTGTCTTAATTTTTGTAGACGCGGAGAAAGCCTTTGACAACATTTCTTGGAGTTTCATGAAGAAAAATCTTCAGGGGATGGGGGTTGGTCAAGGGTTTGAAAATGGTATAAGTGCAATTTACTCAGAACAAAAGGCTAAACTAATAGTTAATAATGTGGTGACAGAGGAATTTAAGATAGAGAAAGGGACACGACAAGGCTGCCCAATTTCCCCATTGCTTTTCATTTCGGTCCTGGAGGTTTTGCTAAATATGATTAGAAGGGACCGTCTGATTAAAGGTATACAGGTCGGAGCTAAACAGTACAAATTGAAAGCTTTTGCAGATGATTTAGTATTGACGTTACAGGAGCCAGAATCTAGTACTAAAAGAGTATTAGAATTGATTCAGGAATTTGGTCATGTGGCAGGATTTAAGCTGAACAAGTTAAAAACTAAGGTGCTTGAGAAAAATTTAACACCGATTGAGAAAGAGAGGTTTCAGAAGGAGACAGGTTTAACATTGGTTAAGAAAGTAAAATACCTGGGAGTCAATATGACCGCCAAGAACTTAAACCTATTTAAAGACAATTATGAGAAATGTTGGTCAGAAGTGAAAAAGGATCTAGAGATATGGTCAAACTTGAAGCTTTCCTTGTTAGGTCGAATTGCTGTTATAAAGATGAATGTATTGCCAAGAATGTTATTTTTGTTTCAATCATTGCAAATTTTGGATAAAATGGACTGTTTCAAGAAGTGGCAGAGAGATATTTCTAGATTTGTCTGGCAGGGCAAGAAGCCCAGAATAAAATTTAAAATATTAACTGATGTAAAGGACAGAGGTGGATTTGCCCTGCCAGACCTCAAACTTTATTATGAATCAGCAGCATTCTGCTGGTTGAAAGAATGGCTGCTTCTTGAGAACACAGACATTCTGGATTTAGAAGGTTTCAATAATGTTTTTGGGTGGCATGCATATTTGTGGTATGACAAGGTTAAAGCACATAAAGCATTTAAAAACCATATTGTTAGGAAAGCATTGTTAAATGTCTGGATAAGATATAAGGACTTACTTGAAAATAAAACCCCAAGGTGGTTGTCACCAATGGAAGCAAAGGCTCAGAAAAGGCTCAATATGGAGGCCAAATGGCCGAAATATTGGGAAATTTTGGAACAAGAAGGAGACAAATTGAAATTGCAGAGTTTTGAGAAATTAAAAGATAAAGTGCGAGACTGGCTTCATTATTATCAGATAATGGAGGCATATAATTTGGATAAGAAAATTGGCTTCCAGGTGGAAAAATCAAAACTAGAAACAGAACTGTTAGAACCCAAAACTAAGATTTTGTCAAAGATGTATAACTTGCTGTTGAAATGGAATACTCAGGATGAAACGGTGAAATCTGCTATGATTAAATGGGCACAAGATGTTGGACATAATATTATGTTTGCTGACTGGGAACAGTTGTGGACCACAGGTATGAAATTTACGGCATGCAATGCCCTAAGAGAGAATATTATGAAAATGATATACAGGTGGTACATGACACCAGTCAAGCTTGCAAAAATCTACCATTTGCCCGATAATAAATGTTGGAAATGTAAAGAAAACGAAGGTACATTCTTTCACCTTTGGTGGACGTGCCCAAAGATTAAGGCTTTCTGGGAGATGATCTATAATGAATTGAAAAAGGTATTTAAATATACCTTTCTAAAGAAACCAGAGGCCTTTCTGTTGGGCATAGTCGGCCAATTGGTGCTAAAGAAGGATAGAACTTTCTTTATGTATGCCACAACAGCAGCAAGAATACTTATTGCAAAGTATTGGAAGACACAAGACCTACCCACTCTGGAAGAATGGCAGATGAAGGTGATGGACTATATGGAATTGGCGGAAATGACTGGCAGAATCCGAGACCAGGGAGAAGAGTCGGTGGAAGAAGATTGGAAGAAATTTAAAGACTATTTACAGAAATATTGTAAAACTGATGAATGTTAGAATGATGTTGGATAGAAACTAAGTGGTTTTTAGCTGTAATATTATAAGGGAATATGAAAAAATGGACTATTAATAGGTAAAAATTTAATGTTACAATATTTTAAGATCGAAGACTAGGATAAACAAAGAGGGGAGGGATTTGCTAAACTAACAATTGAAGTGGAATACAGAAAAGGGAAGCGCGAGGAGGTCTGGGAAACAAGCAAATGAAAGGTAAGTGATTGAAAGACTGAATTGTTTTTAACTATTTTTATTTTGTATTTTTCTTTTTTCTTTTTCTATTTTGTAATATTTTGAAAATCCTAATAAATATCTTATATAAAAAAAATACATGTAAGTTATGGTTTTAATCTATTTATATTAACAAAAATCTTATTAATCTGTCCTGTTCCATGGGAAATGGGGAGTTAAAAACAAAAACCTAAACAAGCCTGAGAATGCGGCAAATTCATCAACTCCAAGGACATTTAAAGCCAGATGGTGTTTTAGACACAAACTATCAAGGGGGCACAGAAACTGCACGATAAAGAGTTGCTTCTGTTTGCATCCAAGCAGTGTGTGTTCCTGGACGGGAGGGTGGGGGGTTGATAGTGTGTGTGGGGAGGGAATAAGCAGATTGCTTTAATTGCAGGGACAAACTCTTGTAAGCTTAAAAAGAAACATTGAGTAACACTGACTGATCTGTGAGAAGAGATTTATGTAAACTGCACCTAAACCACAAGTCACATGGCCTTGTTCTCCTCTCCCCCTCCACCCTGTTCGTGTGTTTGCTACTTTTGCTCACAATTGAGGTTATGTTTTTAGTTTGCTTCCTTCCTCAGTCGCGCAAGGTTCCTTAAGCAATGCTAGCCTGTGAATGACTTCCAGTTGAATTCAAGATGTCCTTAAAGAGGCTCATTCAGCAGAACCGCAACGCCAACTGTGTGGGCTCAGTTTACACCCCGTACTTGGACCCCATAGGTAACCCACCACTGGACAACAAAAGAAGCCAGGCATTCACAAATTCAATAGACACGTTGTCTAGGGACTACAAGCAGGTATGATTATGATTATGATTATGATTATGATTATTTCTTCTTACCCGGATTTCACCATGAGGGTGGGTTACAACAATTTAAAAAGAGAGTTAAAAGCAGTTAAGTGTTCAAAAGAGTTTTAAAACCAGTTAAACCAAGTTACAGTCAAGAGAATGGGGTGGGAAATATATCTATCAGAGGTATCAAGGATAAAGAGGGTTGCCTTCAGCACACCACAGAATTTTTTGGGATATGTCTTTCTTATGCTTCACATTTCTGTTGCTGCTCTTGTTCATTCATTTCCAAGTTGGGCTAATGGGAAATAACAATGCAGACGACTTGTTGGGTAGATTCAGGGCTGGTCCACACATGAGGCAAGGTGTGATCTCTATGACCCCCACCCCGTTCCTGATGTAGACCTTCATTCACCCATTCTTCCCTGGTGGTGAGGAGAGCACCATTTTGTGGTTTGCCTCAGGTGCCAAAATGTCTTGGGCCAGCCCTGAACTGTCTATTGCAGGCATCCCCAAACTCGGCCCACCAGCTGTTTTGGGACTACAATCCCCATCATCCCTGACCACTGGTCCTGTTAGCTAGGGATGATGGGAGTTGTAGTCCCAAAACAGCTGGAGGGCTGAGTTTGGGGGTGCCTGCTTTTACAGTTGCAATCTTTTAACAGTCCTAGATGCTGTGGCTATATTATCCACCTGAATCACAGAAATTTAGCAGGTGAGGCTTTCCCACCATTTATCTCTATGCCACAGAAATCTACACCTGTTCAATTTCCATGTCTTAGGCTACTGTTTTAGGGCTGGTCTGCCGGGGGAGGCAGCTGCCTCAGAGGCTCAGCCAGCTGATTTGGAGCTTTGCGACCGGGGAAAAAAGGGTTATCTTTTTAATTCTATTCTGTGGGAGAGGTGCTTGTAAGATTTTCTTCCTCGGATGCCAAAACAACTTGAGTACTAATATTAGGAAAGGAGGGTGACTTGGTAAGGAGGCTGCCATGTGGTGTTCCTTCTCAGGCCCTGGGCACAGAAGCATGAACTGGGATTGGCACAGGCAATCCCAGTTGATTCTAAGGGATTGTGGCCAGGCATGGTCTGAAGTGCTTGCTTGTGCTGTGGTTAAATCTTGAAAGAAACCACAGGCATGGGCTTTGGGCCCAAGATCAATTCACCGTTCAAGCCACCTCTGCCAATAAGTTCCTTGGCTGCTTGCTAAATTGACTAAGATGTGCCATACCTGGGACTGCTCTCAGTTGACAAATGTGCTGAGATGGATTATATTTTTAATCAAGAGAGGCTCTTGCTTTCCACTTTTGGGAGCTGAAATTTGTTCCCACAAGTGTAAATCGTTTAACTTCAGGCAGTGGTGATGACTGGGTTGCTGGTGCCTCTGAGTCAGGGCTGGCCCTAGGTATTTTGGCACAGTACCCAAAGCCAGTCAAGTTATTTTGGCACCTGAGGAAGAAAATCCCATAAGCTCCTTTCCCCCTTCCCTGGAAGTAAACGGGTTGTTGTTGTTGTATCAAATGGTGCCTTTGCCCTAGCGATGCACTTTCACTAGCACAAGATGAGACACCCCATTTTCCCTTGATCCCTTCTGCCAATAGCACCCTCTATGGCATACCCCATTCTGTTTCAGAGGGTCCACTATTCTTCAGAAGCAGATACTGCAAAAAAGGAAGAGCTGTACTGGGTAGGAGGACTCTTTGAAAATCCAGTGCCCTGCCTTGAGCAAGCACAGCCACTTCTGTTAGTGAAGAGTCACAACTGAAAGGCAACCCATGACTTACAATTTATTCACTTTTATGACATCCAAAATCAGTTGTCTGGGGCAGCAGCTTCACTCTGCCTAATGGTAGGGCCAGCACTCTTTGGAGAGATGCCTTTATCAACAGCTAGTAGCCATGATATGTGCTTGAACCAGAGTCAGGATGCCACCCAACACCACCCTGCTGGTGAGCAACCAGGAGAGAAGGAATTTTTCCTTTTTGCCCCACTTGAGGGATTCCTGGAAATAGCTGGTTGACCACTGTGGGGTTTAGAATGCAGATGGGCCTTTGATCCAGGAGGGCCATTTTTAAAATTTCTGTGTTCCTAAGCTGGGGGAAATCAAGAGGGTGTAACCGTCTTCATCATGCCCTGAATTTGAACTTTCAGAGTCACCTGCTTGGCCCTGTTCAAAGGACCCTGGACCAGGTGGACCTTATATGATCGTAATTCTCACTGGCAGTTTTGCATATGTAAAGCTTTCATCTAGCATTTTGCTTTCTAGACACAAATGAATTTCTAATGCAATGCCCTCCCTTCTCTCTTCTCCTTCCAGCTTGCTTTAAGTAGGACAATCTCTTCAGGTGACTCTCTTGGCCCTCAAAGGTAATAAAGGCATTGCTTTCTCTCTCTAAATATTAGTTCATTACACTGCTACTAGAAATGTGACAATTGTGTGTGGAGGCCCAAGACAGATACTGAAAGAGGAAGATGAAAGTGTGAAAAAACAAATAACTACAATGAAATCCGTGGGCTGGAGAGTTGTGGAAAGACTGAGCAATGCATACCCACAGCCCATCCCTAAACCCAGTAGCTAATGCAACCACCATTACATATTGCAGTGTGGCAGAGTATCATTAGAGAGTTAACCACCTTTGCATTTCTTCTTGAAATGAAAGGTGGTATATACTTTCTTTTGACGACGATGATATTGAGAATGATTTGAAATCATTTCTCCAGTACATGGCTGGTCATTTCCCCTGTGCTACCAATTGGGTAGACGGAAGGCCAGAGTGCAGAGGAACTGGGGCATCACTTTATATGTGATGCGTTCCTTTCACTCAGTGGCCCAGACCACACAATCAAAATGGGAGGCCAAATATAGGAACAGAAAGGATTCATGCATATAGTATTGTGAAGGGTGAAGCAATTAGGCGGTCATTTCACTATATGCCCAGCACAGAACTCAAAAGTGGGTTGAAATGATGCCATGCTGGAAAACGTGGTGGTAAGCTGGGAGCGAGGATGAATGGATGAGTCTGTTTCTCATTCATGTCACTCTCAGATGTGTTTATGCAGAAGTGCATTCATTCCCATTTTTGCTACTTAAAAAAAAATATCTGCATGAAAATTTGTATTTTTGAATGTATTTCCCACCTTTTAAAATGTATTTTATCCTAACATTTTTATATGCATTTCAGTACTTCATCTTTTTTGAAGCTGAAAATTGCATCACAGAATTCAGGGAAGTGTGAAATCTGAAGCATAACTGTGTACAGTTCTGCTTGTTAAGTCTGGGATGTGCAGATCTGGTCAGAGGGTGAATTCTTCAAGTATCCTTGGCTGCAGGAGATGAGAGGCAATGGCACAATTGCTTCCTTGTATGCTCAGCTTTGCATACATCCAGTCGATCCACATTCTCCCAGTGACAGTTTGGTGATCTGTACAATAATGTACGTCCTGTAAACAATCCTGTCCACATGATCTTTGGAGATGTGGGGAGATTTTAGATTTTTCATTGCACAGCACTTGTTAAGAACTACTGATGCTTATGATGAACAGCACATTTATTCTAAATTAAGCCTTAAACACGTTATTCCCTTCCAATGGGTTATTGACTTTGTGTGTATCTGTGTATCTCTCTCTCTCTGCAGAAAGTCACTTAAAATCTTCAAAGAAGATAATGAAACATTTGGATTTGAAATTCAGGTGAGCCTTTAACCCTATGAATGCAGGGAAATTAAAATGGGAGCTCTCAAACCATTCTGGAGTGCTGCTGCCATTATCAGGTTAGCCCAAGCACACTCATCCATGTAAGCAGATGTGTGTGTGTGTGTGTGTGTGTGTGTGTGTGTGTGTATACACTATGGAATACTTGGCTCTCTCAAACCTGGAGCTGTTCCTGGCTTTTTTCCTCAGCCAAACCTTTCACACAAAATTGTTGTGAGGATATAATGGGGAGAACCATGTATCCTGCTTAGAGGAAGGAGGGGACAAAAATGCAAACAAACAAAACAGAAGTGCTTCTTCACAACTGTTAGAAAGAATGTTTCATGGGGTGCTAAACTGCTCCTCATGGTTGTTACCCCATGTTGACTGGAATAGGGAGGTCTTTATTCCACGCTAAGCCAGCATTTCATAACTATGAAAGACCCAGTGTTGCCTACTGGTTAGAGTGCTGAATTAGAACCTGGAAGAGAAGGGTTGAAACAGTCAGAAAGCTACTCTATTCAGTCTACTCTACCTCACTGGGTTGTTGTTGAGGATAAAATGGGGGCAGTGAAGAGCCATGTGACCACCTTGACCCCCATTGGAAGAAACTTGGGATATAACTGTTACAGCAACAACAGCTATTTACCATGCATAAAGAGGTGGGTCGGGCTTTCTGCGAGAGCTCAGAAGATCTCACAGCACTGAATGCCTCAGAGACGAATGAAAGAGGCCCCTGAGGCGTCTGAGCTCCTCTTCTTCCTTTCCCCTCACTTCCTTTTCCAGTGCTATATTGTGAGCAATATCTGTTGTGGGCATTTGACCATTGGAGAGGGGAGGTGGTGTTGCAGGGCCAGCCCTGCCATTAGGCGCATCAGGCAGCTGGTGTGGGGTGTCATGAAAGGACAGCAAATTGTTACTGTTCTATTTTTATTGCCAGGGAAGGGCAGAGATGCTTGTGAGATTTCCTGCTCGAGGTGCCAAAACCACTTGGTTGCCCGTGTCAGCAGCATTTGCTGCTCTGCCTCAGGCAGCAAAATGGCTTGAGCTAACCTTGGGAGGGGACACTGTTTAGTCATTTGGACAGGACCTGATTAGGGCCAAAACAGTTACCGTACTTTAGATTTGCTTCACATTCCCTTCATTTTGTTAGTTGCAGCCAATAGCTATGCCCAGGCAGGAGACCTAAGAAACATTGCTTTGCCTCTGACCAGATCCTTGATATTGTAATTTTATGTTGTGAACCGCCCCGAGATTTACAGGTATAGGGTGGTACACAAATTTAATAAATAATGATAATAATGAAAAAATTGTCCCCCTGTTCTGCTGGGTGCTTGTTGAATTATTATACACACCTACTGTCAGACTGTCTTACAGCTGTGTAACACACCAGGGCCTTGGACACATAATTTCTTTTGTGGTGCCATATGAGCAATTTCTTCCTGATCTTCTCTAAATGTCTGGGAAGGAGAAGGACAGCCTTGTTGTTGGGTGGGAACACTGCTTGTTCCTGTTAGTTCTCCCCCCCCCCCCACTATTTATCTTTTAGAAAGAGGAAGCATTTGTTTCAGTGTTGTGTGGGAGAGTGAATGGGTGGGAGGATGCAGTTTGATGGGTACGTAAGCCAGTTTCGATACTACTTCTGTGAACTGGTGCCGCAAGATAAACCTTTTCCTGTTCCCAACGCAGTGTTTCTGTTCACAGACTCTTCGACTGCAGCGCCACATCAGCCACTCCTTGGAAACTTGCACGTACATCTGCAAAGTTAAAGAAGGAAGCCCCGCCTCTCTTGCCGGACTACAAAGTGGTAACTAGCCTTTTCCCCCACCCTAAAATTCACCCTAACAAAGTTCACTGTAGGGATGGGGGAAATATTCAGCCTGAGGACCACATTTCCTCACAGGCAACTTTCCAGGGGTCACACACCAGTAGTCTCTCTCTCTCTCTCTCTCTCTCTCTCTCTCTCTCTCTCTCTGTGTGTGTGTGTGTGGACGTAGACACAGACACCACAGACACACCCACCCCTCTCGCCATGCAGGTAAGCAAGAGGCACCAGAATTTAAGGATACATTCTAGTCAGATAAAATCACTACAAGATGGCACAGAGTGAAGTCAGTGAGCAGTTTGGCCTGGACCATAGGAGCCAACCTCTAGGGGCAGAGGGCCACCCCCCCCCCCAGTTGGTGGGCACTGCCGTTCAAATGGTGTGCATGCACTGTATCATGTGATCATATTATGTGTGGCAGAGCTTACCTGTCCGTCCGTCCCCCCATATTTTATTCAAGTTGGCACCTCTGGCCTGGACAGAGTCTTGAGGCCTGGACATGGATGTGTGGACAGCCACAGTCAGACCCTGGACCTGAGGTTTCCCACTCCTGGTTTACTGCTTCTCCCATTTGCTTTTTTTTTTTTTTTTTAGGATACAGAGGGAACAATGAATACACAGTCTCTAATTATATCCGTTTTTGAATTATCACAGGTTATATTTTGACCAACATCAACGGAATGAGCACCGAAGGACTTGCTCATAAGCAAATGGTGGACTTGATCAAGTCATCAGGGAACTTTTTGAGGTAATCAAAAGCCCTTCTGCCCCCAAGAAGACAAAAAGGGTTTTCTCATGGTTTGTTATTGCTGCAGAGAAATGGCCAAGGCAGCAATGGGCACAGGCCACAAGAAACGTTCCAGGATTCAGAACATTAGAGTATGCAGGCAGGCAGGCATTTGCCATCAAAAGCCATTGGTGCACTCAGGGCAGGACTTGGGGGCAAAGGTCCAGGGCCCCACTCAGCAGAATGAGCAGGAGCCCAAATGCAGCAACAGAGCTGGCTTACCATATATTGAGCTTAACTGAAACAGGTGGTGTTTGTGTGTATGTCTGTACAACCATTAAGTCCAGAATCTGAAACAGTATTCAATCTATTTAAGAAACTTACGGACAACTCTTCGCATTGCGATCATAGAGGACTTTGCAACATTTTAAATAAAGCAGCATTACTTAAAACCATAAAGCACAATTAAAATGACAACAGATTTAAATCAAAACATTGGGGACAGTAGAACAATCCAGATACATAAGAAAATTCAAAACTGCTTAAGCAAGCCCTCCAAAGCCTGAGAGACCGTGCACTTTATTAACAAGGCAACAGAATTCCAACAATATTGTGGCCAGCCATACCTCCAGGAAGGAGGAATATCGTAGTCTGGGTGCCACTACAGAGAAGGCCCTCTTTCATGTCACTTGACAGCAAGGTGATGGGACAGTAAGCTGCACCTGCCAGTCTCAGAGCCTGAGTTGCCCGATAGTTGCAACACAGCCTAAAATGTGGCTGACATATGACAATCAATTAAGGTCTGTTACCCTATGGTTCCTTTGGGACATATCAATGGGACAGAACTCAGAGGGGATGTAGGCTCCTCATCTTAATAAAAGTACACCTGTTTTCTCCTATGCCCCCTTCTCTTTCTCAACCACAACCCTGGAATATCTCTTTGCCCCCACTACTCAGGCACAATTTAATGGCATTTAATCAGAAATGGATTTCAAGTCCTTTCACATTCTTAACCAGTAATACACGTTCTCTTGGATTAGGCAAGAATCAGTGGTGACATGAGCCCAAGTTTGCCTCCTTATCCACCTGAGCTGCCAGAAGTTATTAAGTTTGTTTTTAATTTAATTTTATTTATTTGTTGAATTTATATACTACCCTATACCCAGAGGTCTCGGGGGGTGGGGTGGTTCACAGAACAAAATCAAAATATAAAACATTGTTGTCCCAATAGTAATCTTGTCTGTCTCAAAAATCAAGTATGTAAATGATGTCTGCAAACGTTCATATTTGCCAGAGGCAAGTAACAGGAGATGGCTATCACCATTCTCCTTGTGAACTTTAGCATGGCTTATATTTGGTAAGGGAGAAACAGCCAAGACTAGATGGAGCCACAGTCCAATGCAGGAAACGCATGCCTGACATTTTAACTTGCATTCATATTAGCAATATGAAATTTTATTAATAGTTGTAATAAATAATAATAATAATAATAGTAATAATAATAATAACAATACTTACTGTTTGCAGGTTAGATACTGTGAATGAGTCCTTTATAATGAAGCGGATGGAACTGGAAACTAAGCTGCGGTTCTTGAAGGTACTGATTCTATATAGAGGATAGAAAGCATCCGTTTTAACTATGCAGAAACCACCTGAAGATACATTTGTTTATTTAGGGGCTTATATCTTTGATTTTCTTCACAAGTGAACTCAGAGTAGTTCAGATAACAAACCATAATACGAAACATAAAAGCAAATTCAATATAAATATTCCTAAATCAATAAGAGCAACAAAACAACATCTGCTATGCAAAGTAGCAACATTATAATCACAGCATCCAGGGAAACTACCTAGCCTTTTCTCTGTCCCATCTGAATCAGGAGAGCCAGCTGAAGGGCTAGGCAGGTGTTTGGAGGCAGTGATGAAATCCTTGAAAGATGGAGGTGTCATGTGTTCTAAGTTCTCAAGTCGAGAAAGTGAGAGGGGGCAGCCTACATCGGGTTGTCCTTCAAGATAACTCAGGAGCTTCAACTGGTCCAAAAGGCAGCAGCTGGAGTTACATTTAGAACTCATATAACCCTTGTTCTAAAACAGCTGCATTTGTTGCCAGCAGTTGGGTGATGTTAATTGCCCTCAGGCTAATTTAATGCAGGTGAGGGGAGCTCAGAGGAAGAACAGGAGGGGGAAAACATGGGGTGAGTTGGGGAAAATCTCAAATGGAGGTGGAGGAAGCCCTTTGCTGGAGATTTGTTCAGATCTTTGATTCTATCCTTCCCCTGGCAACTGGGGTGGGGGTGGGGAGAAGAGGAGGAGGAAGAGAGAGAAAGAGAAAGAGAATGAGGGAGGAGAAAGGGAAACAGAAAGGGGAAAATAATGGCCCCACCCATTTTTACTGCAGCCCTGCCCACTGCTCCCAATGAATTACAACTCCTTCCCCAAAGAATGTAGTCTCAACAGGTGGGGGCGGAGGAGGAAAGTTCCTTGGGGGGCGGGGAACCTATCTATCTCTGATGGCTATTACACTAATGCTAGCATAATGAAGAGTAGAGCACCTGCCGTAGACACTTTTTTGGGGATGAGGAAGACAGAAAATGGGCCTCAGCGCAATGCTGCATGTCTTCAGTTATAAAAAGAACGCAAAATTATTAAATCTTCTATTGCCAGTTTGGACTCATTTTGCAATGTGATTAATGAGCAGCCAGCTTTTCTTAGGACTTAGTGCAGGCAGCAGCTCAAGCAGAATGGCATCCGTTCAGCTTTCCTTGGGCTCTGTGCCTGAAGCTTAAGCCAGGAAAGTACATTTCAGCCCCCAAATATTTATATTGGGAGAGGGGAGTCAGCAAGCATCATGTGATTCCACCTAGCTCCTGATGATTGGAAAGCCACACTCTGCATGATGGAACAACACCCAGTAGAAACAGTAGCCTTGTTCGGATTTTCAGTTGCACAGATACTGAACCACCAAAGGAAAAAGCAGAATTGTGTCCACTGGCCTTGTTCCTCCTCCTCCTCCTCCACACTTTCAGTGGAAGGTCTGAACTTAGTGGAAAGTTGCACACATACATGCTTAGGCTCCTCTGCATTTAACTGGAGACCTGATCACGTAGGTTTCCTCGTCCCTTGAAGCACCTATGCATTTATAACTGAACATTCCCATCTCAGGAAATTAAACCATTATCCTTAACATAGAGGTCATGAATTGAAACTTATTTCACCTTCCCTTCTACTCATTGGGCGTGAAATCCTGGCAGGGACAGGGTTAAAGGTTTCTTTAGCTGCACAATGGGGCCTTCATCTTGATTAAGCCGTTAGCTGCTGCTGTGAAATTCCCATAAATCATCACCGCAACCATGCTGCCAATATCCAGCAGAGAATATGAGGGAAAGGTCCTTGCACTCTGCTGCTGTTCCACTCTGGTACAAAATCTTGAAACCGAAGGAGGAAACGTGGGAAGCCCACTGGCCCAGCCAAACTGCTTACATAACCCCAAAGCCACCACCTGAGCTTGACCTCCAGATGACACCAAATCCTGGGATGCTAGCAAGCCCCTTGATTAAAGCAGCTAAGAAGGCAAGGGACTCCTGCCATCCAGCCTAGAAAGAGCTAGCAAAATTGTGCTTGAACCGCAGAGCCAAACTTTTTCATTGCTCTGATTAATGAGAGAGCACAGTGGCTGATTATTATGAAGCCTGGCAAACTAGGAAGAATGCTGTCTTGTCACTTATCCAAAACTTGGATAAACTCCCTGATGATGATCTTTCTCTCTCTTGGAAGGAAAGCTTTAGGAAAAGCACTGGGATTTAAGGAAAGGGATTGGAGTTTAAAGGAAGTGTAATACATTTGCAGTAATCTATGATATACAGTACAGAATGTCACTGCTCAGCTGTTCTAGGGGAAAGTGAGATGGGATTATGTGTCCCAATAAGAACATAAGGAGATCCTTTTGGATAAGACCAAAGACCCACCTAGTCCAATTTCCTGGTCATTTCTCTTAGATTCTGATGTTTCCCTTGGGCGTTTTTCAACTCCCCAGGTGTGTGACCAGTAAGCAAATTTCAAAATCTGAATACCCAAAGCCCATCATGACCCCCCCCCAATAACTTGGATATGCATTATTCCTTCCCTCCCCCCTCCAAAAAAACCCACCATTCACTTTAATTATTGTCCAACTGACTCCAGTGCCCTTGGGGGGAGGGTTGAAATACTGATTTAAAAAACAACAACAGGAAAAAGGCAACATGAGAAAGAGGGATAAAACACTAAACTGCATTTAAAAACAACTGCAAATCCCTCAGACACAACTGGACCAATTCAGAGAAAATCGCTGGACACGTTTGTCACAATCACAATGGGGGCTTGAGTGTATAACCGAGCTACCTTATAAAGTGTTGTGCCCCAAATTGCAGTGATCTCTGCTTGCCTTTTACAGAAAACCCTGCAAGAAAAATTGCTGGAGTTCCAGTCACTGTGCTTACGAGAACACCACCTTGCTAATGGTAAGGCTGAATTTCCTGTGATAGAAAATAAGAATGCATAACCACCCCAGTTTCCTCTGCAAAAATGATGTGAACACCAGTGAGTCAATGAGTTTCCTGAGTTTCAGATTTTGGTTTGCCTTTGTTCTCTCCTGCAGATAAAAGGTTTGGGAGAAGCTGTATAGTTGGGAGAAGCATGCATAAATTGCCATGATAAGTCTTCAGTTCCCCCAAAGAATTATGGGAGCTGCGGTTTGTTAAGTGTGCTGAGAGTTGTTAGGCAGCCCCTGCTCCCTTCTCAGAGCTACAATTCCCAGACTTCCCTGTGAAGATAAATTGATTGTTGAACCACTTTGGGAACTGTAGCTCTGAGAGGGAAATAGAGGTCTCATGCCAACTCTCAGCACCTTTATCAAGCTACAGCTCCCAGAATTCTTCGTTGAAAGCTATTACTGTTTAAATTCATATGATAATACTTTAAATATATGGTGTGAATGTGGCCATATGACACTGACTGTACACCTCTGGCTGGTATTAAAACATTTGCCTGAATTGTGCATACAGTAGTCTTTAGCTTGAAGTTTCTGCTTTCAGGAAATTGCATTTTAAACACTGCAAACGAAGCTTTTCACCTTGCTGATCCAGCCGATTTGTTTTTAATTGTATTTGTTTTATTGATTTACCTTTACGTTTTATTTCTTATTGTTGCTATTTTGTTTTTAATCTGCATTGTAGACTGCCTGGGAGGTAGATATTTATGAAGGGCAGTTTATAAATGCCTTAAATATACATACATGATTTTTGTATCCACTTGCATTGATTTTTCAAGGCTGCTGTGAGTCACACTGGAGAAAGTAGAATTCCCCAGAGCCCTAATAAACAGCCTTTACTTATTATTTGGGAACGCGGGTGGCGCTGTGGGTAAAACCTCAGTGCCTAGGACTTGCCGATCGCATGGTCGGCGGTTCGAATCCCCGTGGCGGGGTGAGCTCCCGTCTTTCGGTCCCAGCTCCTGCCCACCTAGCAGTTCGAAAGCACCCCTAAGTGCAAGTAGATAAATAGGTACCGCTTTATAGCGGGAAGGTAAACGGCGTTTCCATGTGCTGCGCTGGTGCTGGCTCGCCAGAGCAGCTTCGTCACGCTGGCCACGTGACCTGGAAGTGTCTCCGGACAGCGCTGGCCCCCGGCCTCTTAAGTGAGATGGGCGCACAACCCTAGAGTTGGACACGACTGGCCCGTACGGGCAGGGGTACCTTTACCTTTTACTTATTATTTATTTAATTTCTATACCGCCCTTCATCCGAGGATCACAGGGCAGATTACAGTATAAAAACCACACTATTATTTGTAGTGTAATCGAATTTTGGCCCCAAAATAGGTCACATGAATTAGGTTCATCTCTAAACCGAAGGTAAGGGAAACTTGGAAGGTAGAGAAGAGATCTGGGACCTCCACAGAGACCTGGAAACAATGAAGAGTTTAAGTGATGTAGGTTAGGGAGAGAGATGGTAACAGGTCCAGCACCAGCCACTGAGTTCCATTGCTGGGTAGAGATTTAAATCCAATTCTTGCCAGCCCCAGGTTTGATGCTCTTAGTGCAGGGGCTGGTAACCTGTGGCCCTCCAGATACTGTTTGACTATAGCTCACCTGATCTCTGACCATTGGCCATATTGACTGGGGCTGATAAGAGTTGGTGTCCCACACCATTTGGAGGAACATCAGTTTGCCATCGCTGCTTTGACCATTATCTACACCAGCTCTCAGGCCGGCTAAGTAAAAAATAGAATTTAACATTCGTATAGCATAGGGGTGAGGAACATTCCCCTTCTGAGCAACCTTCCAGAGGTTGGCAGGGCCAGGGGCAAATGTGGAGCCACTGTGGTGTGTTGGACTAGGACCTAGGAGGTCAGGGCTTGAATCCTTACTCAGCTATGGGTGACCTTGGGCCGGTCACAATCTCTCAGCTTAACCTACCTCACAGGGTTGTTGTGAGGAGAAAATAGGGAGAACCACAGAGCTCCTGAGAGGAAAAGGTGGTATATAAATGTAAGAAAGGAGGAGAAGAAAGAGCAATGGGGGTGAACACTTCTGTAGAGTTGGTTAGTTCCTCTGTGCATGTTCTCACACCCCAAGCAAGCAAGAGGCATTATCAGAGTTCAATGAAACATTCTAGTCAGGCAAAAACACTTGGGGTGTGAAGAAGGGAAAAATAGTAGAATAGAATAGAATTTATTATTTATACCCCGCCAATCTGGCTGGGTTTCCCCAGCCACTCTGAGCAGCTTCCAACAAAGCATTAAAATACAGTAGTCTGTTAAACATTAAAAGCTTCCCTAAAGAGGGCTGCCTTCAGATGTCTTCTAAAAATCTGGTAGTTGTTCTTCTCTTTGACATCTGGTGGGAGGGTGAATAGGGGTTAGAGTTCCAAGAGAGGCCAGAGAGACTTGGAGGGCCACATTGGGCCCCTGGACCTGAGGTTCCCCATTCCTAGCATAGCGTGTTTGAGTACTCAAAGAATTTACCATGCATTTTTTAGTTGTAATCCTTGCAGCGACTCTGCAAGGTTAAGTTATTATTATTATTATTCCCCTTTCTGCAGATGACAGAGAGACTGGCCTAAAGCTCCCTGATAAGTTCATGGCAGATACAATTCATAGCTCAGTCTCGCCTACCACACTACACTTCACCAGCTTTCACATTCACACAATGTGCACCAGTTATAATGCAGAAGTGAAACACCCACCCACCCCACCCACTGGGGCGCTTATCGTGTCATCTGAGAGCTAGCAATGGGTGGATCTGTCAATTTCGGTTTCATTCAATTTTGCATCCCCCCCCCCAACCTTAATTTCATATCTCCACATTTCTGCACCAGTTTGTAATTTTTTAAAAAGAAAAAGTCCTAATGGAAATTCATCAGCATTTTAGTCCCGTCTCTCCTAATCTGCATAACTGTATGCAATATTGCCTTACACATTTTTGCAAAGCAATTCCCCCTGTCCTCAAATAATAACAGTTCAATTTTGTATGCTATTTTCAGTAATATATGCATCTAATGCACACTTTACCACAGTGTATGGATTTTTGTACACCTTACTTGGCTGGAAAACTGCATTGCAAAATCCAGGAAAGTGTGAATTTTGAAAGATGGCTGTGTTTTGGTTCTCATGTTGTTTCAGAGAGTGTGAATTAGGAAGGATCACCTTTAAATGAAAACTGAATGTAATTTCTCCCACATTCCAAAGTGAGAACTCCAGTGATATTTCAGCAAGATCAGTACATTTAGTACCGTGGAACCTCGGGTTATGTACCATCCTCCTTATGAACGCTTTGGGTTACGAGTTCCACTAACCTGGAAGTAGGTGTTCCGGGTAGCGAACTTTGCCCCAGGATGCGAGTGGAAGTCGCATGCCGGTGGCGTGGCGGCAGGAGGCCCCATTAGCAAAAGCGTGCCTCAGGTGAACGGTTTCGGGTTAAGAACGGACCTCCAGAACAAATCAAGTTCATAAATGGAGGTACCACTCTATATTATTCCAGCTTATGCGTTTTGAGGTAATTAATGCATGTTCTCTTCTGTCTCTTTCCCAGGGGAAATGTGCTCGCCACTTGAATTTGTGGGACTGGAAGAATCTAACTTATTTGGTGATTACGCTGGATCAGGGTCAGCTTTGGCAAACAAACCCCGATTTCCCAGCGAAAGCAGCTGTTTAAGCCGCCTGAGCTCAATGACCGTGGACAGTGAGGACAGCTTCTACCAAGCCTACGATTCCGAGGATCCTGCCAGTGGGACTTTTAGCCGGCAGTCGAGCACAGAAGACGACTGCTTCCTCTCGAGGGACAGTGATGTTGCCTTTGTGAAGAGTTCACTGAGAAGGCACAGAAGCATCAGTGTGACGAGCAGTGGGTCTGCGTCTCCCTCTTGGGATGGAAGCAACGTCTCGAACATATTTGGGACTCTCCCGCGGAAAAGCCGGAAGGGAAGTGTTCGAAAAAGGCTGCTGAAATTCATCCCTGGCCTCTACCGAGCTGTAGAAGAGGAAGAAAGTCGTGTCTGACAACTGAAGTGGGCTAGGAACTGCATCCTTCAGTGAATATCTGGGCAACAACCTGCAGCTTTCAAACCATTCAGACAGAAGTGCAGGTCCTACGTCAGGGACAAAATACAATTCCCATCATCCCTGATCATTGGCCATGCTGGCAGAGGCTGATGGGAACTGGAGTCCAACAACATCTAAAGGCCAAAGATTTCCCCATCCCTAACGTTGTGCCTGCACTTCATTCAGTGAAAAGTCAATGGAGGTGAAGGGAACACTTGAGACTGAGAGACTTGTTTTTGTCTGAAATAGTTTCAAGACATCCATATTGATATTATATATACACAGCATTTTGGGGTGAAGGGCAGCAGGGTGGATGGCTGTTTTCAAATGACATTCATACATTGTGGGTCGGACATGGCAACTGCTAGGAACTAAGTGTCATGATGGTCCTTTCCCAAGTCTTACTAGCTGCTAACAAGAAAATTAGACATATTTCTTATCTAGGTGATCAAACAAAGGCCCATTCACAAGTTTGGCTCTACCAGCACATTTCCTTCACACAGTTATTAAGGGTTCGCAGCTGTCCACCCTTGTTTTCTTTTCCCTTTCTGATCACATGGAAAAAGTAACCCATGAACCAGAAGTATATGTGTGTACTGGTTTGCAGGAGTACAGCAATTCCTGTGATTTGAGGAGCCTTAAGAAGCAAAGCAAATCTGTTATAAGCATGAGAATTGATGCAATCTTGTGAACCAGCATACAAGTATATTTAGAATTATTTCTTGCATGTACAGCCATACCTCGGGTTACAAACGCTGCAGTTTGCACGTTTTCGGGTTGCGAACCGCACCAAACCCAGAAGTACTGGAACGGGTTACTTCCGGATTTCGGTGCTCGCGCATACGCAGAAGCACAAAATGACGTCACACACATGGGCAGAATCGCATCATGCGTGTGCACAGACGCGGCACTGTGGGTTGCGACCATGCCTCCTGCACGGACCACGTTCACAACCCGAGGTATGACTGTATGTGCAAAGAAGATTTGGCAGCATTAATGAACTGGGTTCATAGAGCTATAGCCTTCAGATGTAACTACACTGCCTGTTATGTACAGTGTGTGTTCCAGAAGAAAAAAAGACCAAGTGCTTTAATACAGCCCCCCCTTTTGTAAATATAGTTCAAATTGCATTTCATGTGTATATATTTGAATATCAGTTTTGAAGAATGTAGTGGTCGATATTTGCATTTCAAAAAACAAACTGAAAGGTGGTCACCAAATGGTAAATATTGGGATATGGACATCAGAAGTTGTCGGGGGAGGGGCGGGGGCAGGAGGGGTTAAAAACTCAAACATGGTAAAAATATAAAATACTAAATTTTCAAGGTCCACATTGGGGGGGGGGGATGGAGTTTTGAGATTCTGATTTCTAAGTGGCTGGTTTTAAAAAGGCATGCATAGCTCCACCTCTGGAGTTGAATAGGTCTGGTCATGACCTACACCTAGATGACAAATGTCCTGGAAACTGAACACTCTAAAGCAGGGGTGCCCAAACTTTTTCCAAAGAGCCAGATTTGATGAAGTGAACATGCGTGAGGGCTGACCAAAGTTCTTGAGCTTTTTTTAGGGTTGACGTTGTTGAGCTTTTAGGATTTCCCCCCGGGACATATACTGCCACAGGGGCCTGCTTAAATCAACCGGCAGGCCGGATTAGGCCCCTGAAATGCTCTAAAGGAAGATAGGAAGGATAGACAATGGAGGAGCAAAATATAGCAATGAACAAGGCTGCAATTCTGAGCACGTTTAAAGGTAAAGGGACCCCTGACCATTAGGTCCAGTCGTGGCCGACTCTGGGGTTGCGGCGCTCATCTCGCTTTACTGGCTGAAGGAGCCGGCGTACAGCTTCCGGGTCATGTGGCCAGCATGACTAAGCCACTTCTGGTGAACCAGAGCAGCGCACAGAAACGCCATTTACCTTCCCGCCGGAGCGGTACCTATTTATCTACTTGCACTTTGACGTGTTTTCGAACTGCTAGGTTGGCAGGAGCAGGGACTAAGCAACGGGAGCTCACCCCGTCATGGGGATTCAAACCGCCAACCTTCTGATCAGCAAGTCCTAGGCTCTGTGGTTTAACCCACAGCACCACCCACGTCCCCTGAGCATGTTTACCTCGTAGTAAACCAGACCCCATCAGTGTATATGTAAAGTTAGGATTCCCCCCCAGTGTTCATCACCTTACACACTGTTCCCATTGAATTACATTAACCGTTTTGCACAGTTTGGAGAGTTCAGTTCCAATCAGTGCCCTCTATGCTTCTTCCTCCCATACTGTACTCAAGCAGAGTGAACTTAAAAAAAAAAACATTTAGAGGATGTGGTCAGGGCCCCTTTCTTATGAATCCTGGAACTGCCTGCTAGCAGCTGTCTTTCATGACGTGGCCTAAAGGGAGGAGGATGTGGCAACTGTGCAGAAGCTAAGCATGTCTGGATCTCACCAGGGTCTGGGTGAGAGACTGTATGGGAACTTTCTGCCTGCCACCTGTGAGATCCACGTTGGAAGAGATGCAGCAAGATATAAGCATATCAAATTAATAAGCAAAACACCTTGACTGCAAGGAGCCAGAGTACCTGTAGTAAGTACTCTGCTGATAAAGTAGATGAACTACTTGCTCACAATAATTTCGTATTTTTTAAATTAGGGGTCTAACAATAAATTAGACAAGCACTGCCCCTTCTGAATTTCAGACACCTAGTCAAAACTCTATTTCAGGAGGTCTGAGAAACCTAAACGTTTTACATGTTTTAAAGAAGGATTTGCAGTTCTTGACGTTTTAAATTTTGGAGGTTTATGTTTTTACATTTTGTATGTTGTAAGTTTTATTGTGAGACCTACATGATGAAAAGCAGGATATTTTTCAAAAAATAATAAATATGCGGCAAAGCAAATTTCTGCATGTGCTTCCTCAGCACACACAAGGGCAGCGGCAGGTCTTTGGTCTTTCAAATTTCAGCAGTGCCCTGTGCGAGGCCAAAATTCAGCTCCCTCACCTCTCGCCTTCCGTTCTGCATGTGCACTATGCTATAGTTGTGATGGTCCGAGGCGCTGATGGGAGTTGTAGTCCAACAATATCTGAACGTCACTACATCAGCTACCTGTGCATTTGGACAAACAACTTGGCTAGGAATTTCAAGACGACACAGACCTCTATGCTGGCTGTATTGTACACATTTGTGTCACAAGGTTACTATGGCACTTTGGTGGTGCCCTGTGGTACCACACACATATACAGACCTGTTTGCCAGAATTTACTGCCGTTCCCTACTGAGGGTGGAGGAGTCAAGGGCTAATATCACCACATGAGGTTGACCCACAGTCTCTGCCCATTCACAACTCTCGAGGTGGGTGGGCTTTTAGGGTGGTTTAAAAATATATAAATGAGGTGAGGTATTCTGTGGGAGGATATTTCCATTTTCTCTACAGCTGCAGGTTTAATATAGCATGGGAGAGAGGAAGTGTTTTTCTGTCAAGCCACTATGCTAACATCAGATGTTGCCACAGTAACATCGACCTTACCGCAACCAGCAATGCTGACGTAGGGGGGCAGCCGTCTGCCAATTGCCTTTGGCAAAAGACTTCTGGGCCAAAAGGACTTCTGGGTAGTTGTTGCACCACCACCATCTCAACAGGAACACCAGCGAGAGAAGTTCAACATGGACCCAACCAGATGTAACTGGTTCTTAACATCTCTTTTCTTTCTTCTGGCATTATCAGACTGATCTCTTTCCTCCTATGTACTTTTTTATTTCCCTGCTTCCTCTGCTAAGTCTTGCCTTTGAATTTCTAAGCCTGAGGGCAGGGCCTACATGACATGTCTTATTTTCATTTACACACAGTGTATGCCAGTGGCACTGTGTATTGCATTTTCATTGGTGTTGAGACTTTTTTTTTGCTGGAAAACAGACTAATAATTGTGATGCCCACTCCTGCTTTGACAATTGTCCCCCTCTGTGTCACCAAAAGCAAAGCATATCTATGTTGCTTTAGAACAACTGCTTTTACCCAACTGAATATTTAATCATATAATTTTTTAGTAGATTAAACTACTAAAGATTTATTTAACTGGGTGACAGACTTATTGAAAACGTATTAGCCACGGAGTGCATATCTCAAACTCAGTCAACAGGAAATTTAGGACATAAGCAATGTTATTATTGCCTGTCAATGACAGTGAAGTCAGGGGCAGTGCTACCATGAGAGCGGAAAATGTTGAGCAGCAAAGAGTGGACACAGTGTGTGCACTGTGACCTTCCCTGTCCACCTAACTTAGCCAGCTGCCTTCAAGTACAGAAGACGGTGTCCCATTGCCACTGTTGAAGTGAGCTTCAGCTGCCAGTCCAATCTGCTTCTGTATGTGAAATGGTGAGAAGACATCACCTTGCCCTTAGCTTAGTAGTGAAATGCCCTGGGTGAAGTTTAAAGAGAAGATTATCAGCATCCCTGCAGCCAGATGAACATACTTACTGGCAAATAAATACTAGAGCTGTGTGCAAAGCCCCCTGCATCTACCTATGGCCCCAATCTGGGTCCCCCAATCAGGTTGGCCCACCCAGGAATCACCTGCCCTGAATCCAGTCCCAAATTAGCTTGGCGATGTTGCACCTCCTCCCCACATGACTTCTGACCAAGAGCAGAGGGGTCAATTCTCTGCGGGGAAGCACTCTGAACCATGCAGGATCAGTGCCTCTCTGCAACACCTTTTGTCGATCCTGTGTTAGGCTCCTTTGCAAGCGGCCAATTCTTCCCCGAATTAGACATTTTACAGCAAACTAGAGCTAAGCTCAGCAAAGAAATCACACCCCTGTCTCACTCGCCTGCTTCTGTGGCCTGCTTCATACATCGAAATGTTTGAAGCTTTTTGACGCGGTTGGTAAGACAAACAGGAAGTGGGTGTCAGAGATACATGGGAGGGTGCTTAAAATGGTTCCCTCGATCTCAGGCATGGTTTAACCACAATAGGGAGGATGTCTTCTACTTTCAGGCTTGAGATAAATAATTTTTTTCACCCCAGAGTGCTAAGTTTGATATGATGCACATTTCTATATATTTCTGAAGCACGGTGAAAATCCCAACTGTTGTTTGACCAGACACGAGAGTGGAACTTCTCTTCCTCCTCACAAAAGTGAATTTGTGCCTTGCTTTAGAAATACTGTTTTTACCCATTTGCAAATTTAATTCTTAGATTAATGGTTTGGGGTTTAGCAGATTAATCTTTAATTGGATGACAGCCTTTCTGAAAATGTTATTAGCTTGCACAATGCATATTTGAAGCTCAGTTAACAGTCAATTTAAAATGTAAGCAATGTTACTATCATCTGTCAATGTTTGCTATAAAAAAAAAGAGAAAAGAACAGCTTATCAGAATGGGCATCATCATCATGCTCAGTTCTCTTAAAAGCTACTGTCTCCATCCTTAGGATCAAACAGAATATGCAATACAGTGGTACCTCGGGTTACATACGCTTCAGGTTACCTATGCTTCAGGTTACAGACTCCGCTAACCCAGAAATAGTACCTCGGGTTCAGAACTTAGCTTCAGGATGAAAACAGAAATCGGGTGGCGGCAGCAGGGGGAGGCCCCATTAGCTAACGTGGTGCTTCAGGTTAAGAACAGTTTCAAGTTAAGTACGGACCTCCAGAACGAATTAAGTACTTAACCCAAGGTACCACTGTAAATAACTTTTTAAAGATTTGTTTAATACAGCCAAGAATAAGTGTGTAGAAAGGCATATATGTTCAACTTTTAGCATTCATTGCAATGCTATACAGTGGTACCTCGGGTTAAGTACTTAATTCGTTCCAGAGGTCCATTCTTAACCTGAAACTGATCTTAACCTGAAGCACCACTTTAGCTAATGGGGCCTCCTGCTGCCGCCGCGCTGCGGGAGCACAATTTCTGTTCTCATCCTGAAGCAAAGTTCTTAACCCGAGGTAATACTTCTGGGTTAGCGGAGTCTGTAACCTGAAGCGTATGTAACTTGAAGCGTATGTAACCCAATGTACCACTGTAGTTGCTGTTTGGTTCTGAGACACAGCTGCTACTGCCCTCCACTGATAAAATTCCATTCACATAGCCTCACTCACTGTCAGTGAACAAAGTTTGGAAGTAATCATAGGGTGGATCTACACACAGGAAACACCCTCTCCCGCCGCTATAAATAAGTCAGAAATTAGATCGTTATAACAACAAACCCGATGGAAAAATGCATTTAAAAAATTCCTGCTCTCTTGCACCATCTAGTGTTGCATGTTTATAGCACATTCAAACCGTTGTTTCTTTACTAATGCAGCTGAGTCCATGTACTAACTGTACAAATAATCTGAGGAAACAAGGAAGTCAGATGGGGAACAGCAAATGAACAGATAAGATTCATGACCACCAATTTCAGTTTAGGACTCTGCTGAATTTCTGTGAGGTTCTATTTCTGACAAGGAAGTTCTGTCCATGCAAGGGTGTGTCTGTAAAAAAAGAAAACCCTAGCTTTTGCTCTTGTACACATCTTTGTTTTTAGCAGCCCTTGTTTCCCAATTTGCTGCTGCACTGTCAGGCAGTGGGGTGTGGGGTATTGTTTTCAGAAACGCAGTGGGTGGGTGTTATGTACTGAGTTGAATAGGATCCAAAATGCAGCAGTCTGATTGGTCCTAGAACAATGCAGCAGTATGATTGGTCTGCAGGAGCCACCCAATCCAGCTCCAGATGGAAGTGAATCCACAACCTGATTGGCCTACAGGAAAATCCCGGAATTAGCCAATCATGTGCAGCCCATTGCGTAAATAATGTATATAAAGCAGATACTGTGGGGGAACTTCCATTCCTCCTCACCACTATGAGCTGAATAAAGAGCATGAAATCCACTCTTGACTGAGTATATTTCAGTGGGTGACAGTGGTGGTGTAGAAACCTCAGGCTTTTGCACAGCTGGGATGGAGCTCACTGTACAAAGATAAGAGTCGAAGGTTGCCTCCAGATCAGCAAATTCTGCCTTAAGAGGGGTGGGTGTGCCAAATCACAATACATCCAGTGCTAATATCCATACATACCCTGAAGAAAGCTGAGCAGTGAAATTCCTATCCACAAGAACAATGATCTAGCAAAGAATTTAGATATTCCCAAAGATGGATTAGATATCGGTAGAAACTGCCCCGGACCCTGCAATCACCTTCTGAGGCCCTTCTTCATGTGCCTCCTCCACGAGAAGTCCGGAAGGTGGCAACACAAAAATGGGCCTTATCTGTGGTGGCCCCCCATTTGTGGAATGCTCTCCTCAGGGAGGCTCTCCTGGTGCCTTCATTACATATCTTTAGACACCAGGCAAAAATGTTTCTTTTCAACAAGGTGTTTGGCTGATTAACATTCTATACATTCTTTTAAAATGTGTTTGTGGGAGCAGGAGGTTATTGGTTTGTTTTTGTTTTCTTGTGTATTTTGCATTTGCATTTTGCATTTTTCTTTTGTGAACCACCCTGGGATCTTTGGGTGAAGGGCAGTATATGAATAATAATAATATGATGATGATGATGATGATAATAAATGCCAGCTAATCAAGCAGTCTCTTATGTTCCTTTTTCTTTTTTAACATTCTCAAGTGGCCTCCGAGGGTAAGAAGTTTGAGAACCACTGGAATACCCTAATGTAGACATTGAAGGCCATTAGGAGGAATCAACTTCTAAAAGTCACATGGATATTTCATTTAGGTGCAGCAGGTAATATTCTATCAATGGAATAAAATGATTTGATAAAATTGCATAGGTTTAATGATGTCGCTGCTGGTAAGAAATCATTAACTGGTTTTGTAGAAAATGTGATTGTGATTCACTGGTTTATTAGGAAGCTGGTTGTCCTTTCTCCACGGAGCACATTATGTACCTTCAATGCTAGATTTGCTTTTACTGATTCTAGGTTTTAAAGGATTTCTTGATGTCCCAAGAATCAAGGGGTTTCTTTATCCCCTGCTTAACCTCAGGATAAAGAGGGCAACTCTAGCTTATTAACAAAGGAAATAAGAACTCCTTTTGAGAAAGAACTTTAAGGAATGCCATTATGACAGCCATTGTGAATTTGCTCACATATTGCTTAATCCTTTGTATTGATAACTGGAACTTGGACAATTTGCCTCAGTTTGTCTTATGAGCCAGTAACAAGTGCATTGTGCCAATATTTGTTGATCAAAGGCTACCAGTGATACATCTGGACACACAGATTATTTCTAATTTGTGGTGTACAGCATTTGGTGCTATGCAGACTACAACAGATTTTTCAGTTTAGATTAGAATGTAATTTGCAGCAATGTCTAATTGCAAAAAAATATGTTTTGATGCCAATAGGTGGCACTAGTAATAACAAAATTTGCTGTGGGAAAGTGGATTGGAGGCCTTTCTGTCTCTTACATGGAGAAATATGCCGAGTGTAAAAGGCATGCCCTCTATCAGCCTACAGATAGTCTTACACAAAGGAAAATGGTTTTAATTTTACTTCTGCAAAACAGAGGCACTGCAAAGGCAGTACCGAACTGCACAGTGCTTTATACGCTAATTGCTGTTGGCACCCGTCTGTCTTGAGAGACGATGGAGGAGTGCACCTTTGGGGGTGAAGTCAAACTGTTGCAAGGTTGCAGCACCTGCTGTGGCTGTAAAGACCAAAGTTTTGTTGCAGCTGAGGCAGATGAAGGCGTGCGGTTCTGCTGACGCCAGTGTACCACAGCATTACTTCTCTCTGTGCTCCTCCCAGCTGCCATTCCTCCTCTGGTCACTGCTATGCATGCACAACCTGTCTGTCTGTCTCCAGGCACTGCGGTCGTCTGCAAGGGATTCCCACATAGCAGGGCTAATGTTGCCCTCTAAGGAGAACTGATGGAAAACAACCACCTTCATCAGTTTCCTTGCTCGCTTGGGGAAGAGCCATAGTTCAGTGGTAGAGCATCTGTTCTGCCTGCTGAACGTCCTACCAGGTTCAAACCTTGGCATCTACACAGAGGACTGGGAATGCCGTGGAGAACGGTTGCCAGTTGACACTATTGAGCTAGATGGACCAATGACTTGACTCAGTTTAAGACAGATCCCTAATTTCACATAGCATCTCATGATTTCAGCTGAAGATAAATCTCGTGTGCCTTTTCCTGATGCATTTCAGTGGGTGGAACACATTCCTCCTGTTTCAGTTGTTATTTTCAGTACCAATGGGTCTTCAGAGCCAACACATGGCTCCAGCTATTCACGAACAGTCTAGTTTGTTTATATCCCATGGTGGATCTCAAGGCAGTGGACTTGAGGCCACATCGCGCCTAAACCTTGGCCAGACACAGATCAGATCAGCTTCAGCAAGGTTATTGCACTATGTGCCTTCCTTCTGACCACAACCTCCTCACTTGCATCTCCCTCTCCCAGACTTTATTCGTTTCAGTGATTGCACTCAGTCATGCAGACTTGCATTTGATGCTCCTATTCATCCAGGATTCGTATGTCACGTGGCTTGCCGAGTGCCAGGCCGGGGCTGTTTGTTCCTCTTCCCTTCCAAGTGCCCATTTGAGATGCTTTCACTGCTAGCATAATTGAAGGCTCTATAATTACTCTCTTGTCTCGTGGGCCCCACAGGGATTGTGGGCTGCCAAGGCAGTCCTTTGCGATGTAGTACCCAGCTGAGGACATAATCTTTTTGTCATGGCTGTGTGAGTCCCCTGTGCTACAAACGATAAGAAACGATATGGAATTCTGCAGCAAGGTAGCCCATATTCTGCAACGAGGAAAGCCGAATTCTGCGATACGAATAAATAATGGCTTGTTCTTTTGCACAATTTATTCATAGTTGTTCAAGAAGCAGCACTGAAGCAGGCTACACAGTAGGAGCCAATCTATTCTGTGCAGTGATTGCCCACGAAATACTGACGGTTTCACTGGGCCTCCATGGAAGAACTGTATTGTGGTAGGTGGTCCTAAGTCCCTCCTTCACAAGGCTGTTGCGAAGTTCGATGAGACAGTCATGTAAAGCATTATAAAGGATATCCATGGGGAGCAATGGAAAAACTCAAGTCTGGTCCAGCTATTCCCAGAATAACATATTCCTGGAGGACACTGTGCTAAATCTGGCCATAAGAGTAGGGCATTAAAAATAAGGGACATTGTGTCCAGCTCATGAATGGTCCTAGAGGGAGGCATGGTGGGCAGTCAACAGAGCCCAACTGAGAAAGCTGTTTTAATGTGCTCATTAGCAGGAGTGGCTTGTCTGGGGCAGCAGAGCCACAGCAATAGCCTCGCAGCAGCAGCAGCACTGTTACTTCCTAGGGGGGGTGAGAAAGTGATGAGCTTGGAGCTACATGCCTTCTCCTCTTCCAGCAAATAGCAGTGGCATTGCTGCCAGGAGGCTGTTGCTGTGGCTCTACCCCACCGGGTGGAGTCGCTGTTGGTGAGAAGTAATAATAAATTGATAATAAATTTTATTTATACCCCGCCCTCCCCGGCCAGAGCCGGGCTCAGGGTGGCTAACACCAGTAAAATTACAATAAAAACATAAGGGGGGGGGGCAATTTAAAATACAGGTTAAAATACAATTTAAAATGCAGCCTCATTTTAAAAGTAGGCCATAGATCAAAACCATAAGGGGAGGGAAACATAAGGGTCAGACTGAGTCCAAACCAAAGGCCAGGCGGAACAGCTCTGTCTTGCAGGCCCTGTGGAAAGATGTCAAGTCCCGCAGGGCCCTAGTCTCTTGTGACAGAGTGTTCCACCAAATCGGGGCCAGTACTGAAAAGGCCCTGGCCCTAGTTGAGAACAACCTAACCAGAGTGTTAAGCACTGTCAGGGACATCTGCTGCCCAGGAATGGCTGCAGCTGCCAGAGCAACTGAAGCTGGTGAAAGGCACCCTTTTAAACCAACCATAGATGATGAAAACTGTTAAGTTGTGGGTGAACATATCAGATGACACAGCAATTCTTCAAACAGCTCTTGTTTATTCACAGGCCAGAACTGAACTGAACTGAAGGGTTCAGCCAGCCTGTTTATATAGAGCTCCACTAGAACGCAAAAGTAACAATTTTCTGTAACTATCCAATCACTGAACGTCACTTTCGATCCCTTATTTGCATATGTGGACCTGAGTGAAAACTATCCACAGTATCCCCCTGCTGGCCCAGGGTGAGAACCTCAGTACATAACAAAAACGTTTAAACCATAAAAACTTTTAAGTAGCCAACCATAGACTTCACCAAAGGCAAGTAGAAATAAACCAGTGTGGCCCAAATAAGCAGCCTTGTGAAACCAGAGGAGGAAGAGGCACTTGTCACCTCAATAAGAAGAATTCAGTAGTACAGCTTTGGGCCTGTGATAGCAAAGGTCCTACTCCTTGCTGGATAGCTCAGTTGGTAGAGCATGAGACTCTTAATCCCAGGGTTGTGGGATTGGCTACATTGGGTGAAAGAGTCCTGCATTGCAGGGGGTTGGACTGGATGACCCTCGTGGCCCCTTCCAACTCTGCAATTCTATTATTCTATTATTCTGCCATACTATTATCCGGATGCAATATGGTGCAGGGCCTGATTTCCTGACCACAACAGGCACATGGGCTGCCAAAGAGATAGGCAGTTCCTTGAATATGTGGGTCGCAGAATACGTAGGTCTTCTCCCTACTTGGGGAGAAAGGATTTCCTTCTCATCATGACTGCTTTTATCAAGTAAAAGTCTGGCTCATTCTGCACCTTCACAGCTCATTTGACTCTCATGAACAGCCATAGCGATAATGAGTCACCTCCTCCCAGCTCATCTTTATGACAGTGATGGCAACTCTTGATTTAAGTATGTGAGCTCAGGGACCATCAGAGGCCACCTGGGCTTTGCTCCCATTTCCCAGTGCTGGAACTGAGCCAAACAGGAAGGTTAAAATAAAAGCAAGTAAAATTAAAAAGTGTGTACAGTATATGCTTTGCCCCTAGTAGAAAGGGTGCCATATAAAACAGCAAGTTATTGTCTTATGTGGCTTTAGATGCTGGGCCAGTGAAGGAGATAGTGAAGGCTTCTCTATATATAAACATCAACCCAGTTTTTTTCTCTTAAAAAATACTGTATGTTGTTTGACTTTTATACAATGTATGCTTCTTAAACTCCACAGATATACAGTGGTACCTCGGAGGTTCCGGAGGTCCGTTCTTAACCTGAAACTGTTCTTAACCTGAAGCACCACTATAGCTAATGGGGCCTCCTGCTGCTGCCGTGCTGCCAGAGTACTATTTCTGTTCTCATCCTGAAGCAAAGTTCTTAACCCGAGGTAATATTTCTGGGTTAGCGGAGTCTGTAACCTGAAGCGTATGTAACCCAAGGTACCACTGTACAGCTGTTATGTGCCACAAGTAGCCCAGACTCCCATTCACAACAAGCTTGCTCATGTGTTGCAATGAAAATAGGTACTACACACATTCACACGCTTGTGTGAATGTACACCTGTACATCTGCATAAAACTATTTGTGTACATAGGTTCACAGATCATATACTAATCAAATTGAGATCATTGAACGAAAATGTGTGATAGAAATATAATTCAACAACACTGAATGTAACATGTGACAATCCCTAGGATATAATGTGAAAGTATTGCTATACAGTGGTGCCTTGGGTTACATACACTTCAGGTTACATACGCTTCAGGTTACAGACGCCGCTAACCCAGAAATAGTGCTTCAGGTTAAGAACTTTGCTTCAGGATAAGAACAGAAATCTTGCTCCGGCGGTGCGGCAGCAGCAGGAGGCCCCATTAGCTAAAGTGGTGCTTCAGGTTAAGAACAGTTTCAGGTTAAGAACAGACCTCCGGAATGAATTAAGTACTTAACCCGAGGTACCACTGTAGCTGCATTTCATTTAATTGCACATTGTATGAAAATTGAATGCATGGTTCCTAATGTAGCCATGTAATCTGCATGCAGACTGATTCTGCTTCCAGGTCTCCTTCATTGGCAATGTACTGGTAGCAGGATATGATTGTATATTAATATTTGGAGTTGTTTGATAATTAGTCTCATGGGAAGCATAAAATAAGCGCAGCTGATTCATCTCGCAATGTGTTGCATTCTCTGTACTGTTGCTTATTTAAATCTCACTCTCCACCCCCACCCCGTTTCTAAGGGCCAACTGCTTCTCAAGAAAGGCTGAACTCTCACAACGCCAGGAGAACAAGACTTTGCAGAGTTGAAAGAACTTGAAGTTTATATTCTCCAACTCCTTATGTATTAAGGCCACACTCTTCTAAATCTGGCATCGCACTAGATTAGCCTATTTCATCCACAAGCAGGATCAAGAATAAGTATTTTTTTTTTTATTAAAAAGGTGCACCATGCCAGATGCATATTAAGGATAAATGAGTCCATTCAGCAGAACATAGATAGTTGGCTCAAGCAAGCAAGCAAGCAAGGAATCAAGCTGAGATGAGGTGAAAATTGCCTATGCTCAGTTAGATGCAGGGTAATTTCTTAATTTTAAATTGCAGGGGCAGGGGATTTACTAATCTTAGACCCCAAGACCAAGATTACTCTATCCAATAGCCATTTGTAGCCTCTCCAGATTTGATAGAAAACTTTTAGGCAACAATTCTATGCCTATGTAAATTGGGAATAGCCCCCACTGAACTCAGTGGGACATCTTTCCAGGTAAACATGGATTTGGTAGCAAGCAGACTACTCCTGAAGCATCAGATTAAAAACAGGGTTTCAGCTGCTGTTCAGCACCTAAAACTAGGGAAGTTCCTAGCAAAGTTGTAGAAAACAAAACAAAACCAATCTTGGGATCTTCATATCTCTGGATTCTATCATGAAGACCAACCAAGACTGGTTGGTGGTGGTGGGCCTCTAAGCACCATGTTCCATTGAGAAAGAGCATGTAGGTATGTTGCTCCCTAGCTTTGCAATTCTGTTCCAGGGATACGAGGGTTTCTATACACATTCTGTACTGTTCATGGTTTTTGCTAAGAAGAACAATCCTCTGCACCATGGCAGCCCACAAGATAGGGAGTTATGCTTATATGGCTCTACCATGTGCACTGGTCTAAATTAGAGAACATTCAAATGAGATCTTTTAGAAGCTGATTTATTTATTTTTTTGCACCTCTAGTGTTAATGGTTGGGGTGTTGTTGCTTTTTCTCATAAAATTATAGTCATATGAGATGATTCTAAACCAGGGGTGAATTGGATCTGACTGACAGGCCAGATCCTGGGTTCCCCGATTTCTTGACATGCTGCCTGCCCCCCTCTGAACCATCAGTCAAGTGATCCATGAAATCAGGTGATCCATTTTTCCTTTGTAGCATGAGAAGTTGTGCTACAAAGGAAAATCCAAGCCACTCCAATTCAACCTCCACTTTGGACAGTGACTAGTTGTGCTACCAGGTTCCCCCAAGAAGAATTCAGTAGTACAGCTGATTCAGCAAGCTTGAAACCACCCTTTTCTTATTTATTTAACTTCCTTAAAGTTAAAAAGTTGTCCAAAACTGCCATGTGCTTGCAAAATAGGCCTGGAAAGTTTTTCTCCCTCTCATACAGTGCCAGATTACCAAATAGGCAGAGCAGGCAGCGGCCTATGGGCCCCATGCCTTTTAGGAGCCTGCAACAATGGATCAAAATAATATTGATTTGATCTTGGAAGTAAATTACAGTGGTACCTCGCAAGACGAATGCCTTGCAAGACGGAAAACTCGCAAAACGAAAGGGGTTTTGGTTTTTTGAGTTGCTTCGCAAGACGATTTTCCCTATGGGCTTGCTTCTTTTTTCTTAAAACCGTTAATACAGTTGCGACTTGACTTCGAGGAGCAACTCATAGCACGTGGTGTGGTAGCCTTTTTTGAGGTTTTTGAAGACTTTGGTGATTTTTGAAGCTTTTCCAAAGCTTTTCCGACACCGTGCTTCGCAAGACGAAAAAAACCACAAGACGAAAAAACTCGCGGAACGAATTAATTTCATCTTGCGAGGCACCACTGTACCATCAAGCTTCCTTAGTTCAATGTTATCCCACTAGAGCGTGCACACAAGGCGCCCCACCCCACCCCAAGATTTTGACTGCTTAGGGGCCTCCGCAGGGTTTAATCCAGCACTGCTCTTATAATAGTAGGACCTGGGGCTGTCTAATGAAATTGAATGTTGAAAGGTTCAGGACAGGCAAGAGAAAGAACTTCATATAATTAAACGATGGAATTTCCTTCCACAGGATTTAATGATGGCTTTTGCCACCCTGGACTCCTGTGGGTGGAAGGGTGGGGTAGAAATTTAATTAATGAAGGAAATTAAAATAAATAAAATAAAGAGGATTAGATAGTCCATGGAGGATAAAGCTATCAAATATCAGACTATCAATTCATGGAGGATAAGGCAACTACTCTTGATGGCTGCATTCTACCTCCAAAGTCAGAGGCCATCTGCCTCCTAATGCCAGTCACTGGGACTCCTAAGTGGGGAGATCCATGTCCTCTTTGATAATTTTACTGGGTTTTGGCATTATTTCATTTTCTTCATAATTGTCAGGTCTCTATAGACCAGCTTCTTTTGGGAGGAAAAGTGGGGTACAAACATAAAGACGGACATGAAATAAACATAGGCAAATGAGATTAACTATCTTCAGATGATTATGCCATGACTGGCATGGGGATCCTGTGGCTCCCAAGATGAATCATATGGCACATAGATTGGTTAATAATGCCCTCACCCCTTACAACACACACACACACACACACACACACACACACACACACCCCCTTCCCTCCATGTGCAGAGTGCAGCAAGCCTTGCCTGGATAGATACAGTTTGCAGTATTCATTATTGGGCTTCACTGCCTTCATAAGAGAACAAGGGAGGCATTCATGGTGAGTTCTGACACCTCTTTCTAGAAAAATAGCACTCATTACTGTATAGGGCTGGACACAGGTGGCACTGTGGGTTAAACCACAGAGCCTAGGACTTGCTGATCAGAAGGTCGGCGGTTTGAATCCCCGCGACGGGGTGAGCTCCCGTTGCTCGGTCCCTGCTCCTGCCAACCTAGCAGTTCGAAAGCACGTCAAAGTGCAAGTAGATAAATAGGTACCGCTCCAGTGGGAAGGTAAATGGTGTTTCTGTGCACTGCTCTGATTCGCCAGAAGTGGCTTAGTCATGCTGGCCACATGACCCGGAAGCTGTACGCCGGCTCCCTCGGCCAATAAAGCGAGATGAGCGCCGCAACCCCAGAGTCGGCCACGACTGGACCTAACGGTCAGGGGTCCCTTTACTTTACTGTATAGGGCAGTTTTTAATGTTTGATGATTTATTATGTTTTTATATCTGCTGGCAGCTGCCCAGAGTGGCTGGGTACAAAATAAAATTATTATTATTATTATTATTATTATTATTATTATTATTATTATTTATTACTGTGGTCATTGTGAGAATAAAAGGCTGGGCTTTGGACTGAGCCAGCAGAGCTCTTCCTATGGTAAAGACAATTGTCGTTTGCCAAACTGTGATGCTTGAACCAGTAAGAAAAACTGGACCAGACAAAATTTCTTATTTAAAGTCATTCTTAAAAGATCCCTCTGCTTCGGAGCATTGGATGCCCATCCTTTTAGCATATAATTTAAATCAATTGTTTTAAAGCAATAAAAGAAAAACAACCTATGAGCTTTTGTGGGTAAGGACAGGTTAAAAATGGAAATAATTGGGCCCGTGGGTGTGGGTGTGTGATGGCAGCAGATGGAACACTGAGCTATCTGGAAGGAGGATAGCTGAAAATGACAAAATTGCATGCAATCCTACCTCCCTCACCTCCCACTTTCAACAAGTTTCCAATGGACTCTTTGTCCGAACAAGAGCGGTTCAAGGTTTACGCAGAACATTTAACCTGTTTGGGAATGTTAAGCTGGTTAACTCACAGCTAATGTGACTCAAGGTAGTCACTTGGTGTGGATTAAAGATTTAGAACAATCACCACTCCTGTTACAAGGCTGGCATACAAAGGGCCATTTATGACAACAAGGACAACAATCTCTGTTTATTACTGCCAGGCTGACATGCTGAAAGCCCCACTCCTGCATGCCAGCACAAAAAGCTTTGTTGCTTGTAGATTGTTTGTTTATGTAAATTGACATGGTGCATTTTATTATGCAACGGGGAAAGGCTCTAAGTGACAAGAAAAGTGCTGATTGGACAAGCCTCTTGGAAAGGGACCTCTGACAAAGCCAAGGCAAATCCTGACATTATTCCCTGCTTGGCTGCAACAACTTCAGGAGAACGGAAAGCTTGTTGACTCTTCAATATATCTATCTATTTGGTGGGGGAGGGATAGTTGTGGATGGTTTGATTTCTGCAGCGATTCTGGGATACCAGATCATCTCTGGACACATATCCGCAAGGAACCTCTTGGATACTGCAGGAATCATGACAGAAGATGTCCAGGTTCCAACCAGCATGTCAGAATATAATCGCAACGTGCCCTCTGAAAAACCTCAGCTCCAGGTCATTGATATTATTGATCAAATTGCAAATTCTGTCGAGATATTTCCTTACGAAACCGCAGAGCCTATTCCCAGTTCCCCACTTGCACAAGGAAACCGAGGGGGAGGCAAACATTTAGCAAAGAGCACACCATACGAAGTTTCAGTTGGGATAAAGGAACTTCAAGGTAAAAAACCAGCTTATGCATCCCCCCCCTTTTTTGATCTTGGGAATGATGTGAGATGCTTTATTATATTGAGATCTTTTTATTTTTCATGAAATGTGAGAAATATAAGTGTTTTAAATGTTTTTCTTAAAGCGTTCTTTTTATTTCTGTCTGTAAGATTAGAAATCCTTTGTGTTGAATGAATAACAGTGACTGACACTTTCTGAAATTTTCTCTGACCCTCAAAAAAAGAAAAGAAAAAGAAAAAAGATCTGTCCCATTATTGATATGGATATACATTTTTTTAAAAAGCAAATGTGGATCTAGTTCTAAACACAATCTAGCCAAAGTTAAGTGCTTTTAATTCTCCTTAATGGGAGAGATGTGAAATGAATGAGAATTAAAAGCAAGAGAGATTTAAGCATGTGCTACATTCTCTCTTTGAAATCGATGCAGTTTCAAGCAGCTTAACTTTGGCTGGATTGTGTGCAACTTTCACTGATTTTCTAATTTTAATTGAGTTTTAATTTCTATCAATTTAATTTGCTTCTAAGTGTTTGCTGTACCTCCCAAAAAAGAAAAATGGAGGGGAAGGCATTACATTCCATTTCACTGGAAGTTGGTCCATTGATTGCTGTGGCACATATTTTCTGCTGCAAGTGGCTCTAGATCAAAATCTAATGGGAAAAGATCACTCCAGGCAGAAAGGTTTAAGCTGCACTATATGGCTGAAGAGATTAGTAATTGCCGCTGTAATCACTAAACACTTTGTAGGAGATGTCAATTTTACACTGTCTTCTATCTTCTAAAGGAGAGCCAGAGGGAAACAAGGAGAGAGAAAGTGACATCTTTTCCCAGGAGACAAGAAGCTGGGAAGAAGAATCCAGAGAAGGTGAGGAGTAGAGCTGCCTTACTTTTTTAAAAAGTAGGAAGAAAGCCACAGATTTTGTTAACGGTCTAACCAAGATCCAATTTAATTTAATGAGGCACTTAAGCACATGCACAAGTCTCTCTCACGGAAATCAGTTGAGGCTAATTTAGTCTAGGTATAAGAGCTCAACTCAATATGAGTTTATATTCAAACTGGTGGCTATTTATTCAGGGTCGACAGCCAACTTTGCATACAGGATTAAATCCCAGTGAAGGATGTCAGTGATACGTGCAGGTACGAGATGCATGGATGAAAGACTACAGCTAAATTTGTGCCCCACAGCAGGGGTAATTTGTCTCTCCCTCCCCCCCCCCATTTATTCATTCTTGCTCACAAATATTATGCACCTGCTCTCTTTATCTACCCATCTCTCTAAAATCATGGTTTGGACTGCAATAATAGACTCCATTAGGAAAGGCAAAGTAATTAGGACCAAGTTAGATCATACTCCTATGTACATTTACTTATATGCGAGTCCCATTGTGCTTCGGATTTCAGTCTAGGTGAAATAGGATAGTAATTTTACAGCTGTCTTGGCTTCAGAAAGGTGTCGGTGGTATAATCTACACATTTATCAGAAGTGACCTTGTCAGTCTTAAAACCTCAGTATTTTGGAGAGCTCAGCTCATGAAGAATGGCTTTTCCCGCCAACACATATCCGCATTCACGCTGCATTGTACAAGCACACAATAAAACCTATTAAGTAAAATTTGACACCTTCCCCTCCCCAACTCCCATGCACAAGCACTTTATCTCTAAATTGCAGACAGCATTTTTACTACCTATCCAATTCAACCTAATTAATACTTAAGACACCACAGGCAGAAGTTGAATGGAGAATTTTGTCACAACATTAAAGCACCAATTAAGCCAGAGAGGAGTCGAATGCGACAAGTGTGCAACGCCCGTATAAATGATCATGTAGCCTGCCTATCTTCGGGTAATGCAAAGAGACTATATGCAATGTGGCGCTTGGTCAATCCATATGGCTACTTGCTTAGCTGTGTAGCCATGCACACAACTCGGGGCACTTGTTGCACAATAAAGAATACTACACAATGATAGATGGGTTAGTCTCTTCAAGGCAGCCCATAGTGAGACTCAGGTCTCACAAACATGTCTTTAAAAGAGGGTTAGACCAATTCATGGAGAGTGGTGCCGTCAATGGCTACTAGGGTTGTGAGCTGCCCAGTCCAGCAGGACTTTTCTTATGTTTAGGTCAGAACCTTTAAAGGAGCAGCCAGCAAACTGGCAGAGAAGGCAGGACCGTGAGCAGGGCATGACATGTCCTTTTTTGGGGGCGTAAAAATGGCATCAGGGGGAATTTTGGTGAATCAAGGAAAACCGGGATATATGGCAACACGATGGAAATAGCAGTGGAAGCAGCTCTAAATTTTGCTCAACAACTTTGCGGATGTCTGGATTTTTTTTATTTAAAAATATATGGCAATCTGAGATAGCCGTTTTTAACTTTTAGATTTTGTTTAATTAAAAAAAAAATATTATTGTTTCCTGCTCTGCGCCCCTTTGGGAGTAAGGGTAGGATAAATAAATAAAAATATTCTGTTGCAACGGCTGGAAATAAGATTTGACTACTAGACCAGTCAGCTTGTTATAGTTTTGTTGCTGAGCAACAATGTGCAGAACTCAGTGGAGTGGGACTACAAATAAGATTTGACTACTAGACCAGTCAGCTTGTTATAGTTTTGTTGCTGAGCAACAATGTGCAGAACTCAATGGAGTGGGAAGCCAAAAGTCTGAGATGTACTTACCTGGAGACAGAGACAGCATTTGAAGTCTGGTCTAGTCCTAGGGTCGGGTGAACAGCAATCTTATATGATCAGACAGTCCAGGAGTCAGGGAATCCAATGATCAGAGGGTCCAGGGTCAAAACAACCAGGAAGCAGCAAGTTAGGGCCAAGAATTCCAAGTGCTGTTACCAGTATCTGACTGCTTCTGGAAGCTCTGCTTTAAGAAGCCTGAAGCCAGCTGCTTCTCATCAGCACATCCTCCTCTGTGTCCTTGAAGGCTGATCAGTTGCAGGTGGAGTCATTCCGCTTTCTCCCCCTTCAGGCTGTTGTTCAGCAGGCAAAGCTGACTCCTGGCCCATGACAAATCTTCTACATGTAGAATGGGGGAGGGTGCCATTTTGTCCTTTGTCTCAGAAAGCAAAATGGCTTTGGCTAGCCCTGTTAAGGGACTATATTGCAATAAACAAAGTCTGAATTGGGGATAACCAGTAGTCTCCTATTTAAGGTACTGTTCAGGCACAGTGAATTAACTGTGTCCTGTTTAAACACAGCCCCACATCCAGATAATGTTCTCCCTTTTCTCCCCTTAGACTAGGGGCAAATCCCTGCAGCAGACCTGTGTTTAGGTCTCTGCTTAAGGAACCCTATATATCTTCCAGTTTAATAACCCTGTCATATTACAAACACTTGTGTGGAGGCTGAATGGTCAACGTTTCATGGACAACCCAAGTTCTGCTCTTGCTTAGTTTTTGCAGTTTCTAGAACATTATAGATAGTCTCAGTCACTGATGATCCTTGGATTTGTGTGGTGCCATAGCCTGCTGTGGAGATGAGGGAATGTAAAAAACACATCAAATAAACAAAAATCTGGAGCCTGCTGTGGCCTTAGAAATGATCTTTAAGGTAATAACTTCACTTGCAGTAGAGTGTGGCACTTCCCACCTGTGGCAACTGCTAATAATGGAAACTGCAGCCTAGCCTCTTGCAATATCTTCTAACTTGCTGCGATGATGCAGCTGCTTTTGCATGTGTGAAGCTGGACACAGCAGCAACTGCAGCATGTTGCAAAGTGAGTGGCCAAAATTTCATGCTTACGGACAAGCAATATATACTCTACATGGTTAAATGGTCTTCTATGATACATAACCTTTATGGCTGGTTTGAACTCACTCATGCAAGTGGTCTGACTGCCCATGAGCTTCTACTTAATGATCAAACACCATCGCTGTCAACAAACAAGGGACGACAGGCTTCTAAACATATATATGATGGATTGAATCCCATGGAGTGTGATGCACATTTGGTTTCCTTTTTCTGGGGCTTTGGGCATGGATACCTATCCTATTTGCTTTTCTACACACAACTTCTAACAGATGGTCAGTATGGTCAGCTTGGACAGTGATGATGATCACTGGTAGGGACTGAAACTGGATTCTACATTCCAACCAAAGTTGCATCGTTTGGTAGGCAGGTGCATACAGACCTGTGTGAAGGAATTGTCTGATTCAGGTTATTCTCTTGATTGTTAATCTGAATTCAGCTGTGATCTTCTAGAAAATCCCACATGAAGTTGTTAACTATGTGGAGGAATTTAAACAGAGTGAGGTCCATGCTTGTATTGAACTGGTGTGCATTATCTTCTATTTGAGGATACTCCCTGCGCCCCTCAGTTTCCTTAGCATAGGCACAGCTCTGTTAAGAAAGTTTATATTTCAGAAGGAGGCAAATGTTTAGACAGTTCATGCCTATGTATATAAGGTACATTTGCCATTTACCGTTCTCTTGACTTTAGATTCCCTGGTGGCAGTTTGTGTAACAATTTAAGCAAGGATAGCAAAAACCACTCTGCTCATCTTTTATGGACCAATGTCTTATATGAGGGGAGAAAGGTCAACGAGGGCTGTAGTTAGAAACACAAAATGGAAGTAAGATAATATTTAAGCAGAACCACCAGAACCTTTGCTTTCCTGTGTTTTAGTGCACAGCGTTAAGGATCCCAATTCTGGCAAAGCTGGGGGGAAAATGGTGCTCTTGCAATATGTGTTCACACCTAACACCAGTCTCAGAAAAGGCACACTATTAGTGTTTGTCTGCATTCCCAAGGTGACATATGAAGGCAGGAAGGGTACCTAGTCCAGGAGATGGCATCATCAGTGCCTCTTTTTATGGGAAGAGCGAGGTAAGCACCTGAGTGACTTGCGTGATCAAGATTCTCATGAAGCCTGCAGATATAGGTAGCCTCTTTGCTTGTGATATTTCTAGAGATCTGAAACAACACACCTTAGAACCCTAGAATTGTAGAGTTGGAAGGGACCCTGAGGATCATCTAGTCCAACCGCCTGCAGATGGTTCAAAAATACTTTTTAAAAACCAGTGGGCATGAACCAATTGTTTAAAATCTACTTGGAAACTCCAATAGCTGCCTGTTTGAATGCAACACTTGCAAAGTTCTTCTTTATTATAAGTTCTACAGAGAAACTATCTGCAGATCACATTCCTTGTCCATGTTGAGTTCTATCTAATATGAGTAACAGTGCAATGGTATGTATGGCTGCATGCAAACCATACACTTAAAACATATTTAAATCACACAGCTTCCCCCAATAAATTCTGAGAGCTGTAGTTTGTAAAGGGTGCTAGGAATTGTAGCTCTGCGAGGGCTAAATTACAGAATACCAGGATGCTTTGGGGGAAAGCCATGTTCTTTAAAATATATGGTGTGTACACAGCCTAGGTCTACTCAGAAGTAACTTTTATGGTTTTTTGGTTCATTGGCACCTACTCCCAGGTAAGAGTGTATAGGGCTGAAGTCTAAAAATACCATGAGGAGTTTCTGCCCCGACCCATACAGCTCTTCTTCATCCAGAGAATAATCTGGCAAATTTTGCTAACATCATTTTTTATGTGGCTCTCCATGGGTTGCGACATTCCTGCTAGTCATACAGCTCAGCCGTGCACATGTTTATGTGGATATAGGTCCCATTAAGTTCAGTGAGACTTGCTCCCCAACAAGTGTGCATAGGATTGTATAGTCCCACAACTGAAACCACATTGGGTACTCCTATTAATTTAAATAGATGCCTGCCCTATTTGAAAATTACAAGTGAAACAGGGGATGGTACTGAGTTACCATGTCCCTCCCAAAGTGGGTTATGGTTCCTTCCACCTTTAAATATTTTCTCCAGGAGTATCACGAAGCTGCATGTATGCCTATGTTCTGGTGACTATTTTAGGAAGGGCTTTTGATATCCCTTCTCACCTTGAACATCCATGCAGTAAGCTTGTAGAAATGTGACCCAATAGTTCAGGTTGAATCAAGTTTGATAAGAGAAGGCTTTTTTGCTTTTATAGCTTTATGCCTGCTAAGTGTGCGATTTCACAATCTTGACAACGCATTAACACCGGTTATTTGGATTTTGCATAACAAATGTTGGCAAGTCATTCCATACATTTAGATCCACTTTAATTACATGTCAAAAGCCATCAATATCCAGTGCCACACAGAGGGGCACAAAGTGATGCTATTTTATCAGCGTGCGCACCCTCCGCAGAGCTTACAGAAGTGCACTGAACTTTTATGACTTTGGCAAAATACTGCAAATCTTGAAAGACGCTACAATAGAAGGCCTAGCATAGTTATCTTCAATATGGCATTCCTTTAACCACAGCCAGATGTTAGTGTTTTCTCATTCAGACTGGACTCTTGGGTAGGGATGGGGAACCTGTGGCCTTCCAGATGTTTTTGGACCACAACTCCCATCATTCCTGACCATTAGCCATGTTGGCTGGGGATGATGGGAGTTAGAGTCCAACAACATTGGGATGGTCATAGATTCCCTGGTCTTGCTGTAGACAATTGAATGGGATACTATGTCTTTCTATGGCTATCCTACCATTGAGCTATCTAGCAAGCCACACTGCACTTCAGTGGGGTGCACACACACACACACTTTTCAATAATTTCAAGTACCGTATTTTTCGCTCTATAAGACGCACCAGACCACAAGATGCACCTAGTTTTTGGAGAAGGAAAACAAGAAAAAAAATATTCTGAATCTCAGAAGCCAGAAAAGCAAGAGGGATCACTATGCAGTGAAAGCAGCAATCCCTCTTGCTGTTCTGGCTTCTGTGATAGCTGCGCACCCTGCATTCGCTCCATAAGACGCACACACGTTTCCCCTTACTTTTTAGGAGGGAAAAAGTGAGTCTTATAGAGCAAAAAACACGGTAGTTGGAAACAAGAGGTAGAAATGACCGTCACCTATATGCTGATGTTGCTATGACTCAAACCTCTAGATGATTTTTCCCAGCAGGCACCCCATAGCCTACTGGCCAGAGGGTGGAAAATAAGCTTCTCAGTACCACCTTCTGAGGCCGATTCTCCAGGAAGGACTGAAGCCACTGTAACACTACTAGGCCCAACCAAGAGTTGGATAGTCTGCTGCTTATTCAGTATGTTTGCCCAGTTAGATATCAGGATAGAGTGACCATGTGTCCTACTTACAGAGGACAGTCCTGGGTTTGAAGGGCTGCATGATTTAAATCTCGTTTCAAGGTTAAGAACCATAAGAAGGGCGAGCATTTGCCCATCAACAGTTACCACCAGAACAGGAGACTGAGCAGCCAAGACAGGTCACGTCATCACAGTCTTTCCCGCTGTGTAAGGCGCTTCTGTTTCAATTATAGTAATTTCTAAATGTGCACCTGAACATATAAATTAGCATAAGCCTATTTTATACAAATCCGTATAATGTTTTGTCCTTTTATTGGGTGGGGGGTGCATTTCTATTTGTTGGGAATACATAGGTGGTCAGTCTATATCAGGTATTTTGCTGAGCAAGCCAGTATCAAACTAGGCTGCTCTCCTATGGTACCACTTCCTGACCAGTCAAAAAGATACCGGACTCCACCTACTGACCTCTCAGAATCCCCCTACTGACCAGATATTGTCTGAAAAATTCCAGGCATATAACCCCAATAAGAAGGTTGAGAAAAGTGGCTGTTTGCAGACAGTTGCGCTTTGAGTCAAGAAAATATAGCAATCTGTGCCACGTTTAGTAAATATCTGTTTCAAGGCTTTCAAGCACTGTATGTTACACCTCAGTTATCTTGCTAATTTGTTTGTGTGTGGTGGTGGTGGAATGGGAAAATTAGATGGTTATAAATTTTTGCAAAATAATGATGATAAGACCATCTGCTCCGGGGACAGTTCCTATTTCTTGTTATCCATTTCTGGTAAACTCCTGCCCTTCCTGTGTCCCTCTTTCCCTTTTATGGATGCCTCACTAACAATTTGTTAGTCCAAGCATATTGCTAGAGAGGTCATGCTTCAGGATTCAAGTCGCTCCACTGGGCCTCCTTAGAAGTAGTGTTGAAAAATAGGGTGTTAAGGATGGTGGAGAAGAGTGCATGGGGTCTCTACTCCATTTGCTTATAAACTCCCATCAGCCCAGCCAAGCATGATCAGGGATGATGGGAGATGTAGTCAAGCAGGTCCCCCAGCCCTGGTATATAGGAATGTAGGCACAGTTACTTTATATATTTCAGAAAAAGCATGAAAAGCAGAAGGGGGAACAACATTCCCCACTCCTATGAATGTTTAGATTGATCTGTAGGGCACTGGTAGACTCTTTAGTATGCTGGTGTTGTATGTGGACCATGGCCATACAATCTCATTATTCTATAGTACAATATTGTGGTTGTTGATTATGATGTTGTTGCTTTTTTGTGACAGTACTCACTGGTCCAAAGTACCATCGCCTCTTTTTTTTGCTGCCAATTGCAGCCATTTTGTACTGGCACCCACTATTTTTTTTAATCAAAATATGTGCACTGGTACTTCAGTTTTTACAAAGACAAAACCTCTTCTGATTCTGCTTCCACATATATTATCTCAGTATTCCTCACACCAAGCCTGTCAGTATTATTAGTCTTAAATAGCAGGTAGGTTGTGAGTATGGCTGAGAGACAGTGGATGCCCATGGGCCACCTACTGAGGTAATGGCAAACTTTAAACAAGGGATTTCCCAGGTTTGCATCTCAGCCTCCTTGCCACCATACTTTTACCCTAGCTCTACTGCACTGTAACCCCACTGTTATCTGTTACAGGCTTTTATGAGGAGGAGCATCCTGTGAGCACTATAGACCATAAAGTAGCTAAGATGGAAGAAAGAAAGATGGAGGAACCCCAGACTGAAGAAGTCTACAGCACTAATGAGGTGGTGGTGGAGGAGGAACAGGAAGAGGTGGAGCTGAGTGAACCCAAGGAGCCAATGAAAAAGGAAACGCAACTAGAAGAAAATGAAACCATGGTAGAGGAAGACTTCGATGGCACTGAAGAAATAATGCAGAAGGAAAGCAATGAGGATAAACATAAAAAGAGGCTGGAGAGCGGCAGCAAGGATTTCCTTTCTGCCAGTGCCAGCTGTAACTCTCAGACTGAGAAACCTGCTGAGCAGCCGAGCTTGGTGAAGAAAAATGATATCTCCAGGCACAGTTACTCTCGATACAATACAATATCTTACCGGAAGATCCGGAAAGGAAACACTAAACAGAGAATTGATGAATTTGAGTCCATGATGCATTCATAAAACTGAGGCAGAGGATTTGATGGGCATGCTGCGATTCTCCTCCCCTCCCCAATGCCAGACATTTATCCACCTGTAATATCAAGTTATCAAAATATATTTTGCAGCTTCAATCCAACCTAAGCTTACCTGTAATCTAAGGCTACAACCCTATACACCCTTTCTGTTTGGGAACAAGCTCTATTGATCACATTTACTTCCAGATAGATATGCAGAGGATGGGACTGCATGGCTGCAGGTTTATGCATTGTTATCTGGGAGTACTGTCTGTTGGACTATTAGGGGACTTGCTTCTGAGTACATAGCATGTGGATACGCTTGGGCTGGAAGTCTCATTGAAACTAACAGAACAAGTTAGTCATGACTAACTTCACTCCTACTGCTTTTGGTGGGACTGATGCATGTCTGCTCAAAAGTAAGTCCCATTGAGTTCAACTGGACTTAATCCCGCAAGTGTTTCTAGGATTGCAGTCATAAATTACAACTAACTTTCATTGGATTGGCGCTAGTATGTGCAATTTGTCTGCACCTCAGAAATGTAACCACAACAATACATGTACTAACTTAAATCAGCAGTGTAATAACTTTAACATAGCTCAGTTGAAAAAGGTATTTTAGAGATAGTTTCCCATCCCCCCTATCCATTTTTTGGTACTGAAATGGAAGAAACAGCTAGGGGACGCTAACCTTTGGCAGCCAGCAGGCACATTTTGAACACTGAAAGAGTGTTGCGGGCACCAGTCATAAAATGGCTGCCATGGGGTAATGGCATAACACAAAACTGCTGCTATGAGGGCATGTCTTCCACATCTAAAAGAGAAGAAAACAGACAGGACCACAAAATGGTGTGAGCTTCTCCTCACAGCTGTGGGGTGGGGAAGGCACATCAGCCACTGTCACAGAGAGAAGCTCTTGGCATTTCTCCTCAGTTCTGAACAGATGGGAAGATGGGTGTCAAATCCTGGCATCCAGTGAAATGTGGAAACATGTTTAAGAGGCTGTGTTCAATGTGAGCCAGTGCAAACAGGAACTGAGCCGGGAGAAGAAACATTTTTGAGGGGATATTTATTAAGACGTTTTTGTGGGTGCCATAGGACACACTGCCACAACATGGGCATAACATTGGTGACCTTTTAGATAGTCCTGGACTAATTTGTAATCTCTTTAAAGCACACACACAGAATAATCAAGATATTTCTCCATTTTGGTGATTTCCTGACAAATAGAGTAGACTTGAAGATACCTTTAGAAGAATAAAGTTATAACTCGTTGCAATTGCTATGATCTCTGTTTTTAAAGGGTTCTGTGAGCATGAACTACACCACCTTTGGAACCCACTTCCTGTCTGTTTTCCTATCCTATCATTCTGTGTTGAGAGAAAATAACTGCATACATTTGCACCAGCTAGTTGTATTAGTCTTTCATTATGGGCATTGACAAAATGAGTCCAGGAGCTACTTTAAAACTAAGGTGGCAATACTTTTCACATTTTCTTGGGAGAAAACCCCACTGAACATGGTGAATCCTCTGGAGAGCTTTGGTAGCCGGTGTTGGAACTGTTAGCAACATCTGCATTGTTAATAAAAAGGCTGAAACACTGTTTTACATTTCAAAAACTTGAAATCCAGACTAGAACCAGATTTACTCATCTCACAAATAAATAACTGTATGCCCACAATTCTCACAAAACTAGTTCTCACAATTTTGTCTGTCAAATATTGTCCCATCACATTCCAGTCAGCAACTGAGAACATCAACACTGCATACTAGTATCAATTAATATACAGACTGAATGTTAACATCATGTTTGTAAATGACTACAGTATTAAAATATATGTACTTCAGTTGTTAACATTCTTTGGTTGATATATTGTTATAACTTTTTTTTAAAAAACCACATTGGGTATAAACTGTGTGTGTGTGTGTGTGTGTGTGTGTGTGTTTGAGTGAGAGATTGTGCGATGCAAAATGAGAATAGGTTTGCCTTCCTTTTTCTTCCTCCTCCAATCTGTATATTTTAGCTAGTATAATGAAAGGCAACTGAAAACCCTTTAAAATCCCACTGAAGTTCATTTCCAACCAGTAAAACAGGGAGAAAATTTGCATATCCAAATTGTTGCAGATGATACTGTTTAATGAACCAGCTCTTGTTAGTGCAGATAGCAACTTTTCCAGTAGCAACAGAGTTCCTCAATAAGAAGGGGAAAATTAATAGAATTGGCACAAATAAAAGGGCTTTCATGTTTAACAGATGGCCTGAATAATAAAAAAAAAAGAGTCCATTCCTGAGAAATGTTAAGTGGGGAACTAACCTTAAGGGAAGCACCTCAGGTGAATAAACAGGCTGAGGTGAAATTGGAGGCTATTATAATGCTTTTGAAGACAGTTCCTCGATTTCAAATGCTTTGAGAAACCCAGAATTATGATACTTTTAGTTTCCACATTCATCTTCTGAAACAGATTCTCTTATCAGATTCACACGACCATTCTGACAGGGAGGTAGCCATTGTGAGGTGACTTTTTGGTGAGGTGACCAAGAACAGGAATTAAAATGTTCTGTGTGGGTGGTTTTATGGCAAGTCTGGGGAGCGCCAAGCAAGGAATCGAAACTGAGAGCAACAGGCATTTTTAACATCATTGTTAAGAATTGCATGGTTCAAATAAAGTTCCTTGTTAAATACTTGAGTTTCCTGTTCATTACTTTTCAGATATATAAAATCAGTGACCATTGGTATGATTCAACTGTTGGTTTCTGTTTTCCTTCACTGTGCAGCAACTGCAGTCACAAGACAGGTGTTTACATTCCACAGTCTGTACTGTTGGGTTTCTCACGGGAAAGGGAGACTGGATGTGACGTACACTGGTTTCCTGTTTTTACACTGTGTGATTCTCTCCAAGCTGTCGAGGAGAGAGGATGCATTTTTCTGCTCTTGCAGAGGCAAGATGTCTTTCTGTAATATACCAGCTTTGAACTGTAAATAAAGCAATAAAGGAGTATGCAACACATTTTCCTCATCCTTCCGCTGGGCACCAAGACTCTGCTTTAAATCAACACGTGGTTATGGACTCCAGGAGTCGAATCGGAGTGCCGGCAGAGGTCGAATCGGAATGCAGAGGGAGGACGGATCGGAAAGGAATCTGCTCTGCGCGTAGAAGTGATTGATGAGGTATGTGCTACTGCTCCGGGCACCGGAGCACCGGCATAAAGCCGGGCACCGGCTTTATGGCTGGACTTTGAACTTTTAAAGCCGGTTTTGCCGGGAATAGGCAAAAGGCTCCCAGGCACAAGTCACTATGCTGGGGAAATCGAAAGTAACTTTTAAGTGTGCCTTTATAATCAGGCAGCTGCAGCAGTGACGCAGCAAGATTTAAAGCAGCATATGACGCTGAAGGCTACTGCCAGAGTCATGATGGCCCTTCAGGATGCTTGTAGGATTCCTAAGCTCAACAAGAATAATTACAGCGACTGGGTTCAGTATGCAGAGGCAATTCTGCGGAAAGAGGGTTTGTTTGAGGTGATTACAGAAACCCCCCCAGTTCCAGTTACAGATGCATGGGAAGCTAAGGATTCCAAAGCAAGGGAACTCTTACATTGATAGTATCCCCAGAAGAGCTCTGTCTATTGCGTGATAAGACCTCAGCCAGAGAAATTTGGGACGCTCTGAGAGAGGCTCATTTAAGGACAGAAGCTGGATCCACTATGTTTTATTTTAACAAGCTGCATAATATGGCTCTTGCTGAAGGTGGAGATGTACGTTTACATCTGATGGAGATGCAAAATCTGAGACATGAGCTGCAACAGAGAGGACTCAACTTTCCAGAGGCTGTGTATTCTTTCATGATACTACAATCTTTGGGTTCAGGTTGGGAGTCTGTTGCAACCCAGATTGCTGTGCAACCAACTGCTCAGCTGACAGTGGACTTTGTTACTGCCGTGATTTTAAATGAAGCAGATCGCCGGGGTGCTAGCTGCATGGGCAAGGGAGAGTCTTCACAGACGTCATCCCATAGTGCAGTGGAACCACCAGATGGCGCCAAAGCTTTGAAGGCAGTCAAATGCTACTCGTGTGGACGTCTAGGCCATATGAAGAGGGAATGCAGACATCCCAGGGCCAAGACAGAGCAGCGCAGCGAAAGCTCATCGCGCGGAAAAGGCCGAGGCAAAGGCAAAGGTCCGGTGTCTAGGACAACGCAGCACAAGGCTATGGTTTCACGCTTCACTCCAAAGGTTGCAGAGGTCCAGAAGACGTCTAGATCTTTCTTCGTTGTTGATTCAGCGGCCACCCACCACATGTGCAACGATAAGAAACTGTTTGTGTCTTTTACACCGCAGGAAGGTGCGATTCACCAGGCGGATGACCACACTATTCCCAGTAAAGGCTACGGAACTGTTGTTCTTCACAGTTTGGACTTATCGATACAGAATGTGCTTTACGTGCCAGACGCCAAACATAATCTGCTCAGCGTTGGACAGCTGAATGAGCGGAACATTGACGTTTCCTTCAAGAACAAGAAGTGCATCATCACAAAGAAAAATGATTATGTATTGCATGCAGAATATGTTGATCATTTGTTTGTTTTGTATTATGATGATATGGTGCAGGATGACACTTGTTGCATTGCAGGTTCTAACAAAAGTTTGCATGCAGAATGTATTCACGATTTTCATCGCAAATTTGGTCATTTGCATTTTGAGGCAGTATCTAAAATGCCTGCCTTGGTAGAAGGTATGACTATTAAACCCTGCAGGTACCACATGAAGTGCAAAGCATGCGCAGCAAACAAAGTGAAAATGGCTGCGAAAGGTAAGGTGTCTAGTAGGAAAGCTACAGAACCATACCAGGTTGTTCATGCTGATTTGGTTGGACCACTACCGCCCTCTTTAGGTGGAAATAGATACTTCATGGTTCTCATTGATGCATTTTCTAGATATATTTTTGTGTACAATCTCAAGCAGAAATCAGAGGCTTTTCCTAGGTTCAAGGAATTCTGTGCTTGGTTGGAAAATGTGCATGGTAAGAAGATAAAGACTCTTTTCAGTGATCGCGGGGGGGAATTCACTTCTCAGCAGTTTGAAGCTTTTCTGACTGAGAAAGGAATTCAACACGATTTGTCTAGTCCTCGCTCGCCATGGCAGAATGGACTTGCGGAACGGGCAAATCAGACATTGCTTCAAGGATTAAAAACCTTGCTGCATGATGCCAATCTTCCAGAGAGTTATTGGGCCGAATCTCTCTCGTGTTTTGTTTACAGTTACAATCGCAGGCTATCTTCAGCGATTGGTTGTACCTCTATGAGAAGATGTTTGGCAAGAAGCCATACATCAAACACATGAAGATTTTGGTTCTGACATGTGGGTTCGCTCACCACAAAACTCCAAGTTAGACAAGCGTGGATTGCATGGTATCTTTCTAGGTTATCAGAAAGGGTCTTACAGAATAATGATGACTGACTCTAAGACAATTAAGCTCACGAGAAGTGTCGAGTACAATGCAAAGTGGGGGAGAATGTGGGAATTTTCCAATGTTATCCTGATGACGGTGATGAGACTGAGGATAGTCAAAAGCAACCACAACAACCCACACCCACTGATGAAGGTTCTGAGTCTGAATCTGAAACTGAATCGGGTGATTCAGAGGATTTCAAGAGTGCGAAAGCCTCTATGCGACCCTCTGAAAGCTCTGATCAAGAATTGGAGGAACCATTGTTCACAATAGGTCGTTTTCTCCTAAGAAGGAAGAGGAGAGTGTTGAAGACTTAAGGCTAATTCGTAGGTCACAGAGAGCCACAAAAGGCAAACCTCCAAAGAGATTTGCTGACGAGTTTGCTAAGATAGCAGTAACAGCTGTTAAAAGCTCCAAGAAGGTATTTGAACCTTCAAGTTTCCAAGAAATCCAGGGTTTGGATTCAAAGGAAGCTGAGCCATGGTTAAATGCCATGAAGGCTGAGCTTGATTCCTTAGAAAGGAACAAAACATGGGAGCTAGTTCCAGTAGTTCCAGGAATGAAACTGCTTGGAAGCAAATGGGTCTTCAAAGCGAAGACAGATCAAAATGGCAAGATAGTCAGACACAAAGCCAGATTGGTAGCCAGAGGTTTTGCACAGGTACCAGGTGAAGACTATCACGAGACCTATTCACCCACAGTGAGATATGAAAGCATTAGGCTTATGCTCAAGCTAGCTGCAGAGGAAAGTCTACACATTAGTCACCATGATATTAATACAGCTTTTCTGTACGGATCTCTAGATGAATCACTTTATATGCTTCCACCTGATGGCGTACAGGTAAAACAGGGATTTGTTTGTGCTCTGAAGAAATCCCTTTATGGTCTCAAACAAAGTGCACGGTGTTGGCACACAAAACTCACTGAAGTATTGTTTTCTCTAGGTTTTCAGCAAGGGAAAGCTGATCCATGTGTATTTGTCAAAGAGGAGGGGCAAAGAAACTGTACTGTTTGTTTTATGTTGATGATTTATTATTTTTTTGGAAAGATGTTGCAATGTACAATAGCGCCCTAGCTCAACTGAAAGAGCACTTTGACATAAAAGATCTTGGTGAGGTAAACAACTACCTATCTCTGGAAATAGAGAGAGATCAAGATGGTAACATTCTAGTACACCAGTCACGGAAAATTGCTGATGTGTTAAGCAAACTAAATCTGATGGATGCTAACCCTGTAGACACACCGATGACAACAGGTTATCAGGTAGATGACACTGAAGAAGCATTTTCTGACACTACACTGTACAGGAGTGTGCTAGGCAAGCTAAACTTCATTGCCAGATGTTCAAGACCAGACATTGCTGTTAGCTGTAATTTGCTAAGCAGACAAGTCAACAATCCTAGTGTCAAGGATTGGAAAGCTCTGAAACGCATAGCGCGGTATTTGAAAGGCACTATGCATTACAGACTGAGATTTAACAATCAGAAGTCTGGTGGTCTTGAGATATTTGCAGATGCAAGTTTTGGAAGTGACACTACAGACAGGAAAAGTACGTCTGGAGTTTGCTACATGTACAATCAGAGTCTGTTTGATTGGTCATGCAAGAAGCAAACAACAGTTAGCTTAAGTACTTGTGAAGCTGAACTGAATGCACTGTCTTATTCACTTAAGGATTGTAAATGGTTAGTACAATTGTGCAAAGATATGAAAATTCCTGTCAAATGTCCAATCCAGGTTTACCAGGACAACAAAGCATGTTTGGCTTTGCTGAAGTCTGAAGGTTGTAAGCAAAGCACAAAGCACTTGCAATTAAAGTTGCAGCATGCTAGGGAATGTATTCAGAAAGGACTCGTAACGGTGTCCTATATGCCAGGTAATGAAATTCCTGCTGATGTATTGTCCAAGATTGTATCAAGGGATCAACACTGTACCTATGTGCAGAAGTTGGGTTTGTACTGATATTGTACGAACACGCTGCCCAGTGATGTTCACAGAAAGGGGAGGATGTTGGTTTCTGTTTTCCTTCACTGTGCAGCAACTGCAGTCACAAGACAGGTGTTTACATTCCACAGTCTGTACTGTTGGGTTTCTCACGGGAAAGGGAGACTGGATGTGACGTACACTGGTTTCCTGTTTTTACACTGTGTGATTCTCTCCAAGCTGTCGAGGAGAGAGGATGCATTTTTCTGCTCTTGCAGAGGCAAGATGTCTTTCTGTAATATACCAGCTTTGAACTGTAAATAAAGCAATAAAGGAGTATGCAACACATTTTCCTCATCCTTCCGCTGGGCACCAAGACTCTGCTTTAAATCAACACCAACATGGTGAAATGGTGACATTCTGGTAGCTGGATGAGGGCCAACCAACAAACTAAGGCTGAATCTTGCCATGACTAGACATTTTCAATGAGTGGTTATGTGGTCTGAGAATTAGGGAGAGAGGTACGCTCTTTCTGAGGGAAGAGGTATGTAGTTCGGAGGCATTCCTACATTCACTTCTTTCATTGGACACCCAGGTGACCTCAGTGGCAAGGAGCACCCATTATCAATTTCAGTTGGTATGCCAGCTATGCCCTTTCCCGGACAGGGATGTATTGGCTATTATGAGTCATGTGATGGTAACATCTCAACTGGACTACTGTAACACGCTCTGTGTTGAGCTTCCCTTGAAACTGGTACAGAAACTGCAGCTAGTGCAGAACACCGTGGCCAAGTTGTGGAGTGGAGAGCCAAGATGCAAACATATTTATAGCTGTGCTTGAGAGAATCGCACTGGTTGCAGAATAGTTACTAGTCAAAAGTTTTGTGAATCACTGCCTGCCCCTATATTAGACCTGTAAGTTCAGGGGTTTTTATTCATGGCACCGCACTTTAAAGAATATCACAGGACAGTGACCTGAAAACAAGGCATTTTCTGCTGCTGCTGCTCTTTGGAGAATGTCCTTCCCTCTTCCATACAAGAAGCAGCATCAACTATTTGCTTCATATGTGTCAGGGGTTCTGGGACAGAGGCACAGGGTAGGCAGGAGATGGAGAGCGATGGGGAGGAATCCCAGGACAGCGAGGAAGAGGATGACAATGACTCAAGAGATTCCATGAGTCTTTCCAGCGAATCAGAGGATTCCCAGAGGGGACATGTCAGGAGCAGGGGGCCAGCTGGGCATCCCAAAGTGGCAGCTGGGTGTCAGGACCAGCCTCCCCGCCAGAGTGCAGCGAAGGGGGTGGAAGTTTCAGTGTGTCAGGGGAAGCGGCTCCGGCAGTAGAGAAAGGAGGGAGGTCGGAGCAAGCCATCCTCCCGGAGGGAGGGGAGCAGTGAAGGGAGTAGTGTAGCTGTTGAAAGGAAGGTTAGAGGTTGGGGGCGCGCGCCAAGTTCAAATGTAGAGGCGCGCGGAAGTACAGGGAGCCCGGAGGAGGGGCCAGGTCCCAAAGCCCGCAGGAGGGGGGAAGAGCAGTCTGATTCCGCGTCAGAGGAATCCAGGAGGGCGAAACCCCAGCGGGCAGAAGGACCCTGCGGAAAGGAAAGAGAGAAAGAGGTGGAGCAGCGCAAGTCTCTTAAATTGGTGCAGGGGAGGGACGGATTCAGAGGGGACTTCAGCGATCTAAGCGTAGCAGACGTAGGGCTGCGCGCCTAGGATGTCAAGCAAACAATGAACTGCAATAAACACTTTTGTATATAAGAAGACATAGGCGTTGGTCTTTTGTGAGCTGAGACTTGAGGCAGCCCTGACAATATGTCTTTCAAAAAAATGTATTGTGTGCAGGCTTTCCTTGATCATAAGATTGGGCCCTGTACCACCGGATCACTGTTTTTATATGATTTCTCAGGCTTTATGCTGATTTGTACTATTGTGCACAGCTTAAAAATAACAATTATATTAAGGGCTTTATAAATACTTTTAAATTTAAAAAAAAAACCGTGCAAAATATTAATGGCAGATCATCGAGAGTTCTCTCGACTGCCCCTTTCTAATATTAAAATTAAATATTCAAAATTTAATTAGGGAAAAAGCCACTGGGAACTGAAATCAGGAGCAGAGGAAGGGTTAGGGCAGTGGTGGTGCTTAACCCCTTTCCCTTCCAGATTTTCCTTGCAGTCACTTCTCCCTTCTGTAAAAAAAGAAAGGGGTATGGGGCAGGGAAGCCTGGGCTGCAGTGAAATCTGTGAGGGTCTGGAACTGGGAGCTTATGTTACTGCAGTACTAAAGAGTTCTTTGATGTTTCACATTTCTGGCAGGATCAAATATTGTTTGAGATTTTTTGTTGTTCATCATACAAGGCCATTCTTTATTTTCTAACTGGGAGGGGGATAGACAGTTCTGCATTGTACAAACCAAACACTAACCTCATTGTTCCAATGGAAGTTGTTTATTTGCCCTCTGGTCTGTGTACATTCAAAGGATGTCTCCTCTTCCCGAGTTATAGGAGTATGGTTTTTGTTATGAACGCCCTCCCAGAAGATAAAAGACAAATCCTGGACATTTCATATTCAAAACCTAATTCCTTCTGGGATTGTAGTGTGAACAAGGATGTGTGTAATTCTGATTTAACTAGAAACAGGGGGGGGGGGGGATATCTCATTTTTATTTTTACAAAACCCTCTTTGGGTTAAATATTTGGGAGAAAATTAAAGCATAGCTCATGAAATGTTCCTGATAAATGTTTTTTTTTTTTTTTAATTGATTGTTTAGTTTGACACCGCCTCCCCCAAAAAGTGAATTTGCAGATTTTGCTTTTACATAGGAAAGCTGGGCCTGTTGAATTTATGTCTGTCATGCAGTTATTAAGACATAGGAACCTCCCTGAGAGAAACATACGCAAACACAAACATAGTGGCAACTGCCATCTGGGCAATCTGGACAAGGTTGTAGTCCTTATGGGTAGCAATGTGATGGCCAGGGTTGCCAAGAATGTTCTCAGTGCAGAGGGTTTTTATGTGTACGTAGCTCTGGTTATGTACTTAATTCATTCTGAAGGTCCGTTCTTAACCCGAAACTGTTCTTAACCTGAAGCACCACTTTAGCTAATGGGGCCTCCTGCTGCCGCCGGAGCACAATTTCTGTTCTCATCCTGAAGCAAAGTTCTTAACCCGAGGCACTATTTCTGGGTTAGCAGAGTCTGTAACCTGAAGCGTATGTAACCCAAGGTACCACTGTAATTCAAAAGTTAAAAAATGGGCTTTCTGTATTGGGCTTACCTTAGCAGATTCCAGGCTTATGCGGATTCCACTGCTATTAAAGGAAAACTGTTGACAGATGCAGTGAGACAATGTTTGTAAAAAATTATGTCAGATTTTTAATAAGAATTTCCCATGTGTAAATAACATTTTTTGTCTGAAATGCATAAAAGCTATGTTTAAAAAACAAACAAACAAACCACCAGGTGAGCGCATTACTGCTACCTACAGATAAGGGTACAATACGAACGCCAGACAGGAAGGAACTAATTACATATATATTTTAAAACCCACAAATTCTATTATATAAAAGACATCAGCTCACATTTTTAAAATATATACACAGCTTTTTTTTAATTAAAAAAAATGAATTAAGTCACCACTCTTTTAGTTCATTTATCAATGTGAGTTCATCTCTGAGCTATTTACATTGCATAGGACATAGTTAAAATTCACAGTGGACAAGTGCATTCAAAGTCATTGCACAAGGCTTTTTTTCTCCATTGGATGCAAATTGAGGTTCCTTCCTCCCAACCCCCAATAACAAAATCAAGCAAATTAAATTTAACTTTGAGAATGAAAGATATACAGGATCCATCATTAAATTACATCTGGATCAAATTTATGACAGTATATAAAATGCTAAAATGACTGGTAGGGTCAGATTTTGGTCACTAATGCACCTCCTTGTGCTGCTCCAGCAATGTAAGAGTAATGTTCAAGTTTCCTTAAGTGGTTAGGTAGTAATTGCCTTGAAGGTCATGTAGGCGGAGAGGAAAGAGGAGCACAGATATGCTGCCTTGCCCTGCTCATTACCATCTTAGTTCAGCTAAGTACTATCCTTTAAATAACAGGACGCTCCTTATCTTAAGAAGATGGGACTCTTTCATCTCAAGATCGCTTCACACACACACACCGAGCTACTGGGAAAGTGGTGCATGGAAGAAGCTTTGGCATGCTCCTTTTCTGAAAAAAACCACAAATGGGTGGATGCTGTACTGCGTTGCACATGTGACTCTTGGCAATGGGGTGGGAAACGCGGCCCAGTCCAGAGAAGAATTAGCTGAGCTTAAGTTCTACTGGAACAGAAGGAGCAATTGCATTGAAATTTCAGTGGGGATTCAGACTGGATTGAGGCTGGGTGTGCAGCTGAATGAGCTGATGATCAAGCACTAATCACCTCTTTGGAGTGTATTATTAAAGCCGGCAGTGCTAGCCCAGATACTGGGTTGATGGTAGTAGTATGGACAGACAAGTATTACACAGCAGAACATTTCACTTATTTCCCCCCCCCAAACACATACTATTCCTGTGTCAAAATAGCAGTGTTTATTCATCTGTTTTCTCCTAACCCCTCCCCGCCATATGCTTCCTGCCTTCTTCTGCAATCTAGCAACCAGCGAGTATTGGGTTCCTAGCTTTTTGCACCCATGTTATTGCTTGCAAATACAGCATTTTTATTTTTAAAAAGTTTGAAAATCTATAGCGGAGTGTCTTTCCCACCTTCCAGTCAAGGCTGTGCATGGCTGCAAAACAGGCGACGGCAGAGGCCTACCTGTAAAAGACTTGCTCTAGCCACGAAATCGGGTCCAATGTAAATGGCGGACGCTCTTTATTCGAAGTCATTTCCATCTGCATCGTTGAAACCATCTGCATTTTTGGAAGTTGCAATGGTTTTCTGTCTGGGGATATGAGGATGGAGGAATGCTTTGGGAACATGTTCTTAGGTTTTGGGTTCCAGGAGCTCGAAATATAATTATGATTTTTAAATATATAGCTTGGCGTGGTTGTTGTTCCTGTTCTTCCCATTTGGGCAGTGTTCCCCAGTACTCAGTGTTGTAGATTTTTGTGTGTGTCGAGAGTCCAGAAGGTTCACCCAATATGCTTTTTTAAAGCATAAGCGAAGCCAGGGTGGACGCGAACGTTTTGCAAATGGCACGAGGGGAAATGCAATGTGACTGTGACATATGGCCACTCCGTGCCTGCTAAATGACAAATGATGGAATGTCAGCGCACAGAATGCAATGAAATTCATGCTCTTGATAAAACATGAGTGTTCAGACAACATCTGTGTAATTTTTCTGATGGCAACTACAGGGCAACAATACTGGAGGGTGCTGGGGGGTGGAGGGTGGGGAGGAGAGACTCAGAAAGACAGTTGGGAATGAAGCTGACTGTGAAGTCTGTTAGGCAAATCAATATTTTGGCAGGTTCAGCTTGCCAAACATTGTCAGTGCTGATATGCGATGTCGCGGCAACATTATACAGAGGCTCTCTTGGACATAAAACAGACTTGTAAAAGGCTGTAAACATCACGGATGATGAAAGCTCGGCTGTCATCAAAGCTTGTATTGTGAGGTACAGCTTCAGGGCAATGCTCCGAGGCAAAGGACGCTTCTTACTCCAGAGTAGCCCCACCGCCTTTGTGGCTCCTGAAGACTATGGCCATCTGAAGTTTATGTGGTCCTTTAGCAGTTACCTTTCAAGTTGCTCAGAGGGCACTGCTCTGAAATAAATGGTTTGAGGGCTCAGGCCCGCGAAGTTACAGAAGCGACTTAACAATGGCTGTCATTCTCCAACAATACCCAAGATAGCCTACATGAGGAGGGAGATGCAGGGCCATGACCCACTGGTCTAAATGCTGACATTCACATGTTCAGTGGAATTTCTCTGAAGGGGAGCATACACAAGACAGCTCCTCGGATCAGAAGGTTCCCAATTACCTCGATCACCTATGGACACATGGGAACTCTTTTTTTGGCATCCCTCTGAGTACATGGATGTTGGGAATTTGTTTATGAAATGTATCACTTGAGCGCATTGGCTTGCTGGTCAGGGCGAAGTCGCACTTTCCCCCATGCACATAGCCTAGATGTGTAAAAAAGGAAGGCACCTGAAAATCCCTACTGTGCACATATGCTGAATCTGTTGCTGCACTGTGCCACTTAGAGCTTATAGACTGTGCATCTGATCTCTCCAATCTGGACTGTTTTAGCCCGAGTTTGTCCCCAAAGCTTCTTGGAAGTGACAGCAAGAGGGCTTGCCCCGTAAGACATTTTCAAACTCCTGCCACCTCCACACACGTAATAAAGTCAGACTTTTGCCACGACCTCAAAGTGCAGCCTGGCCATTCACCTGGCAGCCACTACCAATCAAATCGGACAGCTGTCAACTTCTATACTCACAGGCCACACATTTTGGGATGCAGATTTGAGATATATGAATGTCAAGGTTTCCAAAAGATTTTTTGAAATAGGGAGAAGAGTGAAACTTGTGAAGTGGAATCTCCATAATGCTCCCGTAAAAAAAACAAAAAACCAAACCAGAAATGTAACAGTGCCAAGCAGGTAAACCCTCTAAGGTAGGAAGAAGTTTGGTAATTTTTTTCCTGGTGATTTCCTCCCCTGCCAACGTGCCGGCCGTGTGTCATTAAGCTGCATCAAACCAGCCGCGCTCTCGCTCCATCTTCTGATCTGGCCATATGCTTCTTCCAAAGTGTCGGGTTCCGACTGCGGTTTGGGAGGGAGATCGGAGTTTATCGCTCGCTGCTATCGGAAGTTCCACAGCTGCCGCTTTCAAATTCATCGGATTACAAAGCGACTCTTCTGTCCGGTTTGCTCGTCTTCCTCTTCAGGCAGCATAATAATTTCCAAACTGCCACTTCTGATAAAGATTGGAAGAGGAACAAACGCCGGCCCTCAGGGCTTTCTGAGACCGATCCACTTCCAAACACGTGGCCCGAGGAAGGTGTTCCAAGACAATGTGATCCATCTGGAAAGAGAGGGAGAGAGAGAAGGTATGGGCAATGGGCTGCAAGTAGCAAACTGATAAACTGCTATTTAATTTAATTTCACTGTACACAGGTGGTGTAGTGACAATAAAGGTTTATTTTATTTTATTTTTACATGGGACTAGGGAAGGACCGCCCTAGCTGCTTCTGCTCAATATGTATTATTGATCCTCGACAACCGACCGTTGGCTGATACCATCTGGAAGACACCAGGTTGGCGGAGGCTGGTATGCATTTATAAGCTGAATGGGGATGTTGGACAGTGCTCAATATTTCCACCTGTTCTCAAACCGCAACTTGGCTGCACCCTCTGTGCCACATGGCTTTCCAGTTCTTTGAAAATGCAACGAGCAGAACTCTTGCTGCCTGAATGACAATTACCCTGCAAAGGAAATAATCCCAGATGGCATTTGCAATATAGGATGACTTATGGCAGGAGATCCTGCCTTTCATATCGCATTATGTCTCAGCTGATGAAGTAGACAGACACATAGCATGATGGGAAGTGGATTGGGTAATTTGTTAATTAAATCCAAAGGGCTGGGATACAGAACTGGATTATGAAATCATGAGAAGTTTTGAATGAGCGGGGATCCTATTCTTGTTATTTTGCATTTAGCTATCTTTCATGAGGCAGAGTACCGTTATATTGAAGGCTGCTCTAGGCTGAATTTTGAGAAATTCAGGTTAATATTTTGAAGCATCATTTGATTGAAACAGCAAATCGTAAAAAATGAAAATGTATTGTTGGGGGGGTAGGCGGTAGAAATACTATTATCTTGACATATATGCTATAGCGATTATTCACAATCTGGTGAATGTTGATGTTCACAACGCTGAAAATGCTAGCTGAATTTTAGGATTGCCTAAAAATTAGACAACAGGCATTTGCCCATTTTTCCAGACACTTAAACGTGAATGTTGATAGTCACACTTCAGTGGTGTATCTGTGTTTTCAGACATTCACAAAATTTACTCTTTTTCTTACATGACAGTAGTATACCCAGTATCATAGCCTTTGGTTTACACATGCATATGTGATGACTGCAATACCTAATGATGGATTTTCATGTGTGAATCAGCCGCTGTATATCTGACATCAGAGACAGAGCTCTTCAGGTAAAACATTCATCAATGAGTCAGTTCACATGTCCAGGTATCAGCCAGTACAGTACTCCAGGATTGGTCAACACATGCTGGTATTATAATGCAATTGCGCTCAGTGTTTTCTCTACCTCTGATCAACTCTACTGGCTGCTCCTTGCAAAGGGCAGGGGATTTTTTTAACTTGATGATGTCGCATCATGTGTCTTTAAACTACACATGACTGGCAAAATGCAGAAGAATACACAAGTCAGCAAGAGCTGTTCGTTCCTTGTTAGGCATAACTTTCATGGTTCATTCTGCCTGCAATCAGGGACAAATTTGTCAATTTGGGTTTCTTGTTTTTCCAGCCTTAAGTTCAGTTTCCCACATTTCTGCATCAGTCTGAGATTTTTTTAAAAGCGCTCACAAAAATATGCCAGCGTTTTTGTTCACGTTTCTCATAACAGACACACATTTGTATATAATTTTGCTCAATACACATTGTTTGCAATTTTTGCTAATATAATGCATTTTAATGTTATTTTCACTAATACCTGCATTTTTAAGCACAGTTTACCCTAACGTATGCATCTTTGTGCGCATTTTCTGTTGCTGTTGGAGAACTGCATTGCACAATTCAGAGAAGTGCAAATTGCAAAGGATAGCTGCGTTTTGGTTTACGTATTGTTTCAGTAAGTGTGCATCATGGTAGATTCATGCTAAAGTTTCATCCTATTTGTGCCCATGGAGTAGTAGTTAAACTTTATTCGCATTAGCCAACAGCCATAGCAACATAAAACAAGCAATATATAAAAATAAAATATATACAAATAAAAAAGACAGCAATAGGTAAAAAGGGCAATCAAATGGCCAAGATTATCGTTCAGATAGTGGCCCTTAATCTCACTGCACCCTCGATAAACCTAGCAACCTTTGCTGTTGTCTGATCATTTTGATCTGTTAAAGAAAGAACAATGTGACCTCAAATGGGCGGCCTGGGATGGTAAGTAAGAGTGGGGAGTAATGATCTCATTCCTCAGATCTTTATAAAGGGGACAGGACAGGAGAACATGAGCCACTGTTTCCAGATTACCATCTCCACAGGTTGTTTCTCAGTTGGAATCTTTTGGTATCTGCCCTCAAGTACAGCAGAGGGCATCACATCCAATCTGGCCAGTGTGAAGGCACACCTGTATTTGGGGATTGTTACCGGTAATTTATACATATATGGTGCCAGGGAATCAAACTGAGAAGGGGGGGGGAGAGGCATACCAAGGACAGAATTTCTTTATAATGGCCAGATTGTTCTGTTGCTCTAAATCCTTCAGACGCTGTCCAATTAGCCTTTTTGGTTTAATAAAGCCCGTCATGAGAAGCTGATGTGGGTGGAGTCCACAGGATAGGAGTTTTGTGCCCATGGAGTTCTGTGTTTTAGTACAGAGGAAGCTACAGCCATTATCTGAAAGCAGAGACAGCAAGCACTACACTGATCAAAAAGCAAAGTAAACTGCTCTGTGGATTTGTCCAGAGCTGTTTCCTTTTGCTACCTTAGTGCAGAGTAACAAATCATAAAATGGTAATCTTGTTAACGAATTAATGACAAAGGCTCTTTTAGGGGAGGGAAAGCCTATAGTACAATGGACACACTCCACAATACGTTTTTAGCTGGGAAAGTTCTTTTCTATTTGATTTCTATCTGGTAATGAATATGGTTGATTGGGGGGAAAATGAGATTATGTCAATATGCCATCTTCAGTACATAGCTGTCTTAGCAATGACGGAATATTCTTGAAGAGCTGACATTTGGTAGAAACCCAGGAAAATTTCCCATCATTTCAATCTTTGGATCTGCTCTCTCAAAAGACCTTTGTTTGTTTTCTGGAAAACGCCCTCTATAGATTCCAAAATGTCTACAGGTTCTATTCACTTCACTACTGTACTTAAGTAAATACAGTGGTACCTCGGGTTACAGACGATTCAGGTTACAGACTCCCGCTAACCCAGGAAATAGTTCCTCAGGTTAAGAACTTTGCTTCAGGATAAAAACAGAAATTGTGCGGTGGTGGCACAGTGGCAGCGGGAAGCCCCATTAGCTAAAGTGGTGCTTCAGGTTAAGAATGGACCTCCAGAATTAATTAAGTTCTTAACCTGAGGTACCACTGTACAAAGCATTAAGGAACAACCCATTTAAGGAAAACTCGAGGCTAATATATCCTTTAGGAATAGCACTGTAGTTGTGCCAACAAATGCACACTGGGATGTGACCCTATGCAGGCCACCAAAAGCCCATTCCTGGTTTTTGAGAGTGGAAGGGTTTGAGAGTGGTTCTTAGTTTTCACACCTGCATTTAGATTTGCCATCTTCAACTCAGCTCTGTTGCATTGCCTGCTGTTTTGGAAGCCTAGGACCACAAAGCACCATCCACCGTGAAGTTGTCGTGTTCCAATGAAATCAATTTGAGCAGTTCCACCAGTGCTCTTGAACAGCCTCCATTCATTTCACACAAGGATGCCCATGCGGATTGCATGGGCGGTAATGTTTAGGGAAGTTTTAACTGTTTGATTCTATTTTTGCTATTCTGTTGGGAGCCGCCCAGTGCGGCTAGAGAAACCTAGCCAGATGGGCGGGGTATAAATAATGAATTATTACTATTACTATTAATGTGATGATAGTGGTGGCAATTTTAAAAACCCAGTTCATGGACCCTCATGCAAGTGCGGCTTAGTGGTTGGAGTGTCGAGCTAGGACCTGGAAGGAAGACCAGGGTTCAAATGAGGTTCACTGGGTGACCTTGACCCAGGCATTGCCTCTTAGCCTAAGCTATGTCACAGGGTTGCTGTGGAGATTACAAGAGGAGGAGAGAATCCTTGGAGGGTCCAACCTCCTTCACTGGAGGTTTTTAAGCAGAGATTGGGTGGCCACCAGTTATGGATACTTTGGTTGAGATACGTGCATTGCAGGGGGTTCGACTAGATGACCCCTCGGGGTCCCTCTCAACTCTGCGATTCCATTATTCTATGTATGCAGCCTTGGGAGTTCCTTGGGAGGAGAAGATGGGCTACAAATCAATCAATAAACTCCATGCATTGCTCCATGTGTATATATATTCAGCTGCCAGATCTGGGCGAACATCACTGCACCGCACTGGCTCCACCCATGACATTCATGCATTGCACAGGACTTCTGAAAAAGAGCACCCATGCACATACAGCTGTGTGCATATAGAAATGTCATGCAGTAAGTAGCCCTGTACAATCGGGAGTCCTGATCACCTGGGGGTGCCTATGCATGTACAACTGCAGAGTACCTGTGGCAGAACTGACGAACATAGGAGCTGTATGCTCAAATCCCCCTCTTTGTACTCCAATGTAAGCTGAAATGTACAAATGAGAACACCAAAAGCTTCCAAAAGGTACAGGTTTGCTTCCTGATTACCCCCAAAGAACAGGCTGTGCTGTGGCCGATTTTTATTCATTCTGAACAGTGCCAGTACAAGACGAGCCTGCAGAGGACAGCCCTTAGCTTTGTAGAAAATAAATCCATCTTTTGGTTTCAAGTGACGGCAATAACTTTAGGCTCCCACAGGGCCAGCCTGCCCTCCAAAGCTTTCATAAAAAAACTAATCTGATCTTTTACCTTGGCGGATAAAATTGTACAGCTCAAACTTGCTGCTGGCTTAGTTTTGTACAGGTGCAATTGCCCGTATCCAATTGTGCTGAACTGGGTATTACAATTTAGCAAAAAGAAGAAGAAGAAGAAGAAGAAGAAGAAGAAGAAGAGGAGGAGGAGGGGAAACACAACTTTCTATATTGTGGAAGGTCCAATCTGTTTTAAGGCCCATAGTTCAGAGGTAGATCAAAGAATGTCAGTGGTACCTGACAAGCTATCTGGTAACTTAAATGGCTGCTCATTTTTCATATGCTTTTTCATGTCTTAGCCTAAAAAAAAGAGTATTTTCACTTTTTAGGAGGTTTTGAACCAAGATTGGCAAAGGAGGAACAAATGGAAAGAGTCACAATGTCAGGATCTTGTACAAGATTATCGATCAGCTCCTATAATTGCTATTCTTCCCTCTCAATAGCCCCCACCCCAAAGTCTTGAAAGGACCTGCTAAAAATCAGCTTCTTTCAGATAGGGAAAATCATTTTAATTTACCTTGGTCCTTTTTTTTATATATAAAAAAAGCCTTTTTATAAAAAAAAAGCCTTTAGAATTATTTCTAGAAGCTATAGCTGAGGAGGCTGCAAACGATTTTGGTGTTCGTGTTTTAAATACAGTCATTAGATTGATTTTTGCACCAGGACAGTTTAGAGAATCTATTCTTTATCACTGCAAAGTGTTTCTATGATGTATGGATGACTACCCTGGAAGGAAGATCTGTGAGAAACTGATATCACAGTACTTAGTAAGGCAAAGTTGAGGTCTTAAAATAGAAAACTACCCCCAGCACCCAGGGCAGTGTGAGGTTATTGCCTCAGGTGGCGTGGGGAGGGGGACAGTCCCCCAACCATTTCCCTTGAGTCCCTTAAACTAGCCTATTCTCTAACTTCTAAACTACCCAGCTGCCTCACCTGCAGCAGAGGGTGTTGTTTCATTGCCCGTGTTGAAACAAGGGTTCTGCTGATGGAATTGGATTGCAGGGTGGTGGGTGGTGGACACAATACAACACAGGGGGAGACACATGACTTAAGTTAGTCACTTCAATGGGACTCCAGCACAACTCACTTATAGTCTGAATCCAACCTGTTATTTTTATAGCCACCTGGTTTCAGACCTTTGACTCAAGACTTGTGCTGATTTTGTGACCCAAGGAAGCTTTTGGAGAAATCCCACAAATTCATTGGCCTGCACGTATGTCTCAGTGGAGAAACAGGACTTGGGGCTTAAGAAACGCACCTGCTCGAAAAAGTTCCAAGGATTCCTTCTGTTGTCTCTCTTTCTCTCTCTCTTTCACACTCACAAACACACACATATAAAGATAAAGGTAAAGGACCCCTGGACGGTTAAGTCCAGTCAAAGGTGACTGTGCAGTGCGGTGCTCATCTCGCTTTCAGGCCGAGGGAGCTAGCTCTTGTTCACAGACAGCTTTCCAGGCCACGTCTGGCACAACGGAACACTGTGACGGAAACCAGAGTGCACAGAGACGCTGTTTAACTTCCCACCGCAGTGGTACCTATTTATCTACTTGCACTGGCGTGCTTTCAAACTGCTAGGTTGGCAGGAGCTGGGACAGAGAAACGGGAGCTCACCCCGTCGCAGGGATTCAAACCGCCAACCTTCTGATCGGCAAGTCCAAGAGGCTCAGTGGTTTAGGCCACAGCGTGACCCTGTCTACTTTGATTTGTTTGTACGGACTAGAAGTTTAAGTATGTAAGCTTGCTACATCCTGTGTGGTTGCATGATTAGAGCACAGGTGAGCAACCTGAGGGCCATATGCAGCCCTCAACTTAATTTCATATAGGTGGGGGGAGCCCAGAGGGGAAATTGCAGGGGGGGGGGGGGAAGAGCTGAAATGAATGGAGTGATCAAAGGAGAGAAGGAAAGCCTTCTGCAAGTGGCAAATCTGGACAACTGACAAAAGCAATCTACACCCCTGCCTGTACCAGGCTACTAGGCGTAGAGGAAGGAGAGAATTGGTGTAAAAAGAGGGTAGGGGGAAAATGGTGTAAAAAGAGGGTGTCCTGTCCACTTTTGGCTTCCGTCTTTCCCACTGCCACAATGTGCCACGGTTGATTGACCCTGGTGGATTGCAGCCCTTGACAGCCAACAGGTCTGTCACCCCTGGCTTAAGCGTGTTGGGCTAAGGACCAGAGAAACCCATGTTCTGCCAGAATGCTCACTCACTGCAGCCATCATCTCTCAGCCTAACCTACCTCACAGGGCTGTTGTGAGTAGAGAATGGGTTGATAAAACAGAACTATGTGACCACCCCGAACCCCTTGGAGGAAGGGAAGGATAAACATATGGAAATAACTAAAAAATGCCCTTCGATTCATCAAATATAGCTAAAAGTTAACGCCTGCACAAACCCTTTCTTTACTTGAATGACAAATGCCTCTCACATGCCCCCATACAAATGGAAATGAGAGAAAAGGCTCCCTTTGTTTTGCACCGGTTCCAGTTTGGCCACAGCAAAGGGAGCTGGGAGGGAGGAGGAGGAGCCCTTTGCAAATGCTGCACTTACGAGTTCTGGATGAAAAGCCACCAGTGATTTATGCAACCATTTCAGGCTATTGTTTCGTTTATCGCAAGGGTGCAGGCCCAGTGTTCCTTCCGCATCAGTCACTGCTACACAGGAGTCTCCGTGCTGGATCAATCTCAGCCAAGTATAGTTGAACTTCTGGTTCTGCGCATGGGAAAGAATTAGTAGCAGGCTAAATTTCGGTGGTTGGTTATCACGCTCAATTTCAACCCTGCTTTCAGGTGCCACTCGGAAGACATTTTTGTGCCAACAGGCCTACACAACAGGCGTCCAATATCTGCACTTTCCAGAAACAGTTGAAGACCTTTTTTGTTCAAACAGGCATTCTCAGCTGGATAAATGGGTGTCCACTTGTTAGGACTTTAAACGTATTTGTTTTTTGTATGTGTTTTAAGCTGTTTTAAATTATTTTACATGTAGATCACCTGGTTTGGAAGGCGATTTGATAGATAAATTTTAGTAATACAGTGGTACCTCAGGTTAAGTACTTAATTTGTTCCAGAGGTCCGCACTTAACCTGAAACTGTTCTTAACCTGAAGCACCACTTTAGCTAATGGGGCCTCCTGCTGCTGCCGCCACACAATTTCTGTTCTCATCCTGAAGCAAAGTTCTTAACCTGAAGCACTATTTCTGGTTTAGCGGAGTCTGTAACCTGAAGCATATGTAACCTGAAGCGTATGTAACCTGAGGTACCACTGTAGTAATACTGTATGCAGCTCCTTAAAATTTTATTCAGTAGCCAGTCATTTTAATGATTGTTCTGTACTGCTTTTATTTTACATGGTTTTTTTACATTGCTGTACACCTCCCTGATGTTTTGTGAGAGGCTGGTATACAAGTATTTTTTTTAAAATAAATGACTAAAATTGGCTGTTCTAGTATGCAGTTGAATCCCTCAGTATGCAAAATGCAGGTGATCTAAAGCAGCTTTCAAAATTTGCCATGCGCCAGGTGCATTTTGCACCTGGCTACTGGCCACTTGCAACCAGGTGAAGATGCCTGGGAAGCAGGATTGCGCCTGATGTCTCCGCCATCTGGAGCTACATGCTTGGGGATCCTTGGATCTGAATGGTTTTCACACACTTGGAACACATCCTGCAGAATTATATCCATTAAATTTTATCTGCACAGTCAGAATGACTTCCAGGAACCAAAAAGTCATATTGAAAAACACGACTTTCAAGCCCATCTCGCCCCAAAATGGCAACGAGGCATTCCGTTTTGGTGATGGTAACCCTGGTTTATGAAGTTATTTTGCTGCCTGGCTTATATATCTTCTAACACTAACCTAAAGGCAACCTGTGAAATGGGTAGAGCTGCTGAGACCGTTCTCTACGATCCTGGGATAAACATCAGACTGTGTTTTCAACTAATTTTTAATATTGCAGTTTGATATTGTTGTTACCTGTATTTATGGATGAAGGGTAGGCATGAAAGCCTGCCTTTGGTTTGGTGGCTGAAAACGTGTCTCACCCGTGGCACTTCGCAGTGGTATGAATGGGAAAAGGAACTGGATTGTTAGGAACAACCCATTAGTTCAAAAAGTAGTAACCAACCCCATGAAAATATTACATACCGTTTTTTTCGCACCATAGGGCGCACCAGACCATAGGGCGCACCTAGTTTTTAGACTGGGAAATCAATAAAAAAAATCCTGCCGGGAGAGGCTGCGTGGAGCTAAAGAAGCCATAGCCCCATGCAGCCTCTCCCTGCCGGAGGGGTTGCGCACGGCTGTGGCACAAGCCTGCATTCGCTCCATAGGACATTTCCCCTCAATTTTTGGAGGGGAAAAACTGCGTCCAATGGAGCAAAAAATACTGTATCTTTTATGCTTCCTGGAAGCTGCAGGAAATGGAGCGGGGATAATCTGACTTCCAGAGGCCACTTACGTGCCACTGGTTTGTGACTTCACTGAAGACACAGATTCCACTCCATCATCTGTGCCTCCGGGTAAGTATAAAGGGCCGTCTTGCATCTCCCGATAGTGAGGGAAGCCTAGCTGTGAGCCCAGCAGGAAGACTGTTCCCAGTATTAGCCTCCCAAGTTGAAATTTCAAAAAGGGCATTAAAGAAAAGCAACCATATTGGGCCTCCAATATGAAAAAATGCAACAGGAAGGCAATAAACAGTCTTACCTTGTTATTAACGTCACATGTTTCAAAGGCCAGGCTAGACGTATTCACAGTGATGCACTTAGCCAGTGCTATGTTAATGATCTAAAATAAAACAAGCAAATTGAAGCAAAAAGTTAGAAATGTGATGTCAAAGTGGGCGTAAAGACCCTGAAGAAGGAATGCAGCATTTTTTTTTTAAAAAAAACCCAATTCAATATCTAGAGGTGGGCAATAGCCACTAGAGCTCCTCTACCCCATTTCTGACATTTGATGGGTATTTCGTAAGTTGAAACATAGTCATTGAAGGTGATCAATCAGATTGGGCTCACTTTTAATTAGTTGGCCTGAGCATCTGAGGCTATTTTGACAGGTGTGTGACAGCTAACAGGGAAAGAAAAAGAAAATGTAAAAGATGGCCTTCTCTTTTAACAACTTGGCAGTGCTTGTTTATTAAATTGTTAGCTGTCTTTGTTATCTCATTAAAAAGTTTAGGTGGCATGCAAATTGTTTCTAATCAGTTTCAAATTCTTGTGTTTCTGGACAGCCCTAAAATCAACCCTTTTTTCTGTTTTGGAAGTATGAAAACTTTCATTCTACTGATTCAAATGCTGTAATTCAGGTTTGTTTTCAGGCTGGAGGGAGCAACGATGACTTATCTCTATTTGCTGCAGCCCCCTATCAGCAAACCTAAGCCAGGGACAGGTAAAAAGAGCAATTCTCCACAGCTGACCTTATGCAGTCAATTGGGTTGCCCAACCCATCGTAATAGCAATCTTCCATCTTGAGATTACCTTGCCTAAGCAAGACTAATTTGGAGTTTTAAACAAAAATCTTCTGGGTTAATGATGTGCACTGTAATTTGTTAATGCAAAGGTCAACAAAATAAATATAAATAAGTGGCTAAGCCCTCCTGCTGTCACCAGATCTCAGTTTGTTAATGGATTTGGGGGATGAGTGACTGATTGCATTTTGCAATTTTTACGGCCGTGTACTAAGTGGCCTATCAAGGATCTCTTTCCAACTCTCTCATCACAACACCTTCTCTCGCCCAGGGTCAGGGATGGGGAACCTGAAGCCTTCCAGATATTTGCTGGACTACAGCTCCCAGTATCCCCGACCACGGGTCATGAAGCCTAGGGCTTGGAGTGCAGCAACATCTGGGAGCCCACAGGTTCCCAATTTCTCCCCATGATGGCATAGAGCACGGCACTCTCTCACTTTCTCTGTACACCTATTGGCCCTGTAGAAACAAGGAAAGGTCAGAGTTCTTGTGATGGCCAGGCACAGAAAAGCTCCTGCAACATCACAGGTCTATGTCTGCTGTCATGGAATGAAAGGAGGGGACACGACAGGGGCAGAAGGAACACTGTGCAAATATGCATAAGGTGCAAAGCAGGAGTGGGGAATCTTTGACCCTGATAAAACTACAACTCCCATCAGCACCAGCAATGCAATTTTCATGCCCTCTCTCCTAATTACAGCTTATAAATTAGCATTGAAATTGGATGGTGGGCATGGAAAGTTCATTAGGATGCCATATCACTGCTTTACGGAAGAAAATTTTGGGTTTGGGATAAGGTACCAAAATGCCAATTTTATTCCAGAAACTGGAGGAAAATGGGATTCTACTGCACTCTAGTGGCTGCAAGCAAGAAGTCTGAGATCTGAGAGGAAGTTGAGCCTCGGTGATTTGAGTTAGGAATGTAAGAAGAAGAAAAACAAACCAAACTAAGATCTTTTAAGCACCAATACTCTAGGGCAAATATCTAAAATATCAACAACTCTTCTTTAGCTGCTAATCGTTACTGCAGGGGCTACCGACACTAGGCTGCTCCCGACATCTTCCCTTGGCTTCACCCAAAGCTCCTCCTCCCTGACAGATTCCAGTGCTTTAAATGGGCACAGCTACCTCAGCTACAACAGCTGAATAGAACCTTCATCTTCAGAGGTCTCTGAAAAACTAGGTGCTGGGGACAAACAGCAGGGTCCAATGCCCTGCTCAAAAGCTTCTCAGAAGCATTTGGGTGGTCACTAGCGAATGCAGAATTCTGGACCAGATGCCTTAGCTCAGTTGCTTAGAGCATAGTGCTGAGAACACCATGGTTGCAGGTTCGATCCCCACATGGGGCAGCTGCATATTCCTGCATTGCAGGGAGTTGGACTAGATGATCCTCAGAATCCCTTCCAACACTACAATTCTAAGATAAGTGAGTAGCTTCAGCTCACCAAGCCCAAGGCAGAGAGGTGGGGTCTGGGCCCCAAACATCAACCCATTTAATATATTGCAACACATGCAAAATCCACCAGGATCTTTCCCCCCCCATTAGTTTCCCACTCATCCTTTGGACATGAGTTCATCTCCTTAGATCCTCTGATCCTCCAGATGTAGTTCGATTCCATCTCTCACCAGCTTTAGTCAACGTTGCCCATGGTCAGGGATGACGCAGCTGTAGTCCAACAACATCTGGAGGGCCAGATGTTCCTCAGCTCTGGGCTACCAAACACTGGGCAAAATCCATCGCAGGCAAATATCACACAAAAGACATAAAATTTTAGACGATGATGTGTCAAGTTGACATTAGCCCAAGGGGCACATTGGAGTTGGGAAATTGAACATACCAGCCCACTAGCTTTAACAAGGGGGGCTTCTAAATCAGGGTAGACGTTCTCCAGGTACCATTTGAAGCTTTTGCACTGAAGCCGCTTCCTCAGTTCTCTCTGCTGAGTCAAATCCCCAACGTCCAGGTTCTTTTGGATGAGGTGATAACCATGTCCATAGAAGAGATCTTTGTATTCATCCAGCCAAACCTCTGCAACTCGGGCCAAATTCCGCTCCACCGTGGTAAGGCGGTCTTTGGGGAAGGAGTAGGGGTTGTCATTCCTGAAAATGTGGCCCACTCTGGAACACGGGGTGATTTCTATTTCCCCTCCACACATCCAAACCTGGTGAAAAAGAGGTAGGATAACACTTCATGAGGCAGCTACTGGCCAATGGATTCTGTCGTGTAATATGCCTTCGGGTGCATCTGGATAGGGAAGGTTTAGAACAACTTGCTGTTGATAATTATGTAAGGGGATTCCACAGCACACCAGCTCAGTTCAGACAGCATGCCTAACCATAGTTTACAGTAAATGTGGCTTAAGATCCCAAACCACAGTTGGAGCTTCTGTATGTACAGGCAACCTGTGGTCTGTTTTTGTTTTATATCTGCTCAGCACTACAGTCTCCAGTTGGCCTTCAGAGGCACAACAATGGCTGTTAACAATGGTTTGTCAATTCAGACGTCACACCAATGAGATATAGCACAAATCATGGCTTGCAAATCCATTTCCCATTCTAATTTGCCACTGGATCACAACCCATGATCTATCAGTTCACACAAAACATTAACCATGTTGAATGTTCCTTAACCATGGTTTCATATGTGGTATCTGACATGAGCCATTGTATTATTTAGTGCTTTTTGCCTAGGATTTTATTTTAATCTATTGCATGAAAGCTATATTTTGTTAAAGGTGCATACATCTTACAAAGCACCCTCAAGTTTAAAATGTGATTGCTGGGGGGACGTGACAGAATAATATGTAAATATAACAGATACAATATACTGCTTGCCCTGATGCAGTCATTTTTGACCATTTATTTCTACTAAGGAGCATCTGAAACCACGATATATGCAGGACTGCTGCTGTAATATGACCATTAATATGATTATGAATGTGATGCAAATCAACTGGGGTAGGGGGAATACTGTTACAGTTAATGCAACATACCTTGAATGAAATCTCCATGTTTTCACCTCCCCAAACATCAAGGCCAGGATCATATGTCCCAAGTTCAAAAAAGTACTTCTTATCAATAGAAAATAACCCACCTGCCATCACAGGACACCTAGTAATTGAAACATAATTTAGGATTATACATTGTGCTTTAAAAGAAAATACAGATTTTGCTATTAAAGGGCGCCTACCACATGAATTTTAACAGTGCTCCATGTGCTTACATCAGAGTTCCCTTTATGACTTCCAGGATGAATTAAATCTGCTCGCCCCCAGCCACAAAAACTTAGCAGCAGGCTTTGCCACTGTCTATAAACTCTAAAATATAATCTTGTTATATGATGGAAGTCTTGAATTTGGTGTAGATGGCTTGCCTTGCAAATGCACAGTTTGGGTACAATTGCATCTAGCCAAACATAGCATTAGGTTCCTTGCACAGGTGGTAGTTTTAACATGCTTATAAAATGACATCTCCCTATTTGTATGATACATACTTTAAATAAATCAGGGGTAGCCAATGTGGGGCTCTCCAGATGTTGCTGGACTATGACTCCTATCATCCCTGAACACCCTGGCTATGCTGGAGAGTTGCAGTTCAACAACATCTGTAGGTTGGCCATTCCTGCTTTTCTATTCCAGGAAATTGTGGCTGAACTAAAGCTTCAAACATCCCTGACCATGTTGGCTATGGGTTGATGGGAGTTGGACTCCAACAACTCTGGTCTAGAGGCCCAGTGTTTACCCAACCTTGTTCTTTATATGGGATCCTCATAGCTGAACTCGCTGTGTTTTAATGATGCTAGTTTGCACTCAGGAAAGAGTAGGGTTGCACACCCAACAAATGTTACCTATGTTTTGCAAACCTGAGTAATATACGCCTTTCTCCCAAACTTGTGGGTTTAGCGTTTTAAGGAGCAATTCTGTCAACAAAAGCTTAACAGCATAAACTTACCTAATTATATCGGTGTCCTTAATCCCATTTTTCAAGATGACATCTGGAGGAATGGGCTTCCATCCAAAATTCATTGGCCATGTAAAAACACCACGCTGAAAGCTGTCCACGGTCATGTAGCTAAGGAATGGAAGTCACAACAGGAATTAACTTCAGAAACAAAAGCTGTCTCTGAAAAGAGTAACTGTAACTTAAATGATATACTTTTAACGGGGAGGGGCTGTTAAAAGATCCCACGGGTAACCTTAAAACACATACTCTCACAAAATTATGAGCTTTTTAAACAAGTGGTGAAATGTGTAACATCCTTTAAAAATAGTTTTAAAATTCTTGGTGTAACATCTTTTCCTGTTTGCAATTTATTTTGGAAACTGTCACAACCAGAAGATGCTTAAGAAGATAAAGGGTAGAAAGGACTGGTTCCAAAACGTAGAAGGGGAAACTGTGGTCTTCCAGATGTTGTTGGACTGGCACTGGCCATGTTGGCTAAGGGTGATGGGAACTGGAATCTAACAACAACATCTGGAATCTAACAACAACACCTGTAAGGCTACAGGTTCCCCATCCCTGCCAAGAAAAATGATCCACGTGAATAAGTATTTTTCCCTGTGCATGGATTACCAAGGCGGGACCAGAACAAATATGGAGGCATCAAAATTACCTCATATCTTTGTCACTGATGACTTCAATAACAGGACAGGCAACTTTCTTCCTATTCAAACGGACTCTGTCCAGGAGCGGCTCCAGCCATCCTACGTTGCATTCCACGTGAGAATCTAAGAATGTCAGTACGTCACCTAGAGAAGAAAATAAAAAGGAGCTAATTCCATTGCAGAAGATGAAATGGAATAACTCTGGAAAGTTCTTACTCCGGGATAGCACCAAATAAACATTTTTTTTTTTTAAATGAACGTTTTCACAGTTAAAGGGGTTTTCAGGAAATATTTTAAAAACATATTTTAACTCACTATTTTTTTGGGGGGGGGGGAATCGAAAGGAAGAGAATATTTGGTGCCACCTTTGTAGTACTACTGAATCTACATGACTGGTGGGGGAAAATATCTGCCTTCTATTACTCTGATTTTAGTGCGCGTTTTAAAATTGTTTGGCGATCAGGTACAGTCCAGTGAAGGTTAAGTATGCCTACATCCCAATGAATTAAAGCTATATTCTTTGCACACTTTTCTGGGAGAGAGCCCCATTTAGCAGAATGGCACTTAACTTCTGATTGGACCCATTTAGTTCCACTGATGTCAGTGCAATGAGTCAAATTTCCACTAGATTGCTTCCAGTGACTTCTGTCTTTTTTTAAACAACAACAACAGCAAATAACCAACTGCACTTTGTTGATAAAATGCAACTCTTCTTACCTTTGGCAATCTCTGCTCCCGCTAGTCTAGCTCGTATTAAACCATGCCTTTCCGTGAGATGAAGGATCCGGACTTTGGGAAACTGGGCCATGTACTGGTCTAGTTTGTCCTTGAGGTATGCTAAAACAGAACAGAAGAGAAGCAAGGAAATGGACCACAGATTCGTGCCTATGAGCAAGAAATAAAGAGGAACCAACCAGCCCTCAGCCACTGCCACTTGTTCAGGCTGCTGGAGGAGAGACAGTGGAAAACAAACATTGGTTCCCTTCTTCTGACAGCCATGACAGGAACGGTGGACCCCCTTCCCCTGGCTCCCCACCCAACACTCACTTGCTGCCATGTTACCTTCATTACATATGAATTGTCGCCTCCCAAAAATACTTTGTTTTTTAAGCACTAATTGACACATTTATTTCCTTTCAATAATCCTCCCAAAGTTAACATCTCTTAAGCTGCATCCATAGTGCGACTACATAGCGGTTTCTCTCAAGCTGAGTGGAGAAGTGATAACTCATATAAGATTTCAACTGAACGTTACAAGAAACATTTTAACATTAAGAACAGTTTGACACCAGAACCATTATCAGAGGGGTGGGACTGGGGCTCCTCCTCACTGGAGGTCTTCCAAGAAGACTGGTCACCCATCTGCTGGGATGCTCTAGCTATGGATTCCTTGCATTGAGTAAGGGCATTGGATTGAGTGATGGACTCGCAATAAGGCCCCAGTAACAGGTAGAATCAAATCTATGATCATCAGAAGAAACCACCCCACAGAACAGTGGGTCCCTGGTCTGCCCTCTTTTAGGCCAAATATATTTTCAGGATAAGGGACTTGGGTGGTGCTGTGGTCTAAACCACAGAGCCTAGGGCTTGCAGATCAGAAGGTTGGCGGCTCGAATCCCTGCGACAGGGTGAGCTCCCGTTGCTTGGTCCCTGCTCCTGCCAACCTAGCAGTTCGAAAGCACGTCAAAGTGCAAGTATATAAATAGGTACCACTCCGGCGGGAAGGTAAATGGTGTTTCCGTGCGCTGCTCTGATTTGCCAGAAGCGGCTTAGTCATGCTGGCCACATGACCTGGAAGCTGTACGTCGGCTCCCTCGGCCTATAAAGTGAGATGAGTGCTGCAACCCTAGAGTCATACGCAACTGAACCTAATGGTCAGGGGTCCTTACTTTCAGGATACACGTACAGTCGTACCTTGGATCTCAAACGCCTTGGCTCCCAAACAAATCGGCTCCTGAATGATCAAATCCTGGAATGTTCCAGTTTTCAAACATTATTTTGGAAGCCGAACGTCCAACAGGGCTTCCGCGGCTTCTGATTGGCTGCAGGAACTTCCTTCAGCCAATCAGAAGCTGCACTTTGGTTTCCAAATGTTTTGAAAGTCTAATGGACTTCCGGAATGGATTCCGTTCGACTTCCAAGGTACAACTGTATTCTAATTGTCTTTTTTTTTTTGTATATAGAAATAAAATGTCATCTATAGGAACCAAACCAAACCAAACCAAACCAGTTTGAGCTCACAAGGAAATGTAAGGCAACAGAATTTCACTAGAATATCACAACAACCACTTGTATTAAGTTACATTTGTTTTATTGTTTTTATCTTGATATTTAGTGATAGTTTTACACATATTTGTTTTTTCATTGGGTCTGTGTATTTTAGTCACGGTTTATATATAATTGGACTGGTTTGAGTTTTGTTTTGTTCTTTGGGATTTTTTTGAGCAAATTTTCTAAATAAATAAATAAACGGCAACCTTAAAAATGAAGCAAAACAAAAAACCTGACAGCATTTTTAAAAGAGTAAAACGGCTTGGAAAACAGGACACTCAGTAAGCCGAAACACACTGGGAAACACCAACCAACCTTTGGTGCTGAAGTCATCCACCAGAATAACCTCTTTAATAAACTGAGGAGGGGAGCGGTTGAGGACACTGTGAACAGAGCGCAAGAGGGTGGACCACACTTCGTCAACAAAGCATATGATGATGCTGGTGGTGGGAAGGTTGTTGTGGACAAGAAGATCTCTACATCTGTAGCGAACAGAAACAGGCATAAATGGCACTGAAGCAGCGCACACACATAGGTAAAAGCACATGCAAAAAAGAATGGAGGGTTGGCGTTTCTAACTTGCCATAAAACATTTTACCTCAAGACTGTCTCAGCCTTTATATACTTGGTCGATCACTGTGCTCTGCAGAAGGGGGTCTCTTGCAGACTCTGCCTTACCACGAAGTCCATTCCATATGATATAGAAACAGGGCCTTTAGCGCGGTTGCACCTATCTTTTGGAATCCCCTCCTCCCATTCTGTAATAGACAGCTGCTGCCTCTGCTGTCTTTTTGGAGCCTACTGACTGCCTTCCTCTTTCAACAAAGCCTTTATCACAGCCTGCATCTGCACTGGAACTATTTCCCACTGTTTTTATGTATGGAAATGTTTGTAATTGTTTTCTGCTTCTCTTATTTTACGGTCGTAACTATTTTTTGATTGTGTATGGAGTATTTTTTTTAAAAATTGTTTCAACCTGCCCTGGCAACCCATGATAAAATCCAAATAAATGCTAGTGATGTTTTCAACCAAAAGGAACGAAGGGAACCAAGGAACAAATTTCCATGTAGCACTATCATGCTGGTCAGCACCGACATCAGGGGTTGAGCAGGCAAGAAAGGAAGTGGTTGTACTTTCCTGTCAGGAGCTAACATCAATAAAAATAGACTATGTTAATGAGTCTCCTTTTAATGGAGAGGAACTTCATAAGATCCAGGGATTAGTTGCTATAATTCCTGATTTTTTGCCACTCAGGCAGATTCAATCAAAACATCACCACCATCACCTAGACCAGTGGTACCCAATTAGCTACCATATTTTTCACTCTATAAGACGCACTTTCCCCCTCCTAAAAAGTAAGGGGAAATGTGTGTGCATCTTATGGAGTGAATGCAGGCTGTGCAGCTTTCGCTGAAGCCAGGAGAGCAAGAGGGATCAGTGTGCACCGATCCCTCTTGCTCTTCTGGCTTCAGGGATAGCCGCCTGAAGCCTCCTGAGCGCAGTGGGAGCGCTCCCACTGTGCTTAGGAGGCTTCGCGTTGCTTTCGCTGAAGCCAGGAGTGCAAGAGGGATCGGTGCGCACCGATCCCTCTTGCTCTCCTGGCTTCGCTTCTCTGGAGAGGCGCTGCACAGCTTTCCCTCTCTGCGCAGCGCCCCTTCAGTGAAGCGGGAGGAGAAATGGAAGGGGCTCCGCTTCTCCTGCCGCTTCGCTGAAGGGGCGCTGCGAGGACAGGGTGATAAGTTTTTTTCTTGTTCTCCCCCTCTAAAACTAGGTGCGTCTTATGGAGCGAAAAATACGGTAAGTACTGCAGACCCCCTGTTTTTCAAAAGCCAAGCTATGTAGCCCCTAATGTTTGAAAAATTTGGTATCTCTGTAATAGCTCTTGTTATGTGCATGGTGTCACAGACGCCCTGTGTGGGTTATGCGGACCCCCCTGGGGGTCCACCAGCCACCAATTGGGAACCACTGATCTAGTCTACAGCCTGTGTTGCTGCTAGTCAGCTTCTGTGTTTAAGAGAGCACCTGCCAGCTCAGAACAAGCAGGGTGGCCAACCTAGTCTTGAAAAACCAAGACGCACAAATGATTTTTCCAGAGGAGTAACTTTTTTTTTTTATGGCTTGGCAAGTGCAGTGTGTTATAATGAACTGGAAGTCAGGAGAAGTGAAAGAGCAGATGTCCTGTGGATTTTGCAGTATATGGAAGCCAGCTGTGGAGGGCGGCATGTGTGTGAATCCCGTGGTATAAGCTAACAAACAGAAAAAGCATCCAGTGGCTATTTAAAGAGAAAACCAATGCATGGCTTGCCTGTACTCCTGACATCCATCTCGCTGTCTGATTGGCATTGCAACAGGCAACTGTTCATTATCCACCTGCACTGTGACAACTTATGGGTGACCAGCAAAAGCATGGTAGATAAAAAGCACAGGTGCAGAATAGGAGCAAATCTTCCTTCCTGTCGTCTAAAAAGCTGTGGAGTTGCATGTGGCAGGGTGGAGTAGCAGATACAATATCAGGACAGGGAAAATATGAGTACATATCCTTCCTTAACCATAGATCTCACTGGCCGACTTGGGGACTTTTGGGGTAATACTTCCTCTTAAGAGTTTTTGAGGGCTGGGTGGAGAAATGCAGTGTTTGAAATTGGCCAGGCGCCAGGCGCATTTTGTGCCTGACTGTTGACTGCTTGCGTCCAAGTGAAGATGCCTGGGTGCCAGGATGGCGCCTGACATCACCAGCTGGAGGTGCATGCCTGGGGAGTTTTGGATCTTGGCTGTTTTCTCACACCACATCCCATAGAATTCTATCAGTTATGTTTTATCTGCACCATCAGAATAAATTTCCGGAAGCGAAATGCTTTTTCTGTGCAGCCTGAGCAGGAGCAATGAAAAACATCATAGCTAATTGTTGTAGCTTGCCTTCACTCACTCCAGCCCACTGCCCTGCAGAATATTCTTACATTTTGAATGGTCCATGTCACCATTAAGAAAAAAAAGATGTAGGAGTCAACAAATATATATGTGGACTGTCCCTGGATAAAGTTCTCAAAGCTCTTAACCTAGCTCAAGGTTGTCATCTGAACTAGCCAGATGTTTAACTGATAATCTGTCAAAGACAGCCCATCCTTAAAAAAGAAAAAAAAAAGGACTTTAGAGCCTTCTTGGCTAAAAATGACAGCTAGACATTTTGTTTCTGGCACCTGCAACCTTGGTTTTAAGGAGCTATTTGGCACCTAGCTTGTGCATATGAGTTTCTAACACTGGAGAAATGGAATGATGTGATACACACACCTTGGAGGCGGAACAGTAAACGAATGGTAATAACAGCAATGTGTAAAACATGCAGCACAGATTTAAACACAGAAGAGCTCTTAGACAACCTCAAACACAGTCCCTGTTCTCCCAATGGCCAACCAGATGCCCACAGGAAGCTGACAGGTAGGACCTGAGCTCAGGAGCACTGTCCCCCTCCTGTGGTTTCCAGCGACCGCTTTTCAGAAAGATACTGTCTCTGACTGTGGCGGCAAAGCACAATGAACTGGACTAATCCTCTTTTAAAGCTGTCCAAGTTGGTCGCTATCACTGCCTCCTTGTGGGAGAGAGCCCTCTCCGGTTTAAGTGTGTGCTTCGTGAGGAAGCAATCTCTTCCTGGGAAGCTTCAAAGTGGAACCTCTGTTAGGCCTAGGTACAATGGGCCAAGGGAAATGTAGTTCCCATAGCTCCTCACATGCCCAGGAGCCATGGGAACTACAAACCTATGGCCCCTTGAGTCTAGGATGTCAGTACTAGGGGACTGAAGGGAGCCCTTCTTCTGAATCTCTCCATTGCTGTCACAACCACTACAAGGATAGGAAATGGGAGGAGCAACTGGCAGCATTGCGAACTGGGCTGGACCTGAACTTTGGTTGCCTATGCAGGGAGGGTGAAAAACCACACACACAAAACAAATTTCCTAGTCTCGTCTAATTACTGTAGTTAAACTAACACTGGGGGCTCCTTAGAATGCAAGCTCAATACAGTTCAGTGGTACCTCTGGTTGCGAACGGGATCTGTTCCGGAGGCCCATTCACAACCTGAAAAGAACGCAACCCGCATCTGTGCGTCTGCAGGTCATGATTCGTTGCTTCTGCGCATGCGGTCATTTTGCGCGTCTGCGCATGCGGCGAAACCCGGAAGTAGCCCTTTCTGGTACTTCCGGGTCGCCGCGGGATGCAACCTGAAAACGCGCAACCTGAAGCAAACGTATGACTGTATTCCGAAGTGATTTTCAGTTTGGAAACAGATACAAACAATCCTAGTTTTATTCCGGAAGAGGTGGAAAATAGATTTCTAGTGCACTCTAGTGGCTGCAGGCCGGATGTGTGAAATCCTATAAGAAATTACAGTAGTTTCTCCATGCTTCATAGAAGTAGGAATGTGAGAAGATATAAAACACTGAAACGTTAAGACTCCAGCAATAAGGAAAAACAGCTAAAATGCCTATTTATACTTCCTTAGCCGCTGTGTAGCCATTCGTCCTTGTTAATCATGATTAAATAAATACACTGTGGAACACTGCGGCCAAAGCAGGCTGCAGAGACTGGGAGCCGCAGGGCCAGTTAAGTTAAAACCTTGAAGTGGGCCAATTATTTTACTGGCAAAAAGGGTACTTTAAATGGAAAATGTAAAAAATGCAAAACAGAACATTGCAAGTGCTTCTGAAGGCATTCCCCAGGCACCTCTGCCATGTAGGGTTACATGGGTGGTGACTGGAGAGGGACTTCTCAGGTGTTGCAACCCAGCTAAGAAACGTTCTCCCTGGGGATGCTTCCTGGCAGCCCAATTCAATGCAAGGACTTTGACCACTGCATCCCCTTCTTCTCCTCCCTCTGTGTTTACTACAACTGGTTTTCATTATTTCTGTTGTTTGTAGTCACTTTGAGACATTTCTAAGAGCAAAGCGACTAACTAGCAACCATAATAATACAGTGGTACCTCGGATTACATATGCCTCGGGTTACACACGCTTCAGGTTACACACTCCGCTAACCTAGAAATAGTGCTTCAGGTTAAGAACTTTGCTTCAGGATAAGAACAGAAATCGGGCTCCGGCGGCGCAGCAGCAGTGGGAGGCATCATTAGTTAAAGTGGTGCTTCAGATTAAGAACAGTTTCAGGTTAAGAACGGACCTCCGGAACGAATTAAGTACTTAACCCAAGGTACCACTGTATTTGCAAAACTTTTGTTGTTGTTGTTAGCTTGTCAAAATAAAAGCCTCTCCTTTCGCTCTACCTAAGCCAGCGAACGCTGATGTCTGCAAAGCAACAAGGTCTGAATGTAGCCCACTAGGCCTATATATCAAGAAGGAACAGAACAAAATCTGCAGATCTGAGGGGGCGATAAAAATTTCTCCCATTTCAATGAATTTGTCATTTCATTTCATGGCAGTAAAAAGGAGGAGGAGGCAAAGGGCTGGGTCAGGTCTGAGTCTTTCCTGCTTGAACAAAAGGCTGAGGGAAAAGCATTTCTCTCCATTACTATTTGCAATTCATTGGTGGGCTTGATGTGGTGCCTTAAGGGGGGCCTTCGCTCCCTAAGCTCCAATATCTTCAAGGGGATCTTGAGAAGGCCACAACATCCTACCAAAGAACTTCTCACAGAGTCCATTCTCTCGATTGTTCCTTGAGAATGTTTTATGTGGTTGTTGTTCCCCCATATCCATATCTTTGCCTCCCTTGCCTCTGGGACGTTTTGTTTGGGGAGATGGCTGGAATTTCCAAGCAGCCCTCACAGCAAGGGAAGTTAGAAAAAGAGAGAGAGAGAGAGAGAGAGAGAGAGAGAGAGAGAGAGAGAGATGGTGGAAAAGACGCTGGAGAGCCACTGCCGTCAGACTAGAGAATCTTGGCTTGATGAACAAATGGCCTGACCTGGTATAAGGCAGGTACATTCACTGCTGGTGCTATGAGGTAGGCGCATGGAAGGTGAACCTGTAATATATGGTGCAAGCATCCCCTCCACTTACATGGGGGTTACGTCCCAGGCCCTCATGCACATAAGTGTACAGTGGTACCTCGGGTTACATACGCTTCAGGTTACATAAGCTTCAGGTTACAGACTCTGCTAACCCAGAAATAGTACCTCGGGTTAAGAAATTTGCTTCAGGATGAGAACAGAAATTGTGCTCCGGCGGCGCGGCAGCAGCGGGAGGCCCCATTAGCTAAAGTGGTGCTTCAGGTTAAGAACAGACCTCCGGAACGAATTAAGTACTTAACTCGAGGTACCACTGTAATTGCATAAAGTGGGAGAGCACCCTCTAAAAAGCCTCTAAATCCCTATTCCCCCCTACTCTCCAGGTCTCTCTCTAATCCAGACTAAAATAACTAGAGTTGAAGCTCTGGAGGCTGGAGGATATGCAGGAAAGTGTCTGTGGCAGCTGCTCCGCTACCCTGCGTATCAGCTGAGCAGGCGGGGAGGCTGAGCAGCCTAAAGAAAGCCTCACTGTGTTATACCAGGATTGTCCTTGCAGTAGAGGAGAGGTGGGGTATCTACACCCCCGGGACAATATCACCTGAGTGGCTAGGAAGGAGGGGAACAGGCGGGTGGGGGAAGAGGTAGCGGAATGAGACAGAGAAAAATACAAATAGAAAAGGAGGTGGCAGAAAGAAAGAGAGAGAGAGAGAGAGAGAGAGAGAGAGAGGGAGGGAGGGAGGGAGGAAGAAAGAAAGAAAGAAAGAAAGAAAGAAAGAAAGAAAGAAAGAAAGAAAGAAGGAAAGAAAGAAGGAAGGAAGGAAAGAAAGAAAGAAAGAGGGCCGTAACAACTTTGGATTTGGACCTCACCTACCTGGCCCTGCCCCCGCCCCCAAACAAATTGCTCCTGAGGCAATGTAGCTCCTGGCTACATTCACACCATACATTTAAAACTCATTTCTCCCTCAAAGAATGCTGGGAACTGTAGTTTGTTAAGGGTGCTGGGAATAATAGCTGTCTCTGTATGTGTGAGGGGGTAAACTACAGTTCCCACGATTCCTGGGGGAGGGAGACAATATGTGCTTTAAATGTATGGTGTGTACACAGACCTCAACAGTAAAAGCGTTACCTCAAGCCCTCCACTAGGATAAAACAAACTCCCAGGGCATTTTAAATAATTTAAACGTGACAATAACAATAATAATAATAATAAAGTGTGGGGTTTTTTTTTAAAAAAAACCCAACAACATCCACCACCCTAGGCAGATTTTAGAGGAAATACTTGTTTGCCAAAGCAAACTTTTCAGCATGTTCACAGTGGAGAAACTTGTTCAGCGTCAACGATACACTCACACAACTTCCTTGTCGACATACGCAGAGCAAACAAGTTGCTTCGCTGATGTGAACGATGAAAGTTAAGGGTGTCCTGTATCAGTGGCTGACTGTTTGCTTGTTTGGAGTCTGCAACCGGCCTATCCCAGCCGATACACCCTGACACACTTTGGCAATTGATTTCCCTCATGGGCAGGAACGTTCGTTCTCCAAAGCCGATAAGCTAAAAAGGAAATCCTTGTGCTCCGTATTCAAAGCTGCAAAAAGAAACAGTTTCCCCACCCCCCCCTTGAGTGAACGAGTGCGTCACTAACTGTTCTGCTAGCTTTGCGGTAACAGTGCAGGCTACCTAATCTGATGGACAACTTTCCAGTTTTCTGTGTGTACTCCGATGCCTGAATTAACACTCCCACAACTGGGCTGGACATCTTGACCGAGAAAACTGCAGGCTCATTTCCGTAGACACCACTTCTACTTTGGACTCTGACACAGTGCCCTGAGTGCACACGCCCTGCAGATTTATGCTGTTGTGGGACTTTCAATTAAGAAAGAATAGGATAGCAGAACACCTTACTCCAGTGGCTCAGGCCACAATCCTATGGCCACTTAATGAGGTAATACTCAGGGCCGGACCAGGACATTTTGCTGCCTGAGGCAAAGGGTGAGTTGGCGTTCCCTCCTGCACAATTCCATATCGAGAAGCTGACAAGACTGGCCATCAAACCTCACTTCAGCTCTAAAAATGTGAGTCCTGAGGGCAGCTGGCTAGCTTAGGGAGCGGCACAGAGCAGGCCATGTCCTGCTCTGCCCTCCCAGCTTCTACCGCCTGAGGCTGCCGCCTCACTCTGCCTAATGGTAGGACTGGCAACAACAGGCACATCTATTCATTGAAAACGTTTTACAAGCCACTTTATCTTATCAAAAAGCATTGTAATCAGCGCTAACGAAGCATGACAGATAAAGGGCAAGGAACTAGATCCGGTCAGCTGCCTGGATCCTTCTGTCCCCACCCCCACCCGCCACATTTCATGTTGGTGACCCCTCACCTGTAAAGCCACCTGGCATCAGAATGATTTTGCCCACGGGGTTTAAAATTAAAATTGGAAGAGAGGATTATGCCTCTCACGAAACTTTGTAGTGCTAACAATCCGCTGATCTTCGGAGCTTGCAGAGAACCCATACACAGCGTGGTGCAAGCACCAACCACCAGCCGATTGTCAAGTGTTCAAAGAGATGCGTGCCGTTTTATGAGAGTCCTGCTGGTCAGCTGATGGCCGGGGCTTGCAAAAAGCAATGCACGGGGCTCTGCAAACCCCTTTTGGGCCTAGACACACATCTGACGACATACACATCCTCTGGGACAGCTCAGTTGTTAGAGCATGATATTCTTAATCTCAGGGTTGTGAGTTTGAGCCCTGTGTTGGGCAAAAGATTCCTGCACTGCAGAGGGTTGGGCTAAATGACCCTTGTGGTTTCTTTCAACTGTACAATTCTATGAAGGGTAGGGCAGATGGGTGACTTAGTTGAGAAAGCTCAGGGGGTGTTCATTAGGACTGCGGGCTGGAGGTTCCTCAATGCTGCAATTGGCCAAAAATAAGATTGGGGAGCGGGGACATGGGTGGCGCTGTGGGTTAAACCACAGAGCCTAGGACTTGCCGATCAGAAGGTTGGCGGTTCGAATCCCCGCAACGGGGTGGGGTGAGCTCCCATTGCTCAGTCCCTGCTCCTGCCAACCTAGCAGTTCGAAAGCATGTAAAAGTGCAAGTAGATAAATAGGTACCGCTCCGGCGGGAAGGTAAACTGCGTTTCCGTGCGCTGCTCTGGTTCGCCAGAAGCGGCTTCGTCATGCTGGCCACATGACCCGGAAGCTGTACACCGGCTCCCTCGGCCAATAAAGCGAGATGAGCACCGCAACCCTAGAGTCGGTCACGACTGGACCTAATGGTCAGGGGTCCCTTTACCTTTAAGATTAGGGAGCAGATCCTATTGGAATAAGTACGACTGGCTTCTGAGCAAAACTTCTTCGGACTGTGCTGCTTGAATTCAGTGCAAGGGATCACGCAAGATTCTTGAAGCTCAAGCATCTTCCCATTATTTCTCCCAGCCCTCATACACTTGAGCAGCGGCTGAGCCACGTCCCAATGTTTGAGTTCCTCCACATCGCCGTTCAAAAGAGTTGACTCTGTCTCCTCTTACAGCAATGCGCTGGATTTGCCTGGGAGAATTCCCCCACTTAACTCTTGAGAGTTTATAATAATGGCTCTCAGGCTGAACTACTGCGCAAACAGAAAATATTAGAACAATCCACAGCCGCTCTGGAAAATATACCTGCCCCCCCACCTCACTCTATACTGAGTGCAGCAATCAAGAAATGCAGAGAATCAGCCCACTCCCAGCATCAAATCCAGCAAGGCAAGCTCCCTCTTGAAGTGCTTCCTTTCCATCAGAGGAGCTTAACAGATATTTTGTATATTGCCAACACATGTCAGAATGATCCACAGTGGAAAAAACCTCATCTTCCAGGATGGAGTCCCAGTGTGATCAATGGTTAGAGCGATGGACCCTTTGGACCTCCAGATGGCATGGACTACAACTCCCATCATCCCTGACCACTGGACATGCTGGCTGGAGGTGATGGGAGTTGTAGTCCAACAGCAGCTCGCGTGCAGAGGCTCCAAGGAAACCTGATGGAGCCCCTAACATGTACATAGCTGTTTGCGTGTTGGGGCTTTTTTTGCAACACACACTTGGTAGGAGGAGACATGATGCTGGAACTAAAAGAGCAACTCCACTCTGAATTAAACACTCCAATGGCCTGCATGTTCTTTTTGTTAATTTTCTTGGGTTACACAGAACACCTCAACAGACCCAAGAGCATCCTGTTCCAGACATTTCTTCAATTCTACTGCCACCTAGTGCCCAGGTTAGGTTAGCACTCAACCAAGCCAGGACCTGTTACAGTCATACCTTGGGTCGAAGTAGCTTCAGGATGAGTATTTTCGGGTTGTGCTCCATGGCAACCAGGAAGTAAAGGAGCACGTTACTTCCAGGTTTCGCTGCTCGCGCATGCGTAGACACTCAAAATGACATCACACGCATGCGCTGAAGCGGCGAGACGTGACCCGTGCACATGCAGACGCTTGTTATGTTTGCTTCAGGATGCAAATGGGGCTCCGGAACGGATCCCGTTCGCATCCAGAGATAGCACTGTATCTACATATACAATATAGGAAGAACCTATCACCGGACAGTTTATTAATTCAAGCCACCGCTATAGAGAACAGCTACAATGCCATGAACTATGAAGCCAGGCAACGTAGTAATGAAACGTTTCATCCTATATACATCCTATAGGTACAGTGATTACCTATCAACAACACGGCCCTGATTTGGAGAGCTAGTGTGAGCCAGAAAACAGGGTTCATTGAGAACCTTAAAAAACTTTAGCTCGCTTCTCAGCTTAGCTGCAGGAAAAAGGTAGCATTATTCAGGGACACAGGGATTTGTTTACTATAAGTATATTATAATCATTTTTGCATGCGTGTGTAAGGCTGGATGTTAAAATTTAAGAAATGGTTATTATAAACACACATATTAAATTAAGGTGTTAATTTGGATTAATTAAGACTATATAGGATGCTTGTTTCCAGTTGATACTTTAAGTTAAAGTGGGAGCAAGTCTTAAAACTGTGTACAATGGTACTTGGTTGTCGAACTTAATCCGTTCCATGAGTCCGTTCAACTCCCGGAACCATTCGAAAACCAAGGTGCAGCTTCTGATTGACTGCAGAAGCTTCCTGTACTCAATCGGAAGCCGCATCGGACGTATAGCTTCCAAAAAATGTTCACAAACTGGAACACTTACTTCCAGGTTTGTGGCATTTGGGAGCTGCTATGTTTGGGAGCCAAGCCGTTCGACAGCCAAGGTACAAAGGCAGTACTTGCACCCAGTATATGAAAAGCATTGTTGTGGCTTCCCATAAAATGAATGGGGATGAGTTTCTTTTTACGCTAAATGTTAATGTTTCCATTGCTGCTCAAGATTTATTGGCAACTAACGCTAAGCAACTGGCATAAAATCCATTTGATCACTGGGCAATACATGCCAGCCCAAGTCTAGACTTGTGCAAGGCAAGAAATCGGGTCTCTTACCCAACGGGCCTTGTGTCCTCGATGGCTCGGTCTAGTGGGATGAGGTCACTTAGGAAGACATTGAAGTTCCCCTCCTTCCACCTCCTTTTCGCCTCCTCTTCCTTCTCGCCTGGGACCACCGCCGGGCGCCCATATTGACCCAGCGCTTTGGGGTCCCTGGGGGCCAAGGTCCTATCAATGGTCAACACTTTGTGCAGCTTGGCCCTTTCTGTGAAATGGGTCCCATTGGTTTGCCTTGATTGGTCCTGATGGGCGGAACGGGCCCCATCGGCCTTCCCTAGCTCGGCCTTTCCAACTGGAATAACTTTGAGGGTCGCCGCCGCTCCCTTAACAGCGACCTCCTGGGTCGCCCCCGCCGCTCTCGGGCCCTCATGGATTTTGCCCGCAGTCACTCGCGCCTTTTCCCCGACGGCTCCACGTCCTCCGCCTTCGGGAGCCTGCGCGGCCGCGGAGACCACCCGCGCTCCCTCCTTGCTTATAAGCACCACTTGGTTAGGCAGGACGACTTTTGCACCGGCAATTCTGGCCGCCTCCTCCTCGGACAGCTTTCCTGGACGTGGCGCACCCGGAGACTTCTGCGCTGCTTCCGAAGCGGCAGGCAAATCCAGGCCCCCGGGCCGCTTTGCAGGGACATTTGGCCCGCTCAGTAGCCCGGGGCTGCCCCGAGGTCCCTCAGATTTGCTTCCGTTGGTGGGCAATCCAGCCAAGGCGCCTTTCTCCCCTAATCCACCTTCGGGTATAAAAACGGCCGCCTCTCTCCCCCTGGATCCCATGCTTAACGGCCCGGGCCCTTTGGCGGCGACTTTGCTTCCGACGGCAGGAGCGCCGAGCGCCCGCCCCGGCGACCCGCCGGCAAGAGGCGGCTTTGTGGGCGGCGGGCGAGGGGAGCCGGCCTCCGCGCTCGATTTCTTCTCCGCGGGGGCGGACGGAGCGTGGCTCCGGACGTCGACCGTCCAGTGCAGGCTGGGAGCTGCTGCCGCCGCTTGGGGGGTTGCGCGCCTCCATTGCGCGCCCGGCTTCCCCCTCTTCTTGCTCAGGCCGTCGCGTCCCTTCTCCTCGAGGCTCCTTGGCAGCGCCCCTGGCGGCGCCCGGGGCTCCTCTCCTCGTCGGGCGCCGTCGAGGCTCTTCTCCCGCCAGCCGCGCAGCCTCTCCCGCCGCACCATCTCCTCCTTGAGGACGCGGGTGTTGATCTCGCCGAAGGAGAGGCGCAGCGCTGCCATGTCGAAGAGCAGCCACACCACCGAGGCGGCGAAGATGAAGGCCAAGGCTCGCCCGCTGCCTCGGAAAAGCTTCCGGAGCTTGTTCATCTCGGCAGAGGGAAAAGTTCTCCTCGGGTCGCTCCGGGCACAGCCGGAGGCGCCTCCTGGGGCCCTCCTTCCCCGCTCGGGAGGCTTCCTAGGCCTGCTGCTCTAGCCGAGGCTGCCGCTCCCGGCTGCCCGCCCTGGGCATCTCGAACTAGGGGGAGCCGCCGCCGCCGCGCCGGCCGCCTGTTGCTCCCTGCCTGCGTGGCATCGTCTCCGGGGCTCGGCGCGCGCCTCGCAGCCACGCGGCATGGCCCGAGCGCCCCCGGGGCCACTTGCTTGTTGGTCTGCCCGCCCGCCTCGCCTCTTCGCCCGGACCCTTCCTTCAGGCTAGGCGCACGCTGCCCTGGCTGGGATGGGAAGGAACCTTGCAGGCGGCTGCAGCAGATCAGCTGCTGGAGCAATTGCTCCCTTTCTCTCTTCCCGCCTCCCCCACCCCCTCTCCGCTCTCATTCCTCCTCTGTAACCCAACACCTTCCCGGAGCAGCAAACAACCTCCAGCTTTGCAAAGTTCCTGAGAGAGTGCCGCGTGGCTCCTTGGCTGCCGCCACCTCCCGACCTCGACCCGGTTGCGCCTTTGCAAACACTGGCAGCGAAGATCCGCTTTGTGGTTTGAAGCTGGCGATTCCTTGTCACGGGGAAAATTCTCCCTTTCTGATTATTAGTATCGTGATTATTTATTAAATTTGTATTCTTTCCCTTCACCCGAAGATCCCAGGGCGGTTCGCCACAGAAAAATGTAAAATGAGAATACCAAGTACAATACATCATAAAACTAAAACAAACCAAGCCTTGCTTCCTCAAGAAAAGGGGTCATTTTTGGGACACTATGATAGCTTTTTGAAAAAATAGAGTTGCATGCAGTTCTGGGGTACAGTAAGGATATCCTTTCTCTATTCATTTTTAAGATAGGACTTTGCTGTGTCCATTGGTAGCCAGCTCTGCCAGCAATGGAACAAATGGTGTCCCTTGAGAAATAATTTGCTTCTGAGCATGTTAAAAAATCACCCCGCTCCCCACTGCTGAGAAATCGCAGCCAGTTGCCTGGAAGAGGGTCTTAAGATATACACACCACCCTTCAGAGATGTTTTGCATAAGGCAGGACTGAATAACTTGTTTTCAACCAAGCAGCTACATTCCCTCAAGAGGAAATTTCCGAGGTCTGTGTTCCAGTGCTGCGTGGGGCCAGGTGCAGCAGTGGGTGGAGTCAGGGTCAAAAAGTGGGTGGAGCAACAGGTGTGACTCAAGCATTGTACAGTAGGCTACATTCCACCCACTCAAAAGTCAAAGGTGTATACCCACCCCCACACTATTTCTCTATCTTGCTCTATCCGGGCAAGAAAGAGGCACTATCACAATTCAAGGATGCTTTCCACCACTCAGGCAAAAGCACTTGAGAGTGTGGAGCAGGGTCTCTGAGGGCTGTGGCCCAGGAAAAGCCCTGCTAGGCTTGGAAGTTTAATACATGCTGTCAGAGCTGGCTCCAGGTCCCAGCTCACAGAGGACCAACGCTAGCCGGCAGTAATGTACAAAAGTCTTTATTGAAGTACAGTTTCCATTTTCAAGCCGGAGCGCCCCAGCTCTACGTCTAGGGGTTAGATCGGCGAAGCTCCATCTGAGTCTCCGCCCCTGTACACCAGTTTAAGATTCTAGCCTTACTCCACCTCTTACGTCTCTCCTTTCTCCTCTGGGTCCTGCTACCCCCGGGTCCCTTCCTTCCTGGATTCTTCTGACGCTGACCCCCTGACTCCTCCCTCTTTTCGGCGGGCTTTGGGACCTGGCTCCCTATCCGGGCTGCCAACTGCGCCGCCCTCCTGTACATTTGAACTTGCGCGCGCGCCCAGCCTTCAACCTTCCTCTCGACCGCTTCTCGCTCCCCGATGGAGGCGTGGCCAATCCTGACTCATGTCCTCCCACTGGCAGTGCGCCGCCTGATCCCGATGCCTGGGACTCCTCCCCCCCTACTGCACTCTGGTGTGGACGCTGGTCCTGATTTCCAACTGCTGCTCTCTGAGTCCCCTCTGGCCCCTTCTTCCTGGGGTGTCCCCTCGGCACCCCCTTGCTCTGACCAAGGGAGCCCTTTCTGTGAATCTTCCGATTCGCTGGAAAGACTCAGAGACCTCGGACCGCTGTCATCGCTAACATTTCCTTCGGACTCCTCCCCCTCGCTCTCTATTTCCTCCCTTTCCTGTGCCTCTGCTCCTGAACCCCTGACACATGCATTAAACTCCTGGGCCTAAGGGTATATTCACATTAGTGGCTTGGAACACAGAGAAACACACCTGCATGTACAAAATTCTTGGCATCGGGGCGAGGATGTCTTCACCCAATGCACATGACTTTTTCAGTTTCCCAGGCCCTGCAACCCCCCTAGAACTCCTGTTCATTTGCATGCTCATCTGCACAGGCACGATGGCTCTCAGGCTATGTTCCCACTATCGCTTACTGTGCATCCAGTTTTCTAGTTGGACTAAAACTGGTTTGAGGCGGGGACACACATCAAACAGCAGTATGTGTTGTTGGAGTTTATATATCACACTACAGGACAGTTTACAACAAAGTAACACAACAGGTGACATATTGTGCATATATAACATATATATATTATGTAGATACCTAATATAGGTATCTACTAAATAATACGTGTTTAGTGGCAAGTATAAAAATGAAGTTAATATATATATATTAAAAAAACCAGCAACATACAGAAACAGTGCTAAGTGCAAATATCATCTCTGTGCAAAGTAAAAATAAAAATTGAGTAACACAGTTTTCTGCCATTTCATGAAAACCAAAACCTGCCTGAGGCAGTTGCCTTACTTTGCCTATTGATAGAAGTGGCCTTGCAAGCACAGGGCCTAGGATGCAACATGCTCCAAATGGAGGTTTTCACACTGAGGCTCCAAAAGCGCCCACACCCTACCACAAGGCTGCAGCCTCTGATAGCAACAAATCACAGTGAGTGGCCAGCCCAAATAAAACGGGATGTTTTGAGCCGATTCCTATCTGCCAAATGAATGAATTATTCACAGTGAATGAAGGGGAATACCCTCACTGTGAATCCGGTGCTTGCATATTATGAATCATGAAACATCTCACAGCTGGAAATGGCATAGTCAAACAGCTCCACCGCAAACTTTGCCGTCTGGTTTTCCTGCTCAGCAAATACAAACGTGCAGGGTTTGTTTGAACAGACTTGCTCAACGTGGGGCAGCAACCTTTATGGGTATGAACTGGTTAATTAACTTCAGACCACTCTTAACATTAGAAAAATACTGAGGGGCAGCCTCACATCGGCAAGTAAATCTGGTGTTAAATAAAACACATAGGTTTTTATTAGATTATTTTAAGTGCAGGGCTTCAGAAGTGGAGGTTGTTGCTTAGTAATAAAATAAGAAATCAAGGCATCTCAGGTGTCAGAGCAACCTGGGGTCTTCAGAAAGGAATGGATCACATACTTCACTACAGCACAGACACTGAGGTCTACCTCTGAGGGCGTTCTGGCAGTTCCCTCACCATGAGACGTGAGGTTACACGAAACCAGGCAGAGGGTCTTCTCGGTAGTGGCTCCCTTCCTGTGGAACACCCTCCCATCAGATGTCAAGGAGATACAACCTATAGAAGACATCTGAAGAAAGCCCTGTTTGGGAAGATTTTAATGTTTTATGCTTTTGTATATGCTGGAAGCAACACAGTGGCTGGGCGGGCCGGATCTTCCTGTTATATACCTGCTGGGATTGACAAGGCATCTGACCCTCACCTGAATCTCATAGCTCTCCTGACGAGTGCTTTGGTCTGCAACCACAGTGTGGAAATAAAGGATGAGATTGCCCACCAGATACCAGGCACTCTACTATTCAATTAGGCCCCAGTATTTTTGTTACAATCCCCTTCTCAATTAAGTAATCAATTTTAATCTAGAGTTTAAATTCTCATAACTTTCTTATTTGTTAATTCGAGCAAGTAAACAACTTCTCTCACTTCATTTCAAACAGTATTTCTACCTGCAGCACACTTGAGCAAACCTGCTCCTCTTCCTTTCACATATATTTTGTTGCCATTTGCAACTGTAGCTGCTTCTGATTAGTTATCATTTAACTCTTTGGGGAAATAATTAGCACCACACATCATGTGCATGGAAGTTGCTGAACCAATTAACTAACTAGAAGGATTACTGTTAATACCACCAGTTTTCCTACAACTTGATATTGTTGGATAGTTTTAATGAACTGCAAAAGCATTTTTAGTTTGCTTTCTGTTGCCACCCTGGAACTTTTCTTTATTAGTGCCACTTTGTTTTGTATGATTGCTTGCAAATGAAGGAAAACAACTTTTCTGCTTGTATATATTGATAATATAATTTTGGTTACTGAGGACAAACAAGATTTTACAAAAACAAGATTGGGCGCAGGGCTGGCCAGGACATAGCCATCCTGACTGTGACAAAGGTGACCTGTGTGCTTACCTGCTTGCTTGCTTGTTTAACAGCTGTTGAGAACTTCAAGGTCCCTGCTCTCCCTTCTTATGGTCTTTGTACTGGACTTGGAGACTCCAATAGAGAGCATTCCATGTCAAGAAGAAGGGCAAGTGGGCACCCTATCAAATGACAGGGTAGGAGCTACACGGAGCAGGGCCTTTTCACTGGTGGTGCCCATTGTATGCCTCGCTCTTCCCAGACCTGCTTTCTTTTGGCCTGTATTTTGGAGCTTTATAATTTAGGAAGACTTTGGAAGAACAAGTTGACAAGTCTTATCAGTCACTGACGTATGAGCAGATTTTATTTGCTCCTATTCTGGGCTTCTGGTGCACCAGGGTTTACACTAGCGTAAAAGAGTTGGCCAGGATGCCAGAAGGGATACAATTTACAAGCTTTCTCCATTATCTACACAGCAGGGGGTGTTCAATCAACAGTGCAAAGGCTGAGCTGAAGCATTCCCTGCTGGTTACCGGCTTTCAGCAATAGGGGTCGCTGTTTTGTAGAACCCAGTTGGTTAGCTGTCAGATTCTAGAGCTCCCTATTGGTGACTCTTAGGTAATTCACAAAATACAGAGTCCATTCATAAAACACAGTGTTCATTCATAAAGCAGTAACATAAATCTCCATTGCTACATACTGGGTGTATATTTCAGCGGTTGAACGTACAGGTTTATGGCCATGCTGCAGTGTAGTGCTTATGCGACTGTGAATAAAAGGTGGCTGGGCTAATTGTCTCGGGGTTTGGGGGGGAGAGGTGACAAAACTTATTTCCAATAAGTGCCCCCCTTTATTTCTATAACAAGTCCTTGAGTCTGTACTCTGAATAGTGACACCAGGGACCTTGAAGGTGCAGGGCTTGTCAGTCCAACCCCTGCACAGTCTCAATAGGGCTGACCTTAAGGCAATTGGAGCAATTTGCCCAAATTGGGCTCCACGTGCCGCTCCTAAGGGGCCCCCCCTCTCCA